TTATCTCCTCTAGAGCAAGAGCTACGCCGGCGAGAAGTTCTGGACCAAAAGTGCCTGACTGAAATTCTCAGCTACAATACCCGCTAAAACCTTTAATTTTGTGGTGACATCCAACTAGAATATAGCCAAAATCCTAGACAGCCTATCTCCTCTAGAGCAAGAGTTACGCTGGCGAGAAGTTCCGAACCAAAAGTGCCTGACTGAAATTCTCAGCTACAATACCGGCTACAACCTTTAATTTTGTGGTGACATCCAACTAGAATATAGCCAAAATCCTAGACAGCTTATCTCCTCTAGAGCAAGAGTTACGCTGGCGAGAAGTTCCGAACCAAAAGTGCCTGACTGAAATTCTCAGCTACAATACCCGCTAAAACCTTTAATTTTGTGGTGACATCCAACTTAGCTTTCGCGAAAACACTAGAAAACCTACTCCTTCTAGAACAAAAAGAATGAAACCAAGATTTCCTGAAAGCTCGCTAGATCTACAGATCTTCTGTTAGGCTTTAGAATCTCAAAAAAAGAAAACTTTTTCTGTCCCCCAAATGACCACTACTCGAGGAGTGGCCGTATCACTTCAATTCCCATTCTCAGCCTTTCCCCTTCCCTCCTTTTCCCCTCTTCTCCTTCTCAATTACGAGACGATTCAATCCGATTGCCCTTCACTTCTTTTTCTTCTTTATCCATTCCAAATACCCAACAAAGATGGAAAAATCCTCTTTTAGTTCGATTTTTGCCTTTCTTACTTCTAGTACTCAAATAGTAGAGTCAGAGAGAAAAGATTGGTGTCCCTTCCTTCTCTTTCTTCTCTTCCATCTCTTTCTTCCCTTCTTCCCCTTCTTTCCCTTCTTTCCCTTGCTTCTCTTTCTTCTCTTTCTTCTCTTCCTTCTATTCTTCTTCTCTTCCTTCTCTTTCTTCCCTTCCTTCTCTTCCTTCTCTTCCTTCCCTTTTGCTTCTTTTTAACTCTCTTGGGAGTCACTCATTTATCGAAAAGTAAGAGAAGTGAACTTTGTGAATAGTAAATAGAGCTGAAACAAGAAATGGAAATGGATAATGAATGGTGCAAGACTTGGGCTTGAGTAAGGCTGGAGAATGGGTTTGACGAATAGAAGAGACAAGTCAACTAGACGAATAGAAGAGAAGTCAACTAGATGAATAGAAGAGACAAGTCTACTAGACGAATAGAAGAGACAAGTCTCAGATACTGTTTTCTCAAGCCATGGAAAATTCTAAGCCAAGAGTAAGGCCAAGAGTAAGGCGAAGACTTTGAATAATAAATGGATAATGAAACTAACAAGCTAACAGGTAAATCTAAGCTAATCAAGTGCAAAGCTGTGCCTCACTCAGGCAGTATCAGTGCCAATTATCAGTGCCAATTTTCTTTCATTGATGTTGATTTTTATCCCAACTAATAAAATCTCGTCCCATCTGTCAATGAGATAGTTTGTGTGTGAATGTATCAAGCGGGTCGGTGAGAATCTTTGAAGTGACGGAGAGAGAAAGAAGAGTGAAAGAAGAGAGAAAGAAGAGAGAAAGAAGAAATCATTTGACTGCAAATCAATCCCCAAAGCCATCCCATTGACATATCGAATTTCACACGCTTTCTCGTTCATCGACATTGTCCAAAAAGATTTTCAGCTTTTGTAGACCTCTTGATAATTGTAGAAAATTACTTGAAAGCTAGAAAAATTGTAGAGGAGAAATTGTAGAGGAGAGATTGTAGAGGAGAAATTGTAGAGGAGAAATTGTAGAGGAGAAGTTGTAGAGGAGAAGTTGTAGAGGAGAAGTTGTAGAGGAGAAATTGTAGAGGAGAGATTGTAGAGGAGAAATTGTAGAGGAGAGATTGTAGAGGAGAGATTGTAGAGGAGAAATTGTAGAGGAGAGATTGTAGAGGAGAAATTGTAGAGGAGAGATTGTAGAGGAGAAGTTGTAGAGGAGAAGTTGTAGAGGAGAGATTGTAGAGGAGAAATTGTAGAGGAGAAGTTGTAGAGGAGAAGTTGTAGAGGAGAGATTGTAGAGGAGAAATTGTAGAGGAGAAATTGTAGAGGAGAAATTGTAGAGGAGAAATTGTAGAGGAGAAATTGTAGAGGAGAGATTGTAGAGGAGAAATTGTAGAGGAGAGATTGTAGAGGAGAGATTGTAGAGGAGAAATTGTAGAGGAGAAGTTGTAGAGAAGAGATTGTAGAGGACGAGGCATTTATAGTGTTAAGCTTCATGCATCTTTTTTGCCTTTTCTAGGACATTATATTAATCCCCTGTCCTTTTTGGTATCAGCCTATATATGTGGCAAACTAAGGTGCCAAGGTGCCTAGGTGCCAAGGTGCCTAGACGCCTAGGTGCCAAGGTGCCAAGGTGCCTAGACGCCTAGGTGCCAAGGTGCCAAGGTGCCTAGACGCCTAGGTGCCTAGATGCCAAGGTGCCTAGGTGCCAAGGTGCCTAGATGCCTAGGTGCCTAGATGCCAAGGTGCCTAGGTGCCAAGGTGCCTAGATGCCTAGGTGCCTAGATGCCAAGGTGCCTAGATGCCTAGGTGCCTAGATGCCTAGGTGCCTAGATGCCAAGGTGCCTAGGTGCCAAGGTGCCTAGACGCCTAGGTGCCAAGGTGCCTAGACGCCTAGGTGCCAAGGTGCCTAGACGCCTAGGTGCCAAGGTGCCAAGGTGCCTAGACGCCTAGGTGCCTAGGATGCCAAGGTGCCCGGGTGCCAAGGTGCCCTGGATGCCCGGGTGCCCGATGCCAAGGTGCCTGGGTGCCAAGGTGCCTAGATGCCTAGGGTGCCTAGATGCCAAGGTGCCTAGATGCCCAGGTGCCCAGATGCCCAGGGTGCCTAGATGCCAAGGTGCCCAGGGTGCCAAGGTGCCTAGACGCCTGGGTGCCAAGGTGCCTAGACGCCTAGGTGCCAAGGTGCCTAGACGCCTAGGTGCCAAGGTGCCAAGGTGCCTAGACGCCTAGGTGCCTAGATGCCAAGGTGCCTAGGTGCCAAGGTGCCTAGATGCCTAGGTGCCTAGATGCCAAGGTGCCTAGGTGCCAAGGTGCCTAGATGCCTAGGTGCCTAGATGCCAAGGTGCCTAGATGCCTAGGTGCCTAGATGCCAAGGTGCCTAGGTGCCAAGGTGCCTAGATGCCTAGGTGCCTAGATGCCAAGGTGCCTAGATGCCTAGGTGCCTAGATGCCAAGGTGCCTAGGTGCCAAGGTGCCTAGATGCCTAGGTGCCAAGGTGCCTAGATCATTGGCTTGAATTTTGGATTGATATAGGATGGATTTGGACTCTAGATTGACCCTGATCGATCTAGGCTCACCCTGGCCTGACTCCAGGCTTTAACAGCTAGGAATTAAGCTAGGATTGAACACTAGCTAACCTAGATGAATAGCTAGCCTAGCTGAATAGCTAACCTAGCTGAATAGCTAGCCTAGCTGAATAGCTAACCCAGCTGAATAGCTAACCTAGCTGAATAGCTAGGTTAGCTAGCTAAACCTTTGTAAGCCAGAATTTCTAACTCAAATCTCTTCCTACAAATTCTACCAATATCCCTGTCTCGTTTCCCCCAATCGGTCGCTCTTTCAACTTGAAACTTGTCACATCAAACTCACTCACTCGATCATTTCTCCCCTTTCCCCAATTTTCCCTTTTCATTTCCATCAAATGTCAGAGTTCTGACCATTCTTCTCAATAAAATCGCATAAAATTGCAATAACGAGCATAGTTGAATTGACAATATTGGAAAAGAGTGAAAGTTTGTCGATGAATGGGAAAAAGCAATGTCAGGGTTGAAAAAAAGGATAAGTGAATCGAGATAATCTCAGAGATTGTAAGCCTAGGCTGATGAGTTAGATCAGATGGAAGCTTATACAGGCCAGCGTCAAGACAAACGCCAAGCTAGTCAGACGTCAGACGACCAGGCGAGCAAAGCCAAGCAAGGTCTCAAGATCAGTTAGGCAGAACCTAGATTCCTGGGTCACCAGCAAAACCAGAGTCAATCAATGCAGACCTTAGAGAGTTAGGCCTGGTCTGACTTCCTTCTATCTTCCTTCTTTCTATCTTCCCTTTCTCTTCCCCCTGTCATTCTCTCTTTCTCTTGGGAAGTTAAGGTACTGGATGGTTCAATTGTTAGTACAATTGCCTGGAAAGCAAAAGTCGAGGCAAGGTCGAGGGTTCAATCCTGGGAACTTACATTTTGCCAATTCTTTCACTTCTTTCTTACAATCCTTCCTCATTCTCCTTACAATTAAATCTGGATTTTAAAAACGGATAAGGTACTAAGAGATCTACTTACTAGTATCTAGTAAGTAGATCCCTTAGTAACAGTAAAATAACACTAACCTATTAGTTAAAGTAACCTTTACAAGACTAGTGCTTAGTAAAGAGTAATTCTATGCATAAACTTGACTTGGCTTGACTTGACTTGGCTTGGCTTGGCTTGGCTTGACTTGGCTTGACTTGGCTGGCTTGGCTTGGCTTGGCTTGGCGGCTTGGCTTGGCTTGGCTTGACTTGGCTGGCTTGACTTGGCTTGGCTTGGCTTGGCTTGGCTTGGCTTGGCTTGGCTTGACTTGGCTTGGCTGGCTTGACTTGACTCTATATTTTTATACATAAGCAACTCATCCCTGGCAGTTAGTTTTCTTCCTATTAATCCCATTTCAGTTTCTCTCTGGGGATCACGTAAAGAAATAGCGATTATGCAAATGAGAAGTGGAAGGAGAAGAGATGAGTCGGGTTGGAGGAGAGCTTAATCTCTCTTACTCTCTTACTCCAGTACTCCCGAAGAGTCATGGCCTATCAAAGAACGCAAAACACATAAGAAATGATTGGAAAAAGCTGAAAAAAGAGTCTATTCATGAGTTGAGAGTTGAGAAAAGTGGATTGAGAAAGTAACTTGAGAAAAGGGTGAGGATAGATGCGTTTTAGCAATTGTAAGATAAGCAACACAAAGTAAGATAAGTGATGACGATGAACAAAGAGATAATCAAAGAAGAAAATGATAATGACAAAATAAATGCTAAAGAACAAACCTTGCAAAACGAGGACAGTCGAGTGTTCTTGTTGTTTCTCGTAGTTTAGCGGCTTCGTCAACTCGATTTTCCCATCGGACCAAACGGTGAACGAATCTTTAACAATCGGCGAGTTCAGCAGTTTTTCCGTGGTTTTCATCTGGATTTTCTGAAAGTTTTAGAGCTAAATGATGTCTAAATTAGATCTAAATTAGATCTAAATGATATCTAAATGATATCTATGCCAATATACTAGCTTACTGTACTGATACTAGTCAAGATACTGTCAAGATAGCTTAATGGCAAAAGAAGAATGTCTTTTTTTGTCTTGATCACTAAATACAATGTTAAAGCTTGCCAAATCACCCCCTTCAGCTTGCCCCAAACCTTTAGCCTGCAACTACCCTAGCTCAGCTACAGTAATCAAGAAAAACTTGAGCAAATCTATGTATAGAGAGGTTACGGTAGCTCGGGCAAGCTCGGGCAAGCTTTAGAAAGAAAAGAAGAAGTTCAAAAAGAAGATCAAAGCTTTAATCTGATCAATTCTTTTTGATTTGGCATTTTTTCATTGTTTACTTTATCTAAATATCCAATTTGATGATCTTCTGGTACTCGAATTGTGAGCTGTTGGCTCAGTTGGCGAGCATTTCGTTTCAGCTTTTCCACAACGATCGAAATCTTGCATGACAACTTTGTTTCCTAAAATTTCCTTACAGAACTTGAGCAATGGTGTGATGAAAGATCTATTAGATTGGCAACTTGAAAGTACACTTGAAAGTACATTTGGAAGTACATTTGGAAGTGCTGAAAGTACACTTGGAAGTACACTTGGAAGTACACTTAAAAGTAAACTTGAAAATACTGAAAGTAGACTTGAAAGTACACTTGAAAGCACACTTAAATGTACACTTGGAAGTACTGGAAGTACACTTGGAAGTAGACTTGAAAGTACACTTGGAAGTACACTTGGAAGTACACTTGGAAGTACGCTTGGAAGCACACTTGGAAGTACACTTGAAAGCACACTTGAAAGCACACTTGAAAATACACTTGAAAGTACTGATAGTACTGAAAGTACTGATAGTACTGAAAGTACTGAAAGTACTGAAAGTACACCTGAAAGTACACTTGAAAGAGCTTAGGCAAAGCTGATGCCTGGCGCGGTTATCGGCTATTTGATTGGCACCTTTTGCCATTGGCAATCTAACTTTGAGCTCAAATATCTTGGTGTTGAGCTGTTCAATTTAAACATTTTTGATATCATTGGATTTGCCAAGTCTTTCTCTATCGATTGGTGGGAAAAGTATTCAAATTGGACAATCCAGCACCAAGATATTGAAGCTGAAATATGATCATTCGAACCGGGATCAAATGTCCCAGAATCCGAAAAAATTACTAACACTGTACTTCCTAATTTCTAAATAATGACTAACTTGTCCCTCTCGATCATTCGCCACCACATTAAACGTGTAATTGCCTGAGATGAGCGAGATTTTCGAGAAAATATCCCCATGCAATGGGGAGACATCAAAATGCGATGACTCGGGCTCGACACGGAAAATCACGACTCCGCCAGCGTTTGAGCTGAACTTTGTCTGTCTTTTTTGACTCAAACAGTTCCCATTTTAGCTATCCAACACAATAATCCATAAATTTTTCTTTTAAACTAGATCTACATCATTCGAAATCGACTGATCAAGTTATCCGTTTGCTAAAACGTTTTTCAGACGTTCAGACAAGATTACGGTAGAAAGAGGAGAAAGAGATTACGGTATGAAAGATCCTAAACCTAAGCCTGAGCATGAGTCTGAGCCTAAGCCTAAGCCTAAGCCTGAGCCTAAGCCTGAGCCTAAGCCTAAGCCTAAATCTAAGCCTAAGCCTAAGCCTATGGCTAAGCCTAAGCCTGAGCCTAAGCCTAAGCCTAATCCTAAACCTGAAGCCTCAAGCCTAAGCGTTTTAAGGCTAAGGCTTTTGGTTGGGTAAAACCCAACCAATAAAAGAGTTATTTGGGTTTGGTCTCAACCCGTTCCAATTACTGATCTAATACAAGTAATGATGGGGCTGAAATGTCCCAACTTGAACAGCTTCTTTGATCCGATAAAAGTACGGAAATCATACCATATTAACACAAGAACCCAAAAAAGGCGGCTATTTGGGTTTGGGCTAGTGGGGATCCTTGCAAATTGATTTCTGTACTTTTATTGAATCGAGGCGACGGTGGAAATTGGAACATTTCAGCCCTATGATTTCCGTACTTTTATCGGATCAAAGAAGCTGTTCAAGTTGGGACATTTCAGCCCCATCATTACTTGTATTAGATCAGTAATTGGAACGGGTTGAGACCAAACCCAAATAACTCTTTTATTGGTTGGGTTTTACCCAACCAAAAGCCTTAGCCTTAAAACGCTAGGCTTGAGGCTTCAGGTTTAGGATTTCAGGACTTTTATTGGGCTGCGTTAGCAGCCCAAATTTAGTTTTGAAAATAAAAATAGAATCAATTTGTGGAATAAAGACTTAGTGCGAGGCAGCGGCTAGTGCCTATGGCCTGTTGAACCCACAGCGTTTGGATCAACAACATAGGGGTGGAACAATAAAAGGTTGCACTGAAAGCTACTCAAAATTTCTGTGAGTAATAAGGTAAATAATAATAACAATTAGTAATCAGAGAAATTAAGGATTGGAAAAATATTAGGTTGTCCCATAAAAAATTGCCGTTTTTTTCATTTGATTCGTATTCAGCGACAAATTAACGCTTTTTCTTTCTCTTTTTTTTATTATACTGCTTTCCAATTCTAGTTTTCTGTGCTAATTTTTCTGTCGAAGGGCGGTGTCGATAGCATCAGAGGGAAAATTTTTCAGGCCTTAGCTATGTGGCAAGGAAATCCGCAGGTGTCAAAACACCCTTCGGCCTTAAGATCAAGTGTAAATGGCGGCAAGCTCAAAGAAAAATCGGGGTAAGATCAACGCTGACGTTGGTATGATAAAAAGGAAAATTTTTTCAACATTTCAAAACCTTCGTAGGGTCTTGCGGCGGCAAGATCAAAGGTAAATAGCGGCAAGATGAAAGGAAAATGGCGGTAAGATCAAAGGAGGTGTCGGCAACATCAAAGGAAAAAATTTTTGCAACCTTAACTATGGGCCAAAAAAAAAAATTTTTTCTAACCGCTTTGGGAGACTCAGCTGGACCTATCTCGACGTTTTAGGCTATGTCAAAAAAATCCCAAAATCGACATGTCAGATCTCCAATTCCAGACACGAGATCGACCTGAAATTTTGGGAACATACTCCCATTGGGTTCCAAAGCACAACGCCAAACGGGTGTCCCTTAGCTCCCAGAACTCGCTGAGATCCAAAAAATGGGGGTTCAGCCCAAACCCAAATAGACTTAGTGCTAGGCGCTAGCGCTAGCCTACGCACTAAGTCCAAGCCTAACCCTAAGCCTAAGCCTAAGCCTAAGTCTAGCCTAGCCTAGCCTAAGCCTAAGCCTAAAGCCTAAGTCTAAACCTAAGCCTAAGTCTAAGCCTAAGATTAAGCCTAAGCCTAAGCCTAAGCCTTTGCCTAAGCCTAAGCCTAAGCCTAAAGCCCACAGGCTTCAAGTAAACCCTTTCCTGATTTCCTATTTGTTTCTCATGACCCCAGGGTCCTAGGGGGGCACAAATTGCGGCCACTTTGTCAACTCCCGTCTCCTATGGCCAATATGGCTCTCTTCACCCAATATGGCTCTCTTCTCTAATGGCTTTCCCCCCGAAAAAGCCTCGTTTACCCTCTCAACACCCCAATCTCATCCATCTTTGAAATTTTATTGCTCAAAGAAATATGATTAGAATATTGGTGATTGTTATAAATCAGAATTAAACAAATTAAACCCAAGTTGACTCAATGAATAGCCACTGCTTCTGCTTTCAAAAAAAGTTATAAGCATTTGAAGTTTCTGGCTGTAAGCCTGTAAGCCTGTAAGCGGCTGTAAAGCTCCTTTCACTCTCTGAAACAAATCGAATGTTGGCTTGTATCAAAGAGGCTGTATCTATCTAAGAGGCCTGTATCAAAGACGATCAGGAACCCTTTTGCTTGGGTTCGATCCCACTTTGCAAAAAATTTGCTTTCTTCTGTTCAAATCAAAGATCAAAATAGATCAAAAAAGGAATCGTATTGGAACCGTATTGGAATCGTATTAGATCAAAAAAGGAACCGTATTGGAATCGTATTGGAACCGTATTGGAACCGTATTAGAACATTCATCCAACCTAGCCGTCACTCGTGTCAGACTCGTGTGCGCTGTAATTCTCGGCAAAACTAGATCACAGTTTTTCGGCTCGAATTCCGGTGCTCGCGAGAGTACAGGCAAAACTTTGAATCGAACTCTTGTCGTCGCCAACAATTCCTCTTTTCCATTGAAAGCGTTGAGGAAAAAGGTGAACTCATTTGGGTCACTTTTCCGGATTTGTCGCGTCATGTAGACCTAGAAGAAATTCATTTTTAATTTTTACAGCTGATATCTAGATAATCAATACATGTATAGAAGATATTTTAACATATTCACGATGCTAATGACGGCTTTACTAATGACGATAATTTCTGGTGGTTTTGAAGGATTTTCTTGATCATTTTTCAGAAGGTTCTCAGTAATTTTTTCCTATTTTTGAAGAGGAGATTCAGAGCTATCAAATGGCTATAAATGCTTAGTTTTGCTTTGAATTTACACCAAATTATCAATAGAATAGTTATCGACTACGCGACTGTACGCTCAAATTGCTATCGTCATAAATGGGTTAAAGATAGCGACTACGCGACTGTACGCTCAAATTGCTATCGTCAAAAAAGGGTCAAAGATAACGACTACGCGACTGTACGCTCAAAATGCTATTGTCGTAAATGGATCAAAGATAACGACTACGCGACTGTACGCTCAAACTACTATTGTCATGGGTTAAAGATAGCGCCTACGCGATTGTACGCTCAAAATGCGAACCTTTGCTATATGTCGGTGCCTCTCATCGCGAATGTTCACGATTTTGATGGGAAACTCGGCAATCGGTGTTGCGGCGACGTAGCGGATCTGGAAATAAATCTGCAACTCGATTAGAAATCCTATTCTAGTTACTTTATAAGTTATATTATTTATTTCTTACTGTAATTATATTAATGCTAATGTTAGATTTCACAAAAAGTACCTCATTGCTCGACAAATCAACGAGTTGAATCAGTTCTCCGAATTATATTAATGCTAATGTTAGATTTCACAAAAGATTACCTCGTTCCTCGACAAATCAGCCAGTTGAATCACTTCTCCGAAATCGATTTCTTCATCGCGTTTAATATTCGATTTGATCTCGGCCAAGTAATCGGTTTTGGTGAATTTTGTGAATCTAAAGTACGTAGTAAAGTAAAGTACAAAGTACAGTAATGGAAAAGAATGACAGAATGGCAGGAATGGAAAAGAAAAGGTAAAGAAAAGGTAGAGAAATGGAAAAGAAATTTCCGAGAGGGAATCGAACCCTCGACCTTGCCCCTTCCCACTGATCTATCAGGCAGACGCTCTACCCACTGAGCTATCCGGTCTCTGTTCCCCAGCGAAAAAGAGGGGATATAAAGGGGAAGAGGAAGAAAAGAAATACCTGCTAAATATGCAAATTTTCTCTCAAAATGACTGAAACCTTTTTGAGACAAGTTACAGTATCAAATTACGGTACCAAATTACCGTAACCACTCACCTCTCAACAACATTCACATTCACTGGAATGGAAAAGAAAAGGTAGAAAAATGGCAAAGAAATTTCCGACAGGGGATCGAACCCCCGACCTTTCCCCTTCCCACTGATCTATCCCCAGACGCTCTACCCACTGAGCTATCGGGTCTCTCTTTGCCAGCGAAAAAAAAGGGATATAAAGGGGAAGAGGAAGAAAAGAAATACCTGCTAAATATGCAAATTTTCTCTCAAAATGACTGAAATCTTTTTGAGACAAGTTACAGTACCAAATTACGGTACCAAATTACCGTAATCACTCACCTCTCGACAACATTCACATTCACGACGACAACTCGTTTAAATGGAGCACGTGAGGCAAGAAAATAGAGAGGGAAACGCTTGTTGATCAGCTCGGATAAAGGCTTGTTGACAAGAATCTAAAAATTCGATCTTTCCCGAAAAAATTCAAATCTGTTCACCTGACTCTTGTTGTTTATTGTAAAGTATGAGCTTTCGGGCGATGGTTGAAGGGTGAGCAACTCGAATGGAGTCACCACATCCGTGTGCAAAAGATCTGACACTAGCCAACCGTTTGGTGATGATGAGTCGATCGAGACGGGTGGACGCTGGAAATTTTCACAATTTCAGCTAATTTTCAGCTACAATTTTGAGTTATTCCGAGTTAGACTAAAGAAAATGAATGGCTCCAAGATTTGTCGACCCTATAAACCCCTACAATTTCCAGCTGAATATCTTCATCTTCATCTAGAAACCCCTGTGAAAGTCTGTTCTTTGTGCCGTCACGTAATCGCTCGCTTTCTGGCACACGTTCCTAATAGATAGGTAACCTTTTACGGATCCTCATGATAGATAGGTACCCTTAGAGGTGAAGGCCAGTGAGGCGCCTTCAGGTTCGATTTGGGCCGAATCTACGCGACCTCCCGAGGGACGGTCGTGGCGCAGTGGATAGGACAGCTGGGCACGGATCCTTTAGCCGGTCTCCTGCAGTCGGTTCGAATCCCCTAACCGACAGATCTTACTTTCTTTTTCGAAATAACATTTTTGACTAGAATCTCTACATCTTTTCAAAACAAAACCAAAGCTGCAAAATCCTCGAAAACTCTGCAAAGCTCTTTCAACGACTGAGCTTTCCCGTTTCTTAGCGTTACTTTGCCGAGATTTTTGGAATCAATCTTACCATGAATTTAGTTGTATTTTTGAGCAAATTTTACATCCTGTTAAACTTGTTTTACTCTTAAACAGTAGCTAAAAATGCGATCTGATTTGAACGTCTTGTCTCTAGATTTTCCTAGAATTGTGTATCTCAATGAAATTCTAATTTCATTGAGCTAAAATTCGAATTTCTATTATCAGTGTTGAACTTCTGATCTCTCCAAAAAGTGTAGGCTTAGGCTTAGGCTCGGGAAAAGTTGTTGATGTTGTTGTTGTTGATTTTTTGTTGTTGATTTTGTTGTTGTTGTTGTTGTTGATTTTTTTCTTGATTACAGCCAAATTCTTTTGGTCATTTATCTCAGCTTAATGCTTACTGTAATTGCAAAATGTTTAGCCTAATTCTTTCTTGATTCTTTCTCGATTCTTTCTTGATTCTTTTTTGGATAACTTTCCCCAGATTTACCTATAGGTGCTCATAAATATGCAAATCCCTTGACTAGGGGGAGTGTTAGAGTTATGCGAAAAGGCGAGAAGAACAAAAAGGCAGTGTGCTCTCCCCCCAATCTCCACACATATTGACCACATTCAGTCACCACCATCTGGACTGTCACTATGTGAAAAGGATCTTTCGGAAAAGGGAAAAGAATTGGAAGGGTGCCTCAAGTATTTTCACGTTCTATCGATGGCATTCAATTGGAAATGATGGAGATATCTGCTGGTTATGAAGCTGGTGATGAAGCTGGGTATGAAGCTGGTTATGAAGCTGGTTATGAAGCTGGTTATGAAGCTGATTAGCTGGTTATAAAGCTGGTTATAAAGCTGGTTATGAAGCTGGTTATGAAGCTGGTTATGAAGCTGGTTATGAAGCTGATTAGCTGGTTATGAAGCTGGTTATAAAGCTGGCTATAAAGCTGGCTATCAAGCTAACTCTCGAACTACAATTCGTCTCCCGTTTCCAGGAAATTTGTTCAATTTTAGCATTGCCGTTGGTTCAATGAGAGTGATCTCAGACACGCGATGGCCCATGTACCCATTGCTTTCCTTTCCCTCTTCCCAATGAACACAATACCCCTTCTCATACTTCGTTGGACTTGGCAAAAGAGGGGGGAAATCTCACAAAGGAATTGAGAGAGAGAAAGCTTGAATTTCGTCGATGCTTTTGTGTTCTCTTCTCACGAATCATTTTGAACTAAGATTTACATAGAAAGAGCATCTGATTTGGAAATGGTTCCTAGTTTAGTTGATCGTGGAGATGGCTTTTAAGTCAATCATCTCGTTTAGATTTCGTCTAGTTTTGTTGAAAGTTTTGTTGTTTTGTTGAAAAGTTTCTTAGACTATTGATCATTTTCTTGGAGATGAAACGATTTTCTAACTCAAGCTGGCCTTAAAGCTGAACTGGCCTTGAAGCTGAGCTGACTGCTGAGCTGGCTGCTGAGCTAGTCGCTGAGCTGACTGCTGAGCTGGCTGCTGAGCTAGCTTTAAAGCTGAGCTAGTCGCATGAGCTGGCTGCTGAGCTGGCCTTAAAGCTGAGCTAGTCGCTGAGCTGGCTGCTGAACTGGCTGCTGAGCTGGCCTTGAAGCTAAGCTGGTCTTGAAATTTCAGTCTTGTATCAAATTTTGAAGTCGGCTGTACCCTTTTCATCACTTTAACCCAAGCCAAGCAGTATTTTGATTCAAAAACCTCAAGTTTCAGCATTGCTAGGTGCTTTGTCTCCTTTTCCAAAATCAGCCCTCTCTAAGCAATCAAACACAAGAATAGAGTCGTTTCAAGGGTACAAAAGGAAGCTTCTTTTAAGAAGCCCTCAATTACCTGACAAGAAAAGAAAAGAAAAGACAAGCCACCTGCCTGAGCACTCTTTTCTCAATCCCCTCAAAAAAAAAGATCCTCCACGCTTGCGTACTAATTGCATTTCAAGCCGCTGGACCTAGAGAAGCCTCGAATTACCCCGACAAAGGAGCTGGACTGGGCAGGGCTAGGGTAGAGCTGGACTGGGACTAGGGTGGGGACTAGGGTGGGGATGATCCCCTTGAAGATCCTTTCGAGAATCTCCCCGACTCACTAGTTAGTCATCCGAGATCTCCCGCACATAACGAGTAGCTGGGGGTTACGTAACGTTCAAAACTTGAGCCATAGATCTTGCAATTACTAGGGAAAGTACTAGATCACTGTGGGATTTCGAAAACTAGTCTATTCGATAGAATAATAGAAATTCGATAGAAATTGATAGAAAATCGAGTTGGAAATTCGAATCTGTAAGCAAAATCTGTTGAATAGTTCGGCCCGACTTTTGACCATCGAAAAGAGGAAAGCATAAACTCTTGGGTCGAGTAAGTGCGCTCTCATTTCTCTTGAGCTTCTCTTGAGCCGAGTTTACGCGTATCTTTCAAGTGTAGTGGATAATGAGCTTGTCTACAGAACGGATCGATCATCGTCGTGAGTTCGAATCCCCACTTGAAAATCTTTTATTTTTCAGCCATTTTTCATCTTCACTGTTTGTTTTATCTATTTTCTAGGTCTTTTCGAAATTCCGTGCTGACTAGCACTTTCTCTAGTCAGTCCTGGTTCGTAGGGTTGGAATAGGCGGATGGCTAAGCCTTGCCAATCCTACAAAGCCAAGCTTTACGAAGCCTTCTACAAAGCCCTGAAAGCAACAAGGTTAAACTTAAAGATGAAACAAGCGTCCAAGTCCAAGCGTCCAAGTACAAGCGTCCTTTGAGTTCAAATTTGTAAACACACCCTTTCTGGGGCAGGGGATTTCTCAATTCTTACGAAAACGAGTATTTATTGCATGAAAGATGACGATCTCAGGGTAGCAGAAAGATTTTTGGCTTTGAGTACTTGAGAATTGAAGCATTTGAGCACTGAGCATTTGAGAACTGAGCACTGAATTGATTCAGTGCACCAGAAAGGGAGTATTTTACAGATTTCTAATCCCAAAATAAACCAAAATCAGTATTTCCCTTGCTTATTAGTTTTTGAAAGCAATAAACACCAAAATTGTCGATTGGTAAAGGTCATGGTGGCTAATAGGAGAGCTGTATTGTGATTGGATTGTTCTTGCGCCTTGTTGTTCCCCTTGTTCCCCTTGTTCCCTTTTCCCCTTGTTCCCCTTTTCCCCAGCGGTGATCTCTTTCAACAATCGTGTCATTCTTGATTTAATTGTCTCAATTGAATGGGGTTTTTTTTTGAATAGATCGGTAAAAAGTAAAGTTGCGCAACTCAAGAATCAATTTGTTTGAGTCTGCCCTTAGAATGACGATAATTGGTGAGTAGACTGGACAAATCCTAACGCATTTTCTCAGGCATTCTTCCAAACAAGGCTCCAGACTAGAATCTTGGTCTTGGCCTGGATACTTAGTAAGTAGCAGCTTAACCAAGACACAAGGCCTACCCTGACTCTGTTAGAGCTGATTTAAGTGGAGGAAATGCAATCTGTATTACTGAGTTACTGTAGCTTTAGAAAACCTTTAGTAAACTGTACTATAGTGTTGTAGAAAGCCAAAACCCATTGAACTAGATGTTCAAAACGTTCACAACCAATTCTGCAGCTTTCCAGCACCCGAATGATCAAGATCTTCTCAAAATCTTCTCAAAATCTAAACGAAATCTTCAACGTACTTCAGCTTAATGATCAATACCTAAACACTTAAGTGGAAACGGTGAATTTCCAATAAGCAGGGAAGTCTTGGTGAAAAGCGGGAAGGGAGAAGGGTAAAAAGCCAATTAACTGGCCTCTCCTTGTCCCCTTTTCCCTTTTCCTTTTCTAGATCTTCTCTAGATCCAAAGATAGCCCTCACCCCACAAATGAAACGTTGCTCTCTGGAAAATTCTTCAATTTATACCCACTTTGAATTTTGGGCAGAGTGAAATTTCTGGGAAACATTCTAAAGATTAAATACTAAGTATTATCTACAGTACCTTTGGCCTAAGTAGTTCGAAAAAACCGATCCTTTTATGGGTTGAGCTGAGAATAAACCTGGTCACCACCGTGAATCGAACCTGCCAGCTCCCTCTTACCGCGCCAACATTCTACCAATGAGCTACAGTGTCCCAGGGTAGACCTTATGTCTTACTAAGTAATACGGGTAGCATTACTTAGTAAATATCAACTTATCCAAGGCATTAAAACCTAAAAAAGGAAAAAAGAATCCGCTCTCGGACTCGAACCGGGGATCCCCCGCCTCTAGTGCTAGCCCACTGCCACTCGGCCACCATTGCAACTCTTCCCGTCGCGGAAGACAGGGTTCTAACGTCGCGCTTTGATTTTTAAAGCGATTGATATAGAAACTTTAAAGGCATATAACTTTTGACAGAGTGCTCTGTAGCAAAAACCGAAAGCAGATTCGGAATCAGCGGAAAATTCTGCGTCGATGGGTCTATGGCCGATTTGGCCAGCACATCCAGCTCCCTTGTTATTCGAGGGTTTAATCCCCTCTCCAGAAATCAACTTTTTCTTGTCAATTTCTTCATTTCTTTATTACAAAATCAACTACGAATGCATAAATGCAAATTTTAATAAACTCTAGTTTAGAATATATATTTTAATTTTTTGTTTTTTTACCTGTGCATTAGCTGCAAATATTAGCGTTATCCAGAATGTCCCGTACAGCAAAAATGGGCTCGTTGAGGTTGACATTTTGAAAGGAAACAATGTTTTTTCGGAAATAACTTTCACAAATCGTTCATCTTCTAATCAAAAATCGATCCATAAAGCTCTAAATTCAATAGGAAATTTGAAATTTAACAAAAAACAACCAAAAATCAACAAAAAACAACAAAAAACAACAAAAAACACCCAGAAACAACCCAAAAACAACCAAAAAACAACAATAAAACAAAAAGCTCAAGTGTATTTGATTAAGATAAAGTTTGGGTTTGAGTTTCGCTTTGCAAAAATTTGCTTGTTACAAGCTTGGACCTGTTACAAGCTTGGACCTGTTACAAGCTTGGACCTGTTACAAGCTTGGACTTGCTACAAGCTTGGACTTGCTACAAGCTTGGACTTGCTACAAGCTTGGACTTGCTACAAGCTTGGACTTGCTACAAGCTTGGACTTGCTACAAGCTTGGACTTGCTACAAGCTTGGACTGCACAAGCTTGGACTTGCTACAAGCTTGGACTTGCTACAAGCTTGGACTCTACAAGCTTGGACTTGCTACAAGCTTGGACTTGCTACAAGCTTGGACTTGCTACAAGCTTGGACTTGCTACAAGCTTGGACTTGCTACAAGCTTGGACTTGCTACAAGCTTGGACTTGCTACAAGCTTGGACTTCAAGCTTGACTTGCTACAAGCTTGGACTTGCTACAAGCTTGGACTTGCTACAAGCTTGGACTTGCTACAAGCTTGGACTTGCTACAAGCTTGGACTTGCTACAAGCTTAGCTTTAAAAGTCTAGAAAAGAAAAAGAAAGAGAAAGGCTCAGCTAATCGGGGGAAATTCAATAAATTTCAATATGGAAACATCGAAAAAGAATGGGGAAATGGAAATGAAGGAAATGCACGCTCATTCATTGAGAAGTCTTTGTAGAGAAGGGACGCGTTGCTAGGGGTCCGCCGCGGGCTCAAGGGCAACTCGATCTCTGAAGAGCCGAGGATCGGCTTTAGACTTTAGATTTTAGATTTTACTAGACTTTAGATATACCTAGAGCTTTTGGCTTTTGTTAGTGTGTTAGCTTGGAGTTCTGAGCCGAGTTTTGAACCTTCAAGATCTATATGAACTAGCTGCGCTTAGAGAAATTGTCCTATGGCACCCATCGAAATTATTCTAGTTTTAAAATGATCAACGATGGTGCACTGGCGGCTGAGATCTAGGATCGGAGTACGCGATACTACTGTTTCCGTTGCCTGTAGAAAAAAGCTGAACTTAAAATCCCCGAAAAATAAAACGCCCCGAAAACCTATGTTGTTTTTGGAGCTCTAGCTTCTCCCGTTCTTGAGATGAAAGTAGCGAACGGACGGACGGACAGACAGACAGACAGACAGACAGACAGACAGATAGACAGACAGACATCTCTCAATTATATATTCTAGATACTTTATTCAGAAATAAAGTGTGGAAAAGAAATGAAAAAATTGTACTAGATAAATGATTGAAAAGTCACACAAAATGCAAGGAAAAAACGCATTCTTTTATTCTATTAGACCAGCAGTTTCGCTGCTCCGTTGCAGCAAAAAATTTTAACTAAAAAGCAAAAGAATTGGCAGCAAGAGGAGTCGAACCCGCGACCTCTCTCTTCCGTTCGTTTGCGAGACGCGCGCGTTAACCACTCGGCCATTCGATGCTGCAGTGCGAAAGGACTTGTCTCTAGCCTAGGCGACCCGCCATGCTCTGTGGATGGCGCAATGCGAGCGCCCTTGCCTCTAGCCCACACGACCCGGGTTCGACTCCCGCTCGCGCCGGCACTTTTAGTTTTTTTAAAATTTCAAAATATGTTGCACAACTAAATGAAATTCGAAGTCAAACTAACTATAAATCATTTGAAATGGTTCTCTAGGGGCTGAGGAATAAGCATAAGCAGACAGACAGATAGATAGACAGACAGATAGACAGACAGCCAGCCAACCAGCCAGCCAAACGTCTTAGTCCCTTGTATATAGGTATTAGAGATAGTATTCGGCTGGATACTAAACGGCTGGATACTACTGATTACTAGATATATACTTTAGACTGTATTTATGAATGTATTTATTACAAAGAGTTGTTAGCTAAAAGAAAACTGAAAGCGCTTCTTTTAAAAGGGTCTAAATCACTCAAAAAGTCTCAAAGACATCTCCAACTTATCTAAATATTCAAAAATTAGGCAAAGGACTTAGTTATTTGTTTTTTTTTTCCGTATTTTCATGGATTAGTATAGTCTAATTACTGGAAAAAAGAGCGGAAATCGGGGTGTCACCAAAAGAGGAGATTCCTAATCCCATACAGGTGAAATGGGTGAAATTGGGAAGTATAAGAATGCCTAAAAAGCCAAAAAAACGTATGGACACCTAAACTCTAGCAGAATCTATCTAATAGAACGCTTTTTGTTTAAATCTTTATGGTAAAAGAGCGAATTTGAATGGTTCAAAGAGGAATGGATGACCATGGACACGCACAATAAAAGCGATCATGAAAAAGCATTGAAAAAGCGATCATAAAAAGGGGAAAGGTGTGAAAATGAGAAAGATTTAGATGAATGCGATCAAATAGCAAATAAACTTTTATTTTAAAAGCTATCTAAAGCTGTAGCAAGTTGGATTTCTAGCCTTTCTAGCCTTCTAACCGTACTTCAGACTGAATTGTTCCAAAAATTCCAATTGTTCCATGATCCAAGTCTACCCAGATTTCTCAACTGATTTCTGGTCTTGTTTAGCCTGGTTTACTATTAGTTTTGCTTTACTGAGTACTTAGATCTGACTGTGGTACTTGAATCTGAACCAGTACTGAAGTAAAGTACTTGAATCTGACTCTAGCCTTGTCTAGCCAATGTCTAGCCTTGTCTAGGCTTGTCTAGGCTTGTCTAGCCTTGTCTAGCCTTGTCTAGCCAATGTCTAGCCTTGTCTAGCCATTACCTGGCTAATGTCTGGCCGATTCTAGCTATCATGCCTGACTTAGCCTGAGTACATAGCTAGTTTCTAGTACATAGCTGAACTATGTACTAGAAAAACTCTAAACTCAACTATTTTCTTATAAAAGTAAAGTAGATTTCGTAGTATTGGAGAAACTTTGTAAAAAGTACTAATATTTTAGCTCAGGTTCAGGCTTAGGCTTAGGCTGACTTAGGCTTAGGCTTAGGCTTAGGCAAAGGCTAAGGCTTAGGCAGACCAGGCTCAGGCTTAGGCTTAGACTCAGGCTCAGGCTTAGGCTTAGGCTTAGGCTTAGGCTCAGACTCAGACTCAGGCTCAGTACTTGTTCTACTAATACTGAAACTTTATTGCTCACTGTTCTACTGCAAAATTCTATCACTTGAGAATCTATTACTTTACAATAATCACTATTTTAGCTATAAGCTAAAGCTATAAGCCAGAATTTAAAGCTATAAGCCTAAATGTAAAGAAACAAGTTAACGTTCAGCGTTCAGTAAATGAAAAGAGAAAGAGCAAAACGAATTTATGATACTAGTGGATGAGATATTGAGAACATGAGAAGTCATCCGGGAACTGGAGTGGAAAAAGAGTGGGTGGGGCTTAGCAGGCCAGCCTTCTCCTCTTTGATCCGTGCTAGGTACTGGTCCTTTTTATTTCACCCCGATTCTGCCATTCACCATTTTTCCCTTTCCAAAAAAAAGGAATCCTAGAGGAAATTGGTGCCTTGGTTCAGTGCAATGGACCTTGAGGGAAAGTGTTTTGACAGGGCAAAAAAAAAAAGATGAAGTACTAGAGTCGAAAATGACGTACTGGAAAAAAATTGTCTCAATGAATTTGACATGTTATGTTAAATTGCAGTTTTCTGTGTAAAGAAAACAGAATTGATTGGGATTGAGGCTTTAAACGACTGTATTCTATTTACATTCTATTTTCTTAGGACGGCAATTTAGTAAATTAGCTCTCATCGTAACTGATTCAATTCAAATCTCATCATAGCTGAGAGCTCAACTCTAGAGCTATTAGAGATATAAAGATCGTTTATCTAGATCTATTAGAGCTATAAAGATCTTTTTAATGTCTAAAGTAAGCTTTCTGATTCTTTTATGCAAGAAAATAGGTTTCCTACTTGCTGTTAAGTCTGTTAAATCTAATTGATGTAAGCTAGCTAGTGAACCAAAGCTAGCTAGTAAACAAAGCTATCTAGTAAACTAAAGCTATCTAGTAAGCAAAGCTAACTAGTAAACCAAAGCTATCTAGTAAACTAAAGCTAGCTAGTAAACAAAGCTAACTAGTAAACAAAGCTATCTAGTAAGCACAGCTAGCTAGTAAGCTAAAGTTATCTAGTAAGCTAAAGCTAACTAGTAAACAAAGCTAACTAGTAAACAAAGCTATCTAGTAAGCAAAGCTATCTAGTAAACTAAAGTTATCTAGTAAACAAAGCTATCTAGTAAACCAAAGCTATCTAGTAAACTAAAGCTATCTAGTAAACAAAGCTAACTAGTAAACTAAAGCTAACTAGTAAGCAAAGCTATCTAGTAAACAAAGCTAACTAGTAAACAAAGCTAGCTACTAAGGAAAGCTATCTAGTAAACTAAAGCTAGCTAGTAAGCAAAGCTATCTAGTAAACAAAGCTACTAATTACCTAAAAAAACTCTTTCATCACTAATAAATCAAGCATAGGACTTTTGAAATGAAAAAAGAGATGTAAAGAGAGAAAAAAAAGGGAAGGGCTTGATAGAATATGCATGGAGAAAAGGGGAATGATGCTGGAAAAGAAGTGAAAAGTGAAAACAAGCACACTAAACATAGAAGCATCTGAAAATGAGAGTTGAGTGCGCTAGAAAAAGTACGTTTACCTTTTTTGAGTACATTCTAGCATAATAACGAAACAGTTTATTCAGTAATTTTTATCCTGATTGCACACTTGCACTATTTTCTACAACTATTGTCTCGTTTAAAGTTTGTTTGAACTATCGGAAGCTGTATAACAGCTATTTAAGACTAGTATTCCTTGGTAAATGGCATTGGCATTGACTCAATGTGTAGAAGCTCTATTTTAGCTATTCAAAGTGAAAGATGAAAGAAAGAACAGTCAAAGTAGAAAGAAAGAAAGAAGAAAAAAGAAAATACTGTTTTAGTGCAAAAGTTAGCAGATTTTCAGTAGAACTCAGCAAAATTTCAACCAAGTAAGCCTGTAAGTCAGGTCTATTAGTAGACAAGTCTACATTTTGTGTCAAGTGTCTTTTTGTGGACCTTTTTGTGAACCTAAGCCTAGACCTACAGTAAAGCCTAGCCAGATCAGACCAAAACCTGATTTCACTACAGAAAATTGTCTACTAGCATCAAAAGTTCCCTTATAGAGTAACCCGTGGGTCCAAGAATGTCTTTCCCGTGTGTTTACGAGTGATTAGTGTGTCCCAAACGATGAAGGGAATCAGAAAATGGAAGAAAAGAAAGAAAGAAAGAAAGAAGTTGAGCCCCGTTGTGCGATGGGAAAGTCAGAAGAAAATGGAGGACATGGAGAGGTGGGTTCAGTAAAGAAAAGGGGGGAAAGTGAAGGAAACGGGTGTAGTGGATTAAATGAAAAACGAAGGGGGGAAGCAAAAGGAAGGGTGGGAAAAAGAAAAGAATCAGGTAAAGTGATGGGAGATGGGAAAATGAAAGCTTAGATTGGTAGTTGTTTTTAAAAATGCGATTCTTGTTTCCATTAAGGTACTGTTAAGTCCGGTTAGCTTTGCTGTTGTTTCAAGAACACTTTTTGTCGAGTTCTTTCAATCAAACCCGTCTAAAAACCCGCCTAAGAGGCTTAAAACGACTGGATAAAAGGATAGAAGCCTTTGATAAAAGTTCTAGGTTAGATTCAAGTTCTGAAAATTTAGTTACAAGGCTTGCTTGCCTTGCAAAGTCGAAGACGAAGTTTAAAACGATTGAGTTCATTTAAAAGCTTATCAAAAAGAAGATAAAAAGGTTAAATAAGATATTTCATAAATGCAAATTCTAGAGATTGGAAGAAGCGTTTGAATGGGAATAAAGGACAAAAGGGGGTACCCTGGAGGGCACAAAGAGGGAAGGAGAGGAGAGGTGAGGAGGAGGAGAGGAGGAGGAGAGGAGAGGTGATGGGGCGGGGCCAATCCCTCCCCCTCTGCTTCTGTTTTGGGTATTACAATTTCAGCATTCATTAAAATTCGAGATTAATAACTTTTTGACATAAAGAAGCTTCCAATTAACTCCCCTTTTGTTCAAAAACTTTCAAAAACAAAAAACAAAAAACAAGAACTTCTCTTTTTTTCGAAAAAACAATCAAAACCGCAACACTTTTACAGATTTCATTTAAATGTTCAATGTGTCGAGGTCAACTCTTTGATTGGTTGTGTAGAACCAATCAAAGCTTGGTTATGTAGACTTGTATTGCAAAAAAATGACAGCTAAATTGAACTTTACTGTCTAAAAGATCAATCCTTGTATTCTTAACGTATAATAATAAAAATATAAGGTACTTGTGGAGTATCCGGGGGGGGTCTTTCAATATCCGGGGAGGGGTAAAATTTTAAAATCCGGGGGGGTAAAATTTTATATACGTTATACACGACCCCTTTTAAAGATATTCAGCCGCTTAAGTGATTTGGTGGCAAATTCCCTTCAAATGTAAAGATATTCAATTTATTCGAGGTGATTACTTGATTCGAGGTGATACAAAAAAACGACAAAAACGTAACTTCTACAAAATTTGTTATGTCATTATTAGAAATGTCGATAATATCCTAGTTGGCGGGTCATTTTTTTTCTTCAAAACCATTTTTTGAGGTAGTTTTATGTGTTGATGTGGGTCCGGCGGATGCCCAACCCACATGTGGTTTTGAAGAAAAAAGTGGTCCCCCAACTAGGATACTATCAAAAGTTTTTTTTCAGGTTGGTTTTTGAAAGTTTACCCCGGATCTCAAAATTTTACCCCCCCCGGATATTGAAAGACCCCCCCAGATACTCCACAAGTACCAAAATATAATAATAAATAATAAAAAGTATAAAAAGTAAAGTATAATAATAAAAAATAAAACAATAATAATAAAAAACAATAATTTTAAAAAAAACACGGCGGACCGGGCAATAATTCTTTAAAAGAATGAATTTTGAGACGAGAAGGGAGACGCCGTCTCGAGTGTCTCGGGTACGGTAGCTTAGGTGTATTTTAGAATTTAGAGTTGAAAAGTTGCCAACCCGTACTCGAACTTCGGGAATTCGTTTTACTTAAAATTTTACTTACTTTTTACTTACTTACTTTTTACTTACTTACTTTTTACTTACTTATTGCTTAAAGGGTACTGATCCTCTGCTTGGGACATGGCTATCAGGTAAATCTGGCCTGGCAAAGAAAAAGCTATTTTCTAGTAGATTTCTAGTAGATGTTCTAGTAGATGTTCTTAAACAAACTTGAAACAAAGATTGCTTAATAGACTGCTTAATATATTGCAACGATTGCTTAATAGACTGCTTAATACAGCGTCGGAGAAAAGTATTGTCGAGGTCGAGGTCGAGGCCAACTCTTTTCTCTTTTCCAACCATCATATCTTTTTTCAAAATTGAGCTTTTAACATATTTATTGAAAAAAATTCCAGATAAATAACCAAAAATTCAAATTTATAACAAGTGTTCGAAATTGGACCCTTTGGCTTTGATATAGGCTTAGGCGGGATCACTGAGCCGACGGTGGCACGGAGGTAGTTGGCATCAAGGCATCATCAATCGTTCCAGGCAGCGATCAATTCCCCCTCGAGCTTGTGATTTGTGATTCACCAAGATTTGTGATTTTCTTGTGCCTCAAACGTTCCTCTAAGAAGCCTCATACTGAAAAATCCAAAGGTCAAGGTCCGGCGAGTTGCTGGGCCAGTCTTCTTTCGTGAAATGAGAGAGCAATTCGCGTCAGGTCAGGTCCATTGTGATCAGGTCCAATCAGGTCCATCGTGCTCAGGTCCAATCAGGCCCATTGTGGCCCAATCAGGTCCAATCAGGTCCAGTCAGGTCCAATCAGGTCCATTGTGGTCAGGTCCAATCAGGTCCAATCAGGTCCATTGTGGTCCAATCAGGTCCAATCGGGTCCAGTCAGGTCCAATCAGGTCCATTGTGGTCAGGTCCAATCAGGTCCATTGTGGTCCAATCAGGTCCAATCAGGTCCATTGTGGTCCAATCAGGTCCATTGTGGTCAGGTCCAATCAGGTCCAATCAGGTCCATTGTGGTCCAATCAGGTCCATTGTGGTCAGGTCCAATCAGGTCCAATCAGGTCCATTGTGGTTTTCGCTCCATGGGCCAGGGCCCAGTCCTGCTGGAAGGTCATATTAGGGTTTTTTTCGATATGTAGATTGCAAAGATTGCTTAATAGACAAAGACTTAATAGCTAAAATAACAAATTTTACAATATACTCTTATGAATTGCGACTGAAAAGTAATTAGTAATGACAAGTAATCGAAAATGAGTTCTTCAATCGAAAATGAGTCCGCTCAGTGACCGGGTGTCAAGTGTGAAAAACAATGTGTGCTAGGAAGTTTAGGAAAAGGAATAGGAATATCCACGAAAAGAGAGGGCCAATATAGGATTACCAGATATCTATCCAATCCCCCCAAAAGAAGAAAAGAGAGGAAAACGAGCGCCAGCCGGTCACTCTCTGGCCTCACTTATATCGCCCTTTCTTATGGGATCTGTTCCTTCACAGAGCTTCTCATTTTTTTGCAAATCGGATCACAATCCCACCCCAAATCCTGCTTAGGGCCCAAGATTATAATTTTATAACTTTTGACTATATTGGAGTGTTCTATTTGGTGTCCCAAAGCGACGCGACAATTTTGGCATACGGTAGTTTCGGGGTTAAGGAGAAATTTGGCTAGAAAATTCATTCTGGTTTTATTGCAGCAAGTATTTGCTGTGTTAGTTGTGGTTAAAGGACTTTAAAGGACAATTCCCTCCTTTAAAAGTTTTGTCTTTCAGTTTACGAGGTGTGTTTTAGTCGAGTTACTCTCCGAGAATTGGAGCTCGATCGCAGAGCTTATGGAGGCCTCACTGCTAAAAATGGATCTCAAAGCTGCTGCTCAAAGCAGTCATTGCCAAAATCTCAACAAGTGAACTAGCCGATTCAACAATTCGAAACAGCAACGCCGAAGCCAAGCGCCAAAGCCAAGCGCCGAAGCCAAGCGCCAAAGCCAAGCGCCAAAGCCAAGCGCCAAAGCCAAGCGCCGAAGCCAAGCGCCGAAGCCAAGCGCCGAAGCCAAGCGCCGAAGCCGAAGAAACTTTGCAAAGAGCATATGGATCATAAAGATGTCTTGTCTTTCTTCTCGTCAATTCAGAAACCGTCGGTCCAACCAGTTCAGTCCAGGAACGGTCGATCCAATCTCAACATTTCCGCCTTCAAGTTTTTCAACGGAGTGTTCAGCAATATGTTCAGCAATGCGTTCAGCAATGTGTTCAGCAATGGATCGATTCATCACAGCCATATCCAAGTCAGCCATCACAGCCAGCACAGCCATCACAGCCATCACAGCCATCACAGCCATCACAGCCATCACAGCCATCACAGCTATCACAGCCATCACAGGCCTCCCCTCGCCTTCATGGAACTTCACAACATCACAAATCGATCCCCTTGATAGCCTTGAAGAAAATCATCAATTACAGACTGCACAGAGGATCAGAGCGAGAAACGAACTACAACTATGTTGTACACTGCCCTGATGCGGATCTCTGAGGCAGTCAATTTGCACTGGAACGACATCTCACACGATTTAATCGATGGGACCTAAAGAATTCAAGTTAAGAAGGCAAAGAATGAGCTGGGAGAAGGCTGTTCGACTTTCATATCATTATGGGACTTCGAGGACGTCAAGGAGTTGTGAGATTTCTGGGAAACGATACGAGGTGCCTTAGCTTTCATTTTCCCGGGACGACATCGCGAAGCAAAGCAAAGCAACTGCCATCAGAAATCTTGTCAAACTCAAGGAATTGGGAGTTTACGACTTTACATCACATTCGAGCAGGAGCCTCACTTCTAGCAGGAGCCTCACTTCTAGCAGGAGCCGTTACGAAAGCTCAAACGGTGTACCGATGGAAGTCCTTTAGCAATGGACGATGGAAATCAAATGAATCCATATCTCCATTGATTAGCACGAAGGCCTAATCAATCAACCTTTCGCCAAGAGCTCGGTTCTCTTTCCTTTCTTATCGGATCTGTTCCTTATCTTACTCTGACTTTGTGATCATGTTCTTCCAGAGATTGCTCAATGAAGAACAGATTTAACTAGTGAATGAAGTGGAAAGTTCATTCTGCAGATTTCCCCACCGCAGTCCATTCTCTTCTTAGCCTTAGCAGATCTGTTCCCTTTTTGCACTCCTCAAAAAGTTTCTCATTTCTAGGATTACCCTTGTTTATCGACAGCCACCCGTTTGGGTCATAAAAATCGTTCTTTTCCTTGAAAAAGATTGTTGCTAGTTAGGATGTGCTAATTGGAAAGAGAGAGAAAGAGAGAGAGAGAGAGAGCAAGTCCAAGCCATCGACCACCCGAACAACTGGTCTTTGATGTGTTTTTCTTGCAAAAACGATTCATAAAATTTATTGAGTCACATAAAGAGAGAGTTTAAATGAAAATAGAGAGACTTTCAAGTTTTGCCGAGAGTTTCCAAAGTAATCTTACTGATATTTAGTTATGAAAAAGTTAGATTATCGTCAAATTATCGTCAAATTATCATAAATCAAAAAGTACATTGTTTATATGAAATTTTCAGGCTTAGCCTTTACGCAAAGTTACGATAAATCCATGTTTAGTTGGCCAGGAGAATTCGAAATGTTTAGATCAGATTACGACGAGAATACGACCTTTCAAAAGTCGACACTTTTGAAGAGCAGAACAGGGCAACTCAATCGTGTCAAACACTGACTATTAAAGATCTTTTTCTTCGACTTTACTAGTGTAGGATTTTAAAATGTTCATTCTTGTCGTACTTTCTAATCGATCTACAGCAGGGAAAGGATTTTTTTGCTCAATCAACTTGACATGTCTTGAAGAAGCGAACGAACTTGAAGAAGTCTTGAAGAAGTCTTGGAGAAGTCTTGGAGAAGCGAACGAACTTGAAGAAGTCTTGGAGAAGTCTTGGAGAAGTCTTGGAGAAGTCTTGGAGAAGGCTTGGAGAAGTCTTGGAGAAGCGAACGAACTTGAAGTCTTGAAGAAGTCTTGAAGAAGCGAGCGTATCTACTAACGATGGCCTTAAGTTGAAGTGGGTGAGCTAAAGTTGAGGAAGTGGGCCGGTTGAAGTTGGGATGACTGTTCGTCTTGACATGTTTTGAAGAAGCGAACGAACTTGAAGAAGTCCCAGTTGTCGACCGATTTCGCAGTTGGGCCTTGTCGAAAAGTGTCTCGTAGCCTAGTGATTAGTACCACTAACCCGGTAATCGATACTAATTGCTCACTGGTTCGAAGGCGTTCACGGACAAAGTTGTTTACTATTTTGTAAAATGATTAAAGATGATTTTAAAGGCCAGTAAGAGCCAGGAAGAAGCCAGGAAGGCCAGTAAGAGCCAGAATAACCACGTTTGTTTCGTTCTATTCTTTTCCCCAGCTCTTTTCCCCAGCTCTTTTCCCCAGCTCTTTTCCCCAGCTCTTTTCCCCAGCTCTTTGCCTCTCTCCATACTGTGCTTATCAAGAAAGTGTCTGGTTGAAAAGGGGGAAACCCCGTCAGCTTTTATGGATTACACATTTTCTATTCCTAAAAACTCCTCTAGAAAGTGATTTGCAAGAAAGAATGAGCTTGAAATTGTTGTTCAACATCGATTCCAACAATCAGCCAAATTTCGATCAAGATTTGATTCGGGAAATCGGTCGACAAATCGGAGACAGACCGGTTAGCAATTCAACTTTTTCTGACCTTTCTGACCTTTCTGACCACACTCTTTTATAATTGCAAATGTTTTGACTCTTTTAACTTACAAGGGAACTCTTTGAACTCGGGATAGATCTGAGGTACGTGATCTATCTACAAAACGCCACCTTGAAAAGTTAGGGGATACGTGTTTTCTATGTTTACTTTTCTAGATTTAAAATCTTTGTAAAAACGCAAAAAGCAAAAAGCTTTAGCGGCACGCGGATTCGAACCAGGACTAAGAAGCGTCGAAGGCGGCGACACTATCCACTACACCACCCGTCCCGTCCCTTGCGGCCGTGAGAAGTCCTTTTTAAGCAGACGGTGCCGATTTTTCGAAAATCGCCAAAACTTCAAATACGTTTCTACAAAGATTTTAAATATAGAAAGTAAAAATTAAAAAACACGTATCCCCTAGTTTTGACGTTTTTCGAAAAATCGGCACCGTCTGCTTAAAAAGGACTTCTCACGGCCGCAAGGGACGGGACGGGTGGTATAGTGGATAGTGTCCCCGTCCTCGACGCTTGTTAGTCCTGGTTCGAATCCGCTTGGCGCCAGGCTTTTTTGGTTTTTTGCAAACCTCCCAAACTAAAGCACATTTTCATGATAATTTAAGTGTTTAGCAACATTCATCTAATGTATTTCATTTAATATAATCTATAATACGGAGTCGAACCAGGATTAAGAAGCGTCGCGGGTGGGGTCACTATCCACTACACCACTCGGTCCGTCCCTTGCGGTCGAAAGAAGTCCCAGATCTATCCCGAGTTCAAACAGTTCTTTTTTAGAGGGGACTTTTAAACTTAGAGTGGCCTTTTGACCATTTTAGACCCATTTCTCGGTTTTTAACGTTTTCCTCGTGCTTGCTGGGTTTTTTAACGCATATTTATTGACGCCAATTGACACCATCTCCTTTGGATGCATCCTTTGACAAAGCCATTCGTTTAATACCATCACTGCCGTTTTTCTCATTGAAAATCAAAGAATAAAGAGTTGAAAACTGAATTGCGCCATCTCTTTTTCGCTCAGATTCTTGCAGTCCTCAAAAAAATAGTCCTCCTCCTGCAGTATTTGAGGTTATACTGTTGGGAAAATCGTTTAAGATGTCGATGATTGGCTGAGGTTGAATCCCTGACGATAGAACGGCTCGCCCAGAAAGAGAGACATGGAATAATACATAAAAAAATAAAACTTCAAGTATTTTCATTAGTAGGTGACAAATGTTAAAAGCCGAGAAGTCTAAAATGGTCGAAAGTTCCCTCAAAGTTACAAACCAAGTACCTTTAGTGCCTCTAGATCTTCCCAGTACCTCTAGATTTCTTAGGTGGCCGTTGTCTCAACGGTGGGCGGCTTTCGAGAAGGAAAATCCTTTTTCGACAATATCTTGCTGAAAGGCCTTCAGAATGGGGGAAATGTTGAATTTGAGCCGAATGATGTCATTGGGTAAGTCGTGGAAGCTGTTTAGAAAACAAGTGGCTTGTCTAGGGGTCCGAACGGGGTCGCATTTAAACGCGGAATTCAACGGCACACTGTTGGCATTCAAATATGGGATAAAGTTTTCTACCGAACAAATTCGCGAGGCATCGAGGTAGATCAGTTATTAATTTTAGAGGCAGAGAGACAGACAGACAGGCAGGCAGACAGGTAGACAGGTAGACAGGCAGACAGGCAGACAGGTAGACAGGTAGACAGGCAGACTGGCAGACAGGCAGACAGACAGGCAGACAGGCAGACAGGCAGACAAGCAGAAAGACAGGCAGACAGGTAGACAGGCAGACAAGCAGAAAGACAGACAGACAGCCAGACAGACAAACAGACAGACAGACAGACAGAAAACGGTTTTCTCGCTTTAAGAAGGGGAAAGATTCAAACTTTAGATAGCGGTGCTGTTAATAGACACACAGGGAACTTTCGACACGGAGAGTCATATGAAAAACTCGGCAATCATCTTCATGATAACGCTGATGATTTCTTCAAACTTAGTACGTGAGGCAGATTTGGTGTGAAAACTTGCGAGAAGATTTAGGTATTCAATAAGATGAAACTCTTGAACGCGCACGACCTCGCCGATTTGAACGTCTTCATCGAAATGAGTCGAAATGGCGGCGAGCCGATGGGACAGGTTGGAAGAAAGTTGTGAAGGATTTGAATTTCTTCAGAGTCTGCTCTTTTTGATGCGTGACTGGCAAGGCGACGGTGACGGTGGGATGTGGCCGGAGTATTTGAAGGAAATTAGAGTGAGAATTTGTTTCTTTTGTAATAGTTGATTTTTTGAGAGCTCGTCAGCGAAAGCAGCTGATTTGAAGGGAATGCTAGAGGGGATTTTTGGCGCTTTTCATAAGGTTGGTGACGATAAATACAGAGTTTCATTACTGATTTCATTTAGGTTGAATGCTGGACCGTGTTCCCTCCAAATGCGGCGGTGAGAAAGGCGGATGGTTCAATCAAAGCAGGAGGTTGTTCTTCTGATCCGATGAGATCCTTTCTATCTTTTTAAACCTATCCATTCAGATTGTGACGCTGAGTTTTTGAGAAATTTGTGCTCTTGTGCAAATCATATATTGCGAAATCTGGAGCCAAAGAAAGTCTTGGGCACTGCGCTGGATGGAGCAACGTTGGAAACCTATATTCTAGTGGGAATCTATATTCTAAAAGAAGCTTTGATGGTTTCTATCAAATTTAGGAAGTCGTCAAGCATGTGCGTGAAAACAGCGCAATTTGTATGAACAATGCTCTGGAGGTGAGTGGTTTATTCGAGTATTCGCGTTGAGGGATCGTTCTGTTCAGGCCACTTCTCGGCTGTGCTTTCAGGAGGCAAAAAACAAAGCAATACAGCATTTCGATACGGACATTGCAACGGTTTTTTTTTTTATTTTATCGATTATTATGAAGCTTTTTGTGCAGATAAAGAAACAAGCTGACGAAAAAGGGATCGACGAGAGTTCTTTAGTCACGAGGCTTTCCCAAATCAAGACGATCGCTTTGAAGGTACCGTTTTAAATCGCATTTATTAGTGATGGAAAACAGCTATTGTTTTATTGGTTATGGAAAAATTTGGAAAACTATTAGATACTACGGAAAAATTTGATGACTCTTTTATTAATTATTGGGTTGGTCAATTGAAAACTGCGGGACTTTGAACTAAAATTTATTCAACATAAAAACATCAATCCATTCCAAATAATTTCCATTATTATTGACGACTTCTGCCCATTTTACGGGCAATTTGCGGATTCCTCTTTCTTCGTAGGATTTTGGTTTGTGTGTGAGACAAGTGTGAGACTCAAAAATGGAGGACTGGAGATCTCCAATGTCCCAGTTTGAGCACTTTCTTCAAAAGAAACCCATTTTGGTGTCAATAGAAAAGTTGTAGAGAATCAAAAAATTAGGCTTATAGCGAAATTTCCAAAAAGATACCCTTAGTAGTTTCGCTTAAAATGCAAGTTTTGTTGCAAGTTTTGTGAAAATTCGTAAATTTGGCATTTCTTGAAAACCAGTTTTTGAATCGTTCTGAAAATTTGGATATAAGTTTGATTTTTGATTCTCTACAACTTTTCCATTGACACCAAAATGGGTTTCTTTTGAAGAAAGTCCTCAAACTGTCACATATGACAATAGCCGGCAGTTTTCAATTCAACAACCCAATAGATTGAGATTAGCCTTGATTTGCGGAGAAGTCACTGTCCAATTTGAGGATTCGGAAACGTTCAGAAGACATAGGAGAGGAGAGAGGGAAGGGGGTGATGTAAAAGCCCTGCGCCAGACGACGAGCGATTACGCGGCCGCACAAAGAACACACAGAACACACAAATTTTCAGCGAAACTACTAAGTGAATATTTTTTGAAATTTGGATATAAGCTTGATTTTTGATTCTCTACAACTTTCCCATTGACACCAAAATGGGTTTCTTTTGAAGAAAGTCCTCAAAATGTCACATATGACAATAGCCGGCAGTTTTCAATTCACCAATCCAATATTATTGTTATTATTTTTAGTTTCATGTTAGGATATTCGTTTTTTCAGTTTCACTTTCAGTTTCCTTAAAGTTTTGTATGTTTCTAATTATCTATAATGTTTAGGACTCACACTTTCAAATATGGATCGAAAAAAAGGAAATTCGGACGATTCTTTTGTATGAATTTAAAACTCGAGCATTCAGCAACAAATTCAACCGAAAACATCAATCGTGCATTTGAACAAAGCACTATATCAGTTTGCACTGCGCAAGAATTGGTTCAAGCGATTCCACGAAGAAGATGAGGATCGCAAAGATGAGGCCCACGGTCGCGACTACTTGAAAATAAGGATTTGAAGCGTTTTGTCGAAGCTGATCGTCGGACCATGGAGCTGAAGCTTGCGAAATACTTTGGTGTTGGAGTTATGACAGTTAGCGATCATTTGAAAAAGATTGGCAAAGTAAAGAAGGTTGAGAAATGGATTCCGCGTCTATTGAATGATCGACAAAAATTTCCTCGTTCTCTCGCTTGATCTTCTTTGAAGTTTCAAAACAAGAAAGACTCTTTTTGGATTTTTTTTTTCGATCGATTGATAAGGTGTGATGAAAAATGGGTCCTCTTCGACGATTGGAAGTGAGTACTTTTTTTACTTTAGGGGCCTCCAAATCATTAGACAATAAACTTTGACCAACAGCTTAAAAACTTGGCACTTTTTACACCTTTTCTAGCTTTTTTTCCTTAGCTTTATTTCCAATAAGCATTTCCATTTCCAAAGTAGTCCCATTTTCTTGAGTTTATCTTCAAATTGATTGTCGGGAAGGTTCATAAAGTTGAGCAGCTTTCGTTGATTCACCTCTCGAAGAAAGTCGAGCGAATCCATTGTGCCAGATAATAAGAATGACTATTTAAGAATAAGCATTTAAGAATGTCCATTTAAGAAGCCATGGTTTGAAGGCCCCTAAAGTAAAAGAGTGCCCGAAATTCGGAATGGTTGGATAAGGACGAAACTCCAACTTCTTTTCCAAAACTGGATCTCCACCCCAAGAAGATCATCTTGTCGATTTGGTGCTAGTGATAATTCTATTCGTCTATTCGTCGCTGAAAAGCGGTCAAAGCATCGATTCGGAGGTCTACCTGCAGGTAGTCTGCAGACAAATCAAGAAGATGCACTTAAAGTTGCAGGTTTTGCACCCCGCATTGGTCAATTGAAAAGCTATTCTGCTGCAGGACAACACGCGTCCTCACGCTCTGTAATGGCACTCAGGGTGATTTAAGCATCGATCGATTTAAGCGTCAATGAATTTAACCATCGAAATCCTACCGAGTCTATTCACTAGACTTATCGCCAACTGATTTTCACTTATTGATCCCTTTATTGCTTTCTCAGAGGGCAAATATTCAAAGATGCGGTGGAGATTCGAAATGCCATTCACGTTTTTATCAACTCTAGAACTTCTGACTCTAGAACTCTAGAAGATGGAAGCCAGAAGTTCTAGTTCAGTCTTCTGACTTCTAGATGGAAGCTGGAAGTTCTAGTTGAGTCTTCTGACTTCTAGATGGAAGCTGGAAGTTCTAGTTGAGTCTTCTGACTTCTAGATGGAAGCTGGAAGTTCTAGTTGAGCTTCTGCCAAATGGAAGCTGACGTTCTAGTTGAGTCTTCTGACCTAAATGGAGCTGGACGTTCTAGTTGAGTCTTCTGACTTCTAAGGGCTGGAGTTCTAGTGAGTCTTCTGACTTCTAGATGGAGCTGGAGTTCTAGTGAGTCTTCTGCAGAGGGAGTTAGTTTAGTCTTCTGACTTCTAGATGGAAGCTGGAAGTTCTAGTTCAGTCTTCTGACTCCTAGATGGAAGCCAGAAGTTCTAGTTCAGTCATCTGACTTCTACACTTGTACATCTTCATACACGAAATCGAAAAACTTGCCGTTTACTGGCCCGTTTCCTGGCAAAAGTGCATTGATTATGATGCTATTTTGATTAGTTAGTGTTTTGAATAAAGAAATTTTTGATGATTGAAGTTGAGTAAGAAAAATGCAGTCATTTTCCGTAGTATCTAATAGATTATGTAGGCTACTTTTCAGCTTATCCCTCAAACCATATTAAGCTTCATTTGATCCTTCACATTAGAAGGATTTTAGGTGTACGATAAGCGCCCACTTTTTGGTAGTATCCCCGAGAAGACGAGACGCCGCTCGGAGCTCGAAACGGAACTAAAAGTTTTTTCTATACTTTCTTTGATTTATCTTTCTTTTGTTAGGCAAAGTGTGATGCGTTGATTGCTTGGAATGGAGATCGCGTTCGGCTACAAATCGAACGCGAACAGCAACAACGAAAAGTCGAGGCAATGCGTATCGAGAATGAGCAACAACAACGGGTTCGCTAATCTTCAACATTAATATTCAACTAATTAGAATTAAAGAGAATTTCTACGGTCAAAGTATTGCATTTAAATAGATCTTTGTCCTGGCAAGAACTTAAAGTTTGCAGAAAGCGGAAGCTGAAAGACAGCAAAGATTGAGAGAAGGACAGCTGCGCGAGCAGGCGGAACGAGCGCAGCAAGAGGAGCGACAACGGAGAGAGAAAGCTGAAAGAGAACGGGTGGAAGAGCAACGGCTTCGCGAGCAAGCGGAGAGAGCCCGCCTCGAGGATCAACAACGAAGAGACCGAGAGCGACAGGAGGAGCAACGGAGAGAACAGTGAGAAGAGTTGTTGTTGTAGTGTGAGGAGGTGTTTAGAGAGAATCAAAGGCGTTTGGAGGAACAGATGATGGCTCTTCAAATTCAGGCTCTGCAATCGCGTCAGCTAGGTGGTATGCAAGTCCCTTGGTGAGAGAAAACGGGAAGTAGCCTAAAAAAATAGCCTCATTCAGGGAAAGAGCCGGACACTCCTCTCCAACGAACAACTACTTTTATGGGAACGCTGGAATGGGAGGAATGGGAAGCAGTGGCAATGTGGGACAAGGCAAGTTCAAACTTGAATATCTTGGAAGACTTTATTTTGAACTTACAGGCCATTCGTGCAATTGTCGAACGGGTTGTCGCCACGGGAACTGTGGGTGTCGACGGAGGGGAGTAGAGTGTAACGCGGGCTGTGGCTGTGGCAGCGATTGTGTCAATTGAATCCATGCACAAAGTATTGGGTTGATGCATAATTATCCGGACTTCTTTTATAAATGATTTTATTTAACAAAAAATAACATAAATAGTTAGAAAAATATGTTTAATTGATTATTCTGGAGCATATTCACCGCCTACATCAATAACTGATTGCCATTTGCTTGGAAGACGATCGATTCCACGAGCGAAGAATAAACGATCTTTGGAGGCAATCCACGCTTTAACATCGTCTATCAAGTCATCCAAATCGTTGTAGATCTTATTTGTTTGCCAATTTTTGAGCGATCGATTGACGTGGTAGTCCGTTGGGGCTTCTCCAGTTCTTTGAGATCGCGAAACGACTCTGCGGCAGACCATCCCTTTTCGAAGTGGTAGAGCATGATATGGCGAAGATGGATATGATTGTCGACACGCATTTTGTTCACTAAAGAATAACGAATATTTAAAAAAAAGAAATAGACAAAAAGCTTTCAAAACAAAAAAGATACAAGCACGCAAAAAGAAGTCCGGATAATTATGCATCAACCCAATACAATACAAGTTACTAATTACTCTTTTTTGTTTTGTCGATCTATTGGGTTGGTGAATTGAAAACTCTCGAAAAAGAATCACTGCGCAAAAAGGGGAAATGAAATGGCGGGAAAGGAGGGGGAGGGGAGGGGGGAGGGGGGTTACTGTATCTGTCTGTCTTTCTGTCTGTCTTTCTGTCTGCCTTACTGTACGGGCATTTTTTTCAGCCCTACCAATATTTCATTTTGCATGGATATTATATTTTAAGTTGTTTTTGGTGTCATTCGATGCGCAATTTCATTCTGCATCAAATGATCATTAAAATAGTCAATTAAACAGCATCGGTTAAACAGCATAAACTGTTGCACGTCCAATTGTTCCTTGACCAAAAAGTTCTTTGAGATCGCGAAACGACTCTGCGGCAGACCATCCCTTTTCGAAGTGGTAGAGCATGATATGGCGAAGATGGATATGATTGTCGACACGCATTTTGTTCACTAAAGAATAACGAATATTTTAAAAAAAGAAATAGACAAAAAGCTTTCAAAACAAAAAAGATACAAGCACGCAAAAAGAAGTCCGGATAATTATGCATCAACCCAATAATATGTAGATCTTATGTATGCATATCAATATAAGAAGCTCTCTTGGTTTATTCGTGTGGCTTTATGGAAAATACTCGCTACGCATTTTTGTTTGTTTTGCACAATTGGGTCTTTTCGCGCAACTCGCTATAACTTTCTTCTAACTCGGCCAATCTTTATGATGTTGGTTTCATTTTGTTGCACTTATTGAGTTCTACAAAATGAGAAACCAACATCATAAAGATTGGCCCACTTAGAAAAAAGTTAAAAAGGCTATCCTTCGACAAGGTTTCGACAAAGTTTATGAAGCAAAAATTCGATCATTTCTTTTGTTTTGTTAATCTTTTTTTAATTATTGAAGAAATTTTTTGATCATTTAAATTCTTTTAAACCTTTAAAATCATTTAAATTCTTTTTAAAAATTTGATTTTTTTTGTATTTTCTTTTTAAAAAATGAATTGATTTGAATTTTTTGATGCAAAATTTCTGTTTATGTTTTTCTTCTTTTAAAAATTCGATACTTTTCGGTTATACGAGCACGAGTGGCTGACTGGTTAAGTGTCTTTTATCTTAATCGGAAGGTCGAGGGTTCGAACCCCACATGCGACATGGTCACCCCCTTCGGATTTCCTTCCTTCGGATTTCCTTTCCCTTCGGGTTGAGAGGTTTTCTGGAGGGCAGTCTGGTGGTTGTGGCCCCAGTTCTTTAAAGTGACAAGCCACTCCTTCATCGTCATCTTCCCTTCACCGCCAAAAAAAGCTATTTAGTTCCCCATTGAGCTTAGGGTTAGGGAGCCGTCTGTCATGACGTGGGTTAAGTTAAGATATAGCCTAGTATTGTGTGTGTCGTTGTATTGTGATTGATATATTTCGTGTATGCGATAAATTCACCACTGGTAGCCCCAGTCGGTATTTTTTTATACATCCACAAAGGATCCACACAGACACAAGTCGGTTAAGCAAAAAGCTGACAACTCCAACTGAACATGATTATGTTCAGTTGGAGTAGAGTGTCTTTACGTAGCTGTCCAGCCAAACTCAATCGTTGGCCGTGCAGGGCAGCTACGCAAGAAATTTGGGGCACGTTTTGGAACCGTTAAATCGAATTTTTTTTTGGTCCCGAGCGAATCGTTAAATCGAGAGTCGACTGTACTCAATTTTTGTCCCATCAATTTTATTTTCCACAAAGATTTCTCTTTCGTAGCGTTTTGAGATCCCAACTGTCGCTGGTGGAAAAGTAATTGTTCATAATTTATTGAAAGATTAGTGCTGAAGTCTGAAGTCAGTCACTTTAGATCTCAAAAGACCAAAAGTTTCATTGCGTTATATAGAGTTTTCCTCTATATCCGTTTTCCTCTATATCGAGTTTTCCTCTATATAAAGTTCCGTTAAAGAGAGAATCGATTGTATTGGGTTGGGGAGAATGACTCGGCGCCAAACTTTAAAGGGACTTTTTGCACACATAAAGCCTTCTTTAAATATACGTTTGGTTTCATCAAAAGGATCCACTATTTCTCTACAAAATGCCTTTTGAGAGATCCCACAAAGCTTTTCTTTCGTGGAGTTTATGAACTTCGAAACGCAGCTGGTTAAAATGGCAAAGAGTCCGACTCATCATTTGAACAGTTTCTTTCACATAAACCTTCTTTGGTGTTTATATAAAAAAGATAGAGCACATTCAATTACTTAAGTTGCCAAATTTGCAGGAAGATCCCACCAATGGTTTTTTCTAGATCACAGTTTGTAGTTTTTGTGAAAAAATGGCTTTTTCTTGAGCGGAGGCGCTGTTTGAATTTTCTTTTAAATGTCATTTTGTAGAGAATTAGTTAACCATTCTACTCATATCAAACGCATATTATTTGACAAAGTCGAATAGAAGTTTTAGACATTTTTTTGATTTTCGGCGCCGAGTCATAGTCCCCAACCCAATATAAAGGAAAAATTACGAATATTACTATCTAAATTACATATAAAGTCATTTATTATAGTCTTTTAGAGTCAAGTGTAATAAAAAGCGGTGCTTGTCGGTTATACATCCACAGAGGATCCACAGAATCCACAGAATATGATATGGAAAAAAAAGAATCAATAATCTAGCCGACAGGATTGAACCCTTGACCTCCCGTCTCAGATACAAGGCTCTAAGCCACTCGGCCATGAGGGCTAAAGAGCGGCGTTTTAGGAAATGGATTAAAGGATTAAAGGAGTCAAAAGAGTTTGACTTTTTCTTTTGCTTGTTTTGATGAACTGTGACTGTAAACATTGACTGATCAGCACACAAAAAAAAACTGCTCCTTTTTTTATCATCCCTCCAAACTTCTTATCACCCTCCAAACTTTGGAGGGTGTTCTGGACTCCAAAGAGCTTTCATTCGTGAAAACTGATCAGCCGATTAGCTTATCATTTCTAACCAATTCCTCACTTTTCCCACATAAAGCTGATTTCTAAAAATTTCCCTAAATGCTCAAAAGAATCGCATGGATCACTATTCTATTTTTCATTTTCACCAATGCTCGAATGTTTTCAAGTAATTTACAAGTAAGTCAAAAAGCCTTGAAAAATTGAATATCAAATTTTGGCAAGGTCATTCGTCATGTTTTTGGCAGATTTGCAAAAGTTGTGCACCGCCGGGACTCGAACCCTCGACCTCCCGCTTACCAGACAGCTGTGCTAACCATTACACCACAACGCACTCTGTCTCCCGCCCTCTAGAGGGTGTTAAGTATCGAATGAAACCAAAATTTGGCTGTTCAAATGAAATCTTTAATCTAAATTGATCAAATCGTTTAAACGTTCAAAAAAATGATCAAATGTTAATCGATTACGATAGTTTTTTTATAATATTTGCATTTTAGAAGAAGGACTTTAGAAAATTCAGAAAATTTCTTTAAAAAGAGGTGAGGGAATTGTCGGAGGAGATGTTGCGAAGAATCACAGCTATCCCTTTCAAATGATGATCGAAATGAAATGGTAAAGGAAAATAAAAGAGCTAATGGTTAGATTCGAATTCTCAACCCAAATTTTATTTAACTAATACCATTTCCCTCTTTTCAGCTTAATGAACGATGAGTGCAGTGTTTACATTTGCGGTGGAACGCTTTTGTCGCCGACCGTCGTGCTCACGGCCGCGCATTGTATGTGAGTGAAAGAGTCATATGTAAGAAGTGATTAAGGTAAACTAAACCGATATCTAATAAGGGAAGGACCTCGGCTCGCTTCGCCGATTGCCCGATGCCGTAGTCCGTAGTCTGTCAGATACCATAGTCCACCACCAGTTTTCACAAGCCTAATTTTTGTATCATTGACTGACAAGGAAAGTACCCCGGCTTGCTCTCACCAATCACCCGATGCCAGATAGACGTTGTAAAAATGACTAGAAGTTGTAGAAAGTTGTAGAAATGACTATGCTGATCACAATGATGCAAAAATCAGCTGCCCAAAAATATCGAGTATCGAGCGATATCGAGTATCACGAATATCGAGCGACATCTTGGTTAAAAGGCTTCTCTTGCTCGACACTAATATGAGATGGTGGCGCAGTGGATAAGAGACCTGGATTCAAACCCAGTTAATGACGTTTTGCTTGAGTTCGAATCTTCACCTAGCTCTTCTTCACCAAATCTTTTATACTTTTCTTAATTTTACGGAATTCAGTCATCAGCTGATGGGTAGTTGAGTGATCATTGTGATCAGAATAGTCATTTCTACATTTCTTCTTTGTCCCAGGATTTCTTTTAATTCATTGCAGCACTTTCTTTCGATTAGTTGTGGTGTTGGCTGATGGCCATGTTGGCTGATGGCCATGTTGGCTGATGGCCATGTTGGCTGATGGCCATGTTGGCTGATGATCATGTTGGCTGATGATCATGTTGGCTGACGATCATGTTGGCTGACGATCATGTTGGCTGACGATCATGTTGGCTGATGATCATGTTGGCTGATGATCATGTTGGCTGATGGCCATGATGGCTGATGGCCATGTTGGCTGATGGCCATGTTGGCTGATTTCGACGCCTTTCTGTTTTCGACGCCCTCCCGAACGATCCTCATTAGTGGCGGTCAAGTTAAAGCGTTTGATTCGGAAATGAAAAGCGTCGGATTATTTTGGCTGTCTATTTTGGCTCTTGCAAAAGGCGCGAGATCTCCATCACTTCTCCATCCATCGCGAGATCTCCATCACTTCTTTTCCTTGATTGTGAAGACGAAGAACCGATTCGTGAATATTCTCTTTTGAGCGTATTTTTCAAAATAACTAAAAAAAGAAAAATATTTCCATTTTATGAATCCGAAAACAAGAAAAACACAAAAAAACTCGATTAAAATTTGTCCGGATAATTTTGAGATACCTTGTAGAACTTCTATTTTGGCATCGGGCGAGGGTGAGCTAGGTATTTCCCTTGTAAGCCAACTAATTCCTGATCAAGGATATCTTCTAGTAAAGATTTTCATTTGTCCGTCTGATTGTCAATAGGTGTACAACGGAAAAACGAGATTTGATCACTTGAACGGCTACTTTTTTCAGTTTTAGCCTAAAGCTTGAAGAGATCTTGGAAAGAAATCCAGAAAAAGCCATCAAATCTCGTTTTTCCGTTGTACACCTATTGACGAATGAAGAGCTCTATTTTTAGGACGTTTTTCCAAAATTATCCCGAGGGTCTCCGGATTCGCGCTGGCGCTGCAATGATCAACAATCGGATCGATGGAGAGGTTCGGCTTTGTACTAGCTTTGTACTAGCTTTGTACTAGCTTTGTACTAGCTTTGTACTACGGCTTTGTACTTTGTACTAGCTACTGTAATCGAGCCTAATCTAAAAAGTTACCGTAATCTCGTAACCTTTTGGGAAAAGCCAATGGCTCACTAGCCAGTTCAGTCTCATTTAAAACAACTCAGCTATTCTACTCAGCTCCAAACAGCGCCTGTGCAGTGTGTGAGAGAGTACCGATGGGGCAATGATTATTAGATATTTATTCCGAATCAATCTAGCGAGAAAATATAATAAGAATAGAATCAATCGTTGGTTCATTGTTTCATAGCAATACGAAGAAGCAATACGAAGAGGGAATATACGGAAAGGACAATATAAAGTGGGCTCCGCGAACAACGGCGCGAAATAAGGCAAAAAAACATTTTTCTGGTAAAAATTCAAGTTTGACATACCATTCGACGTAAAAAATTGCGCTGATTCCGAATCTGGGTTCCTTTCCAATATCGGGGGAGCGGTCCGATTATCGGGGGCGGAAGGAAAATCGGGGAGCAAATTTTGCCCCCGAAAAATGCATTTCTGGGACTTTTTATTTTAACTGCAACGTTTTTTTATTTTGGCGCCTTGCCTAAAAAAAACAAAGTACCCAAAATCCATACTCGTTGTTTTTTAATCTTTTTTTTTGGGTTATAAGGGGGGTTTAAGGGGTTTATATTGGGGGGGGGTGGGGGGGGGGGGGGGGGGGTTGATCGGGGGGAGGGGGGTTTGTTTTTTTTTGGGGGGGGGGTTTGGGTTTTCGCGGTGGGGGGGGAGGGACGGGGGGGGGGGGGGTATAACGATGCCGTCGATTCCTAACGCCAAATATCGGAGAAGCGCATCGCGTTAAAGTTTAAAAAAACGAGTTAAAATAAAAGGCAAAGCATTTTCGGGGGGCCGATTTTCCTCCCGTATACCGCTCCCCGATATTGGAAAAGAACCCGAATCTGAAACTTTTTTAAAAATCGGTTCGACAGTTTTTCTTAAAAATGAGATTTACCCAAAAATCCCATTATGGGTTTTCTAAAAAGCCCTCGAAAACACGTATTTCAGGATGGATCAAAAATCCCCGGCGAATTTTTAAAGATATTTTCTTTCTGGTCATTTTAAGACCAAAAACGTCCAAAAACGTTGATTTTGAGGTCAGATAAATCGTTTTTAAAATAGCAATGGATAACCTACCGTAACCCGCACATAATAGCTTAAGGGTCGAATTCTAAAATGCAATCAATTCCAAATTTGCGTTTGAATTTTGTTTTAAACTTTTATATAGCTTTATTTTCAGGAGTTTTGTCCATTTTACTATTTTCGATTTATTCTTTTTCATATTTTTCATATTTCATAAAGAGCCACTTTTCTGCAACACCGCGCAAAAACCCGCGCGCAAAAAGTCAAAGGAACAAAAGCACGAGTGGCTGACTGGTTAAGTGTCTTTTATCTTAATCGGAAGGTCGAGGGTTCGAACCCCACATGCGACATGGTCACCCCCTTCGGATTTCCTTTCCCTTCGGGTTGAGAGGTTTTCTGGAGGGCAGTCTGGTGGTTGTGGCCCCAGTTCTTTAAAGTGACAAGCCACTCCTTCATCGTCATCTTCCCTTCACCACCAAAAAAAGCTATTTAGTTCCCCATTGAGCTTAGGGTTAGGGAGCCGTCTGTCATGACGTGGGTTAAGTTAAGATATAGCCTAGTATTGTGTGTGTCGTTGTATTGTGATTGATATATTTCGTGTATGCGATAAATTCACCACTGGTAGCCCCAGTCGGTATTTTAAAACAATCTAAAAACAAATTTGATAAGCTTGAGCAAGAGGAGCATTGCGGGGATAAAACTTAGAAGGATGCACTTGGAGGAACTTCGATGGAGAGGTTCGGCTTTGTACTACAAGCTAAAGCTTTATACTACAAGCTGTGTAAGCTACTGTAATCGAGCTTAATCTAAAAAGCTAACGTAATCCCGTAACCTTTTGGGAAAAGCCAGTGAGTGAGCCAGTTCAGTCTCATTTTAAAACAACTCAGCTATTCTACTCAGCTCCAAAACAGCGCCAATTCTTGAGAGTTTTTTTAAAAGTCCATTTTAAAGCATTTTAAAGCATTTCAAGGCATTTTAAAAAGTCCAATAAAGCCAAAAAGTCCAAAAAATCAATGTCCATCTTTTAGAAAACGGTTTTTCCCCAAAAAGAACTTAGAAATCTTTCAATTTCCAGCAGCTTTCCGCCGGTTCTCAAGTCTGGGTCCATCCGAGTTTCAACGCCGAGAATTTCATTGATGATTATGCGCTGATTAAGGTGATTATACTCTTAACACATTCGCGACGAGGCGTTTTTTTTTGCGTTACTTCCCCAGTCAGAGTGTCTCGCTAAAGCTATTAGCCCCGAAATACACCTATATGTAAAATTTCATGCTGAATCCGAATCTCTAATCAGATTTTGAAAATATTGCTGCCTCAAAAAGATATCGATTCTTTTTGACTCGTGAGACAAAACGCGGCATTTCTCTTTCTCCAATGGTCTGTTTTGCACGATTTTTGTTTTATTGGATGGAGCTCAGCTAGATGAACATTTCATATTAACATCATTTTTTGATAAGACTTTATCCCAAAAAGTTATGGCCCCTTTACTGGGTCACATAGAGGTCGCAATCTAGCGCAGTCGGTAGAGCGTCTGTCTCTGGGGCGGGAGGGGTTTCGTCCGGTGGACCGAGGGGCCAGATGGCCTTCGTCCACCGGTGGACCGAACCGTCTCAGGGGCCAGACGGTCTTCGTCCACCGGTGGACCGAACAGTCCCAAGGGCCAGATGGCCTTCGTCCACCGGTGGACCGAACCGTCTCAGGGGCCAGACGGTCTTCGTCCACCGGTGGACCGAACAGTCCCAAGGGCCAGATGGCCTTCGTCCACCGGTGGACCGAACAGTCCCAGGGGCCAGATGGCCTTCGTCCACCGGTGGCCTGAACAGTCCCAGGGGCCAGATGGCCTTCGTCCACCGGTGGACCGAACCGTCCCAAGGCACAGTTGGCCTTCGTCCACCGGTGGACCGAACCGTCCCGAACGTGTTAAAACGCTCCAGTATCCTTTCCAATTCTAGGTGGTCACTCCATTCGAATTCACGGATTCCGTTCAACCGGTGGCCCTTCTCGATAATGAGGCGGCTTTTTTCTCTGGAAAAGTAGTGACCACGATTGGATGGGGAACACTCGGTTTGTGGCTTTATTTTGAAAATCCTACTTAGCAATTTATTTATACTAATTTAGCAAATAAACCTCTATAATAGCTAGGAGAGGCTTTAGAAAATCGTAGGAAACGCGTAGTTAATACTGTAGATAGGATAGGTTCTTAAAAATCGTATCTAGTTAATAGCTAGGAATAATACTGCAGCTAGAATAGTACTGTAGCTAGGAGAGGCTTTAAAAGCCATAGGTGCGCGGTAGCTAGGACACTTTAGAACTTTAGAAACAGTAGCGCAGCTAATACAGTAGAGCAGCTAAACAGTAGAGCAGCTAATACACACTTACGATAAATAGAGCAAGCTTTAGAAAGCCATAGAAAGCCATAGCCATCCGTATAAATCAAATAATTAAGTCCCTTTATTATTTAAAAATGTTCCCATTTCATCTAGATGAGAAAAGTGTGACTCATTCAAACGAGCTTCGTGAGGTGAATGTCACCGTCATTTCAACAACCGAATGCCAAAAAGAGTATGGGAAAGAGTTTGATTTAAAGACGCAAATCTGTGCCGGCGATACAGGAAAAGACTCGTGTGAGGTGAACAATTTCAAGAAATTCTTTCAGCAATGAATACGAAATTAGAACTTTTCCTTGTGCATACTTGCAATCGTTTTTCAAAGCAACGCTTGATTAGCTAAAATAGCTCTAGCTAGCTATCTAGCTAAAAGCTGGATTAGATAAAAGCTGGAGGCTAGATAACGGCGGTTTCCGGAAGCTTGAAAGCATTACTCCAGAAAAATTGTCTACTCCAGAAATCCACTCTCCAGTGATAGTACGAATTGCTGGATTCATTCTTATGAAACTAATCAGCATATATCTAGTACAAACAGCCAGCCAGCCAGTCCATTATCCGGTTATAGACAACCAGTCAGCCAGTCCATTAACCGGTTATCGATAACCAGTTAGCCAGTCCATTATCCAGTTATAGATAGCCGTCAGCCAGTCCATTATCTGTTTTCAGGGTGATTCGGGTGGTCCGCTTCTTTTCGAGCATCATTGGAGTCGCGATTCGCCAGCCAAACTCACCGGTAAATGGGCTCAAATCGGGATCACGAGCACCGGGAAAGGATGTGCCGAAGCTGGATTTGCAGGTTGAAGATAAAAAATGGTTGCTTGGATTTGCAGGCTGATCTCCAGTCTGTAAAAATGGCTGCTATAAAATCTATTGCTCCTCTTGATACCTTTAGATTAGATTTGCTTATCGGTTAAGTTTTCGCGCTGAATGGAAACCAAATATAAACTGCAGATTCTGCGTCTGACGTTATTTTTTGTCTTTTTTATTACCGTAATCCATTTTTCGTCGCGGGTAGGACAAATGCGCCTTTTTTGCGCTCCTTTTTTTCGTTGGAAAAGGCCTTAGGAAAGGCCGCAGAGCTTCAAAAATGTTCTCACATAAGGGAATCGTATGCGTAGATTCCGAATTTCGTAATTTCGACAAATCAGACCTCGCTGGCACGTCAAAATTGGGCTAAAAGGCAAAAACTACGCAACTTAACGCTTTTTCGCCGTTCTTGCCTTTTAGCCCAATTTTGACGTGCCAGCGGGGTCTGATTTGTCGAAATTACGAAATTCGGAATCTACGCATACGATTCCCTTATAAGAGACATTTTGGAAGCGATGGCCTTTCCTAAGGCCTTTTCCAGCGAAAAAAAAGGTGCGCTTTTGGCCGGGTGCGCAAAAAAGTCTCATTTCTCTCACACCCTTTTTCGTCTTTTTACCGTAATCCATTTTTCGTCTTTTTTACGACCGTAATCCATTTTTCGTTAATTTTACCCGCAAAGTCTAAATCTTTCTTTTTACATGAACATTTTGAGGGATCTACTCGCGAACGGCGGCGGCAATCGACTGGATTTCCTCAACCTACAAGGCCAACATTCCCGATGAGGCGCCGATTGTCGAATCGGCTACCGTAATCTGATCGGCTATTTACTTTAGAATAAATGCTTGTCCAATTTCTTCAATTCACTGAATATCTTTCTTGATCTGATTCTGAATATCTTTCTTGATATGAGGCTGATGACTCGGAGGATTTTTGCGTGGTATCGGGAGCGGTAGTCTCGCTAAAGTTTTTCTTATTTTAAAGTCTAGTCTATATCCAGCCCGATATTGAAGTTGGCTTTATAAAAATATTTTTATATCTTAGAGAAGTGCATAAACTTACTGGTTATCCGAAGCGAAGGCCAAGCGTTTCGCGCGGATCTCTGAAATTGAGATCACCATGACTAAGATGATCACTTAACTATTAGACTACAATACTTTTTGAACTATCGTAACCCAATAGAGGATCACTGTTATAAATTTCTTATAGAAATAATCTTTGTCAGAAAAAACTGCAATTGTCCAAACCAAATTTTGAAAATTTCCAATGTGTCTTTTTAATTGTAGGAAATTTTTTAAAAATGAACATTTATTAAAATATCTTTCACCGAGAAACCACAGTCGAAACTAAAAACACTAACAAGAACAGAGTGCTCAAAGATAGAAATAAACGTCACTCATACAAAGTACAGGTAAACAGATTGACAAGCTAAAAAATTGTATACACAAATATGAGTTTTCTTTATGGTTCACGATCAACCGAAACCCATGATTTGAGAAACATACAAATTACAAAGTGAGGATTTTACACGACTAGAAAACTGATTAAATAAAAACAATACCCAAGAGAAATCAGGCTGGTGGACGTGGATGGCTGCTACGAAATTGCTGCAAAGTCGTCAAAATTTTCTTTCCCGACGAGTATTTCTTCAGACGGGTGGCATTTGCTTGGATGAGAGCCTCGAGCCGATATGCCCAACTCTTGTATAATGGAGCATTGATAAGAACGGTGTTCTTCCTGAATAAAATTTGAATGATGGACTCAATAAAAGTAATTTTATAATAATAACTTACTTTTTCTCAATCGTATCCAACCAGTCGAGGCAGATGATCAACATGCGCTGCACAATGTAGTTGCCATATTGATGAAAGAGAAGAATGTCCAAACATTGTTTTTCGGTTTCTGGATCCGGAATGTAGCCATCGAAAATTTCTTCCATCATCGCGTGCAACATGTCAATTGGTGCATGATGCAGTGCCTTCTCAACGACATGTGAAGCGAATTTCTCCTGAGAGAACGAGAGCAAGTTGCGCCTAAACAAATAAAATAATTGAATGGTCAGTAGAAAGCTTACAGCAAGCAATCCTCAATGATTTTATCACGATAATAGGAAAGTGAGTCGGTGGCAATAACGTGTTGAACGACCTAAAAATAAAGACATTTAGGTCAAGTTCAATGTGTTCAAGCATTTTATCAAACGACCAACATAGTTGGAGAATTCGTTGATGGCCAATCTTTGACAGTGTTGCAGAACAGTTTCCAACACACGATCGAGCAATTCGGCGGCAATCTATGAGTCAAGTCAATTAATTCGTTTGTACAATAAAACTCACCGTGGTTCTCTTGTAAAATTTGTCGACATCTCCGGCGGCTTCGACCCTCTTTGCAAGGATGTCAACGGCCAATTGAACGACTCGACATCCATACTTGCTTTCGATTGTCTTGAAGAATAAATCGTCATCGCTAACAAGTTGCTCGATGAGAAAGGCCCATTTGGAGACTTCGAAGATGTCCATGATCTTTTGAATGACGTGATTGGCGTTTTGATCGATTGCGAGCTGAAGACAATTCGAGCGGCCAAGTTCCTCCAACAAGACTGTTGTCCATTCTTCCGGGAGATACTAAAAAACAAAATAAACACTACATTCTTCACATTCCAACCTCCAGTGCTCTCTGCACGACACGACAAGAATAGCGGTTCAAACAGAGATCTCGAACGCAACCACTAATCGACTTTCCAATCCAATCTTTCTTTAATTTCGTATCCGCGTTTTCGATGAGAAGTTGAGCAAAGAAATTGCCAAAGACGTCACGTGAAAGATTCTAAATAAAAAATGTACCCACATTTTTAAAACAATAAAACAAACCGGGAATCCCTGCTTGGCCATCAATTGTGTATACATTTCATCTTTCAATGTACCAGAGCTGGGAAAGTTTTCTTGAAGGAATCTAGAAGAATCATTCTGGACTGATAAAACTTATAGCAATACTTGCAGCCGATTTTATCCCTCGCAAAAATTTCCAGAAGATGTTCTTCAACGACTTGTGGCAATGTATAAATTATATTTCTTCGTTCCGCATCCATAGTTTTTGGAGGCAACACACATCGAGAGTTGATAGGCTAAAAATTTGAATGCAATTTCAAATCCAAAACACCCACCATATCCACATCGCTTCTCGAGAGACATGTGACCAGATTGGCTTCGAAGCTGTCATTCAAACGTGGAAAGCTCTCTTGAGGCCATTTGTTGAGGTAGATGTTTGGTGGAAATGCCGATTGATACTCATAAGCAGATGAGAAGCCCCATACCTTTGAATTGGGAACACTGTTCTGACCGGAGATCAAGCACGGATAATCAGGAGCTAAAAAGATAGATTAGTTGGTACTAAGGCAATTGGGGAGGGGCACCTAAAATTTTCCCAAATGTAGTTTTTCTAGGGTAATTGATGGCGCTGATCACCAAAAAAAGACATTTTTAAGATGTGTTCAATTAAAAAACATGTATTGGAGTAACTTCTTTGTTTGGAAAAAACTCTGTATGTCAGTTAAATTTTCAAAATTTTCAGTTAAAAACTTATGTATTGCCGTTATATTGGGTAGTTTGTGGTCCTTAAGAGGGCCGTTAGGTTGGGTATTAGTCAGGCGCCTACATTTTTCTAGGCTTTGGCTCTGCACCTTAGAACCACGTGGTACCCAGGCTAGCCTGATTTTCCTACGGCTGATGTGAGTTTCGTACCAAAAGCACGTGGTTCCCCATAAATGCACTTAAGTACTTTAGGATTAAAGCATCTCTGGTCCGAAACTCACCTCAGCCGTAGGAGAATCAGGCTAGCCTGGGAGCCACGTGGTTTTAAGGTGCGGAGCCAAAGCCTAGGAAAATGTAGGCGCCTTTATTATGTTGGAAACAAGATGCTTTTATGGCGAACTTAGCTTCTAATAAAGGCCTTGGCCTTACGAGGCGGGCTCATTAAACCAGTAAACAAGTAAAACCAAGTTAAAGATACATACAGTTTTTAATAACAAAAAAGTTACTCCAATACATGTTTTTAAGTGAAAACATAACTTTAAAATGTTTTATTCGTGATCAGCGCAATCAATTACCCTAGAAAAACTACATTTGGGAAAATTTTAGGTGCCCCCCCCCACCCAACTGCCTTAGTGCCGATTAGTTTTCTAAAAGAACTTCAAAAATACCTTGTGAATTAATTCGGCCATTTTTCTTCTCCTTGTCCTTTTTTAGCGGCCCATGCCCGTAGGGATTTGCTTTGCCCATGCCATATCCGGGTTGTCGGTCCATTGCGTCGCCCTTTCAGCTTGCGGCTGGGTCCACCTGAAAGAAACAAAAAATGAATCAAATGGTGAATCAAAGGCAATATAGTCAAAGTTTTAAACACCGTCAAAAATTAAACAAATATAGGGAGTTACTAAGCGTTCCTTGCATGACTAGTGTAGACAGTTTAGACAAAAAAAAGCGTGGTAGAAGTGGGCCAACACGTTTACGGTTTAAAAAAGGCTAGAAGTTAGTGCCCTAGCGCGTTTTACCCAAATATCAAATGTAGAATTATATTGTTTCTATTAATACATATTAGGTCTGCAAGTGAAAACGATTCTAAAAGTTGATGGTGAAAGTTATAAAAAGTGTCAGATTAATCTGGAAAAGTGGGGAGTGGGACAAATGCGAACTTTTTTTGCGCACCCGGACATTTGCGCACCTTGCCCATTAACGCACCTTTTTTCGCATTTTAAAAAAGCTCTAAAAGCTAAGATTAACCAATTTCTATTCCAAAAGTTGTTTTTCTAGGTAATTTTAGGGCGTAGAATCGAAATTTTGACATAACAGAGCGTGTGGAACCAATTTGAAAGACAAAACGGCTAGATCAAATTACAGAAAATTGTCCATTTTTCTCTTTGTATAACTCCGTCCGTTTGTTTCCACAAGCTCTGATATGTCAAAATTTCGATTCTACGCCCTCAAATTACCTAGAAAAACAACTTTTGGAATAGAACTTGGTTAATATTAGCTTTTTAGAGCTTTTTTAAAACGCGAAAAAAGGGCATGGGCAAGGTGCGGAAAAAAAGGTGCGCAAATGCCTGGGTGCGCAAAAAAAAGGTCGCATTTGTCCCACTCCCGAAAAGTGAAAAAAATTTTACCACCAACTTTACTTCCCAATTAAATAGCACCATAGTCACTTATCGAGATATTCAGTTAACAAATAAAGTGCCGGGGGTTGAGAAATACCTTTATATTAATCGTACGCTGGTCGACATGTGGACCGATTCGGCTCTCAGCAACGACTCAGTGGTAACATTTTATACTTACTGGTTTTCTTTGGTTTCCTTTTCATTACACTATAATTTAGGTAATCCGCTTCAAGAAGGAGAGCGTCGATCTCCGTTGACATGCTCTCATGGAGGTGCTCATCACAGCACTGCCCAACTGCTTTAAAGGGAAAACCCGTCTTTTTTTTGACTCTTGTGTTTAACATGTGACGCTTCTTGCCTACTAGAGAAATAAATCTTTTGGATGACGTTAAAAAAATACATTTCGGCTACAGCTGTAAGAAAAAGCCCAGCCGATTTGTTTTGTTTTTTGCTGCTCTTTTTTGTGTGATATCTTTTGATTCACATCGATTCTTTTCACATTTATGATTCATCCTTTGGGTCTTTTTCCGTTTTATGATGTCCGAGTGCAAGTCTCTTTCCCCATCAAAAATAAATCGCAAATCATTAAGACAAAAATTTGGCGTATTTTTATGGGCATTCAAAGTATCGGTTTTTTGCTGCTAATCTTTTTACTTTTTCATCAACTTTCGGCTATCAATTGCTACTTTGATCAAAATTCGGAAGACGAGGAGCACAGCGAGGTGAGAGGAAAAAATCGCAAGCAATGTTTAGACAAGTTATCCTAAACGGACTTATCCTTTGCTCAAGGTTTGCTGTAGTTACAGGGTGCATCATAGATAGTGTTGCGCTCTAGAAAAAGATGATTTTCTCAAAAGGCAAAAGAGTTGACAGTTTTTTCGTTTAGATATTTAAAATCTACGAACATTTTTTCACTAGCTTCATGAGTTTGTGTAAAAATTTAAAACTTCATTCGTTTCATATAAGACTTTAAGCGTGATTGCTGCCTTTATAGTTCCTTCTAGTTCCTTTATAGTTCTTTTATAGTTCCTATTTAGCTCCTTTATAGTTATAAAGTAAAAATAAATAGAATTAGAATGGCGGGAATCAGCCTACCCCAATAATGGAGCTCAAAAAGCACGACTTTTATAATAATTAAATCTAAAAACGTATTAATGCAGAAAAAGAGGGAAAAGACGATTTTTTAAAGAACCTAAACTCGAATTTAACTCTTTTTCAGCAGCATTTTTTGCACGGCTCGGCAAGGGTTGTTAAAATCATTAAAAATGTTACAGTTCCTCTGTTCTATATAAAATTACGTGTAGCTTTTATGATTAATCGTTGTTTTTCAGCTTAGTTTAATGTATTGTCTTAGAAAGTCAGAAAGATGCATTGAGCGCAATACAGTGTGACCGCAAAGTATAGCAACAACTTTTTGAAAAAGTATCTGACAAATGTTTAACTTATTTTAGAAGTGTCAAGTGTTATGTAGAGAATTGTAGCGCTAATTCTCGACAACATTTATCTGCCAAAAACTTTCCGATTCGTCTTATACAACTCATTAACAAGCGCTTGAATGAGTGCTAGTGGAGATCATGATGATGTCGATTAGCGCTCAAGCGCTTGTTAAATGAGTTGTATAAGTCGAATCGGAAGATTTTTGGTAGATAAATGTAGCCAAGATTAAGGGCTACAATTCTCTACAATACAATAGTTTTTAAATTGATATTCCAAGGAGTACGAGATCCGTGACTGTGGCCCATCTTGTGAACACTGTCTGAAAAGACTCGTCGATCGAAATGTGACCTGGGATTGTGGATGTGTGAACGTTAGGAGAAAATTCTTCCGTCAGCCCTTCAATCGACATGTGGACTGCTTGGTGAGTCTGGATCTAGTGCTACATACCGTACCATACAAAATAACCTCTAATAAAAGACTTCTCATAGCTCAACAGGTCCATTTTCAGCAAATGTTCAACAATTTCCACGAAACACTTGATGGGGTCGGTCAAAAGATCGTCCAGAAAGGGGTAAATTTTTGGTAGAATAAAATTCTTATGTAATTAAATAAAATCCTTATGTAATTTCTAGATACAATAACTCTGACCTTTTTTTGGGACTATGACGATTGCGCTGAGCGAATTTTGCGCCACGGTTCCAATACGGTTCCTTTTTTGATCTAATAGGGTCCAATACGGTTCCAATACGGTTCCTTTTTTGATCTAATAGGGAATAGGGTCCAATACGGTTCCAATACGGTTCCAATACGGTTCCAATATGGTTCCTTTTTTGATCTAATAGGGAATAGGGTCCAATACGGTTCCAATACGGTTCCAATACGGTTCCAATATAGTTCCAATACGGTTCCAATACGGTTCCAATACGGTTCCTTTTTTTGATCTAATAGGCTCCAATAGCGCCAATAGAAGCGAAAATTGTGCTGCGAAATTTGCGCTGAAGGATTTTAATTGTTTCATTAAGACTTTACATTGTTCATTGTTGACTTTCATTGTTTTTTTATGACGCACAATCAAATCTAAGTTCAATCACAATGACTACATATTTTTAAATGCAAAAACTATTGCTTGAGTGCTTAGCACATGGTTTTTTTGTTGGTGTTTAGGCTAATCAAATGTTGGTGTTTCTTTGTGGAAGATGCATTTCGTAAGAGCTTTAATGATTGCGTTGATAGGTGCGTTTTAAAATTGTATGAACAAACAGCCGTTAACAAACAGCCGTATAGCCGTTAACTAAAGTTAACATAGAGCTCGGCGCAATTTTCGTTTTTGGCTTGCGGGGCAATCGTCACGGTGCAATCGTCATGGTCCTTTTTCAGCCTCGTCGCATCGAATGGTCTTGTTGCAAAGGCGATCTGTGCAATTCTCAAAAATCTCTTCGTTTTCTCACATTTCTTTTATTATTTCTTGCTTTATTGATACTTAACTAAACGATTAAATTGAAATCAAAAATGAAAAAATCAAAGAAATAGATGTCAAGAAAAAGTTGACGGATTGTTTCATTTAGACGAATCGTTTTTTCGATAAGGCCTCGTTTTGGGTTGTCAAATGTGGCGTGAGGAGAGCGAAAATCTCGAAAACCGCCAATCGCCTGTAATTCGGATTTCAGTGTAGTTAAGATGTGTGTTTCCTCAATGAGCTTTCTGAAAACGCGACCTATTTCTCTTTCTACCGTAATCCTGACTTTACTTTTTATCCATATCATTGCCAAAAGTACTATTAGATCTAATACGGTTCCAATACGGTTCCTATTTTGATCTAATACAGTTCCAATACAGTTCCAATACAGTTCCAATACGGTTCCAATACGGTTCCAATACGGTTCCAATAAGGTTCGAATACGGTTCCAATACGGTCCCTTTTTGGTTCCAATACGGTTTCAATACGGTTCCAATACGGTTCCTATTTTGATCTAATACGGTTCCAATACGGTTCCAGTTCAGATTTCACTCACAAAATCCAATTCCTCTTTCGCAACGCTCGATTCTCTCAGCCAATTCTCCATTTTCCAAAAAATACCCTCATCTCCATATCGCAAAATGTGATAATCGGAGAGAAATTCCGCAAAATTACATCGCCTAAATTTGCGCGCATAGAAAATTGATTCCTAGCTAAATTGAACTTTTACCAAAGGTCCAAAAGGTCAAAACAACAAGTCGAATTTTCTTGGTTTAAAATTTTTGTATTTATTGTGCATACTTGGGGAGTGGGACAAATGCGACCTTTTTTTTGCGCAACCGGACATTTGCGCACCTTTTTTTCCGCACCTTGCCCATTAGCGCACCTTTTTTCGCGTTTTAAAAAAGCTCTAAAAAGCTAATATTAACCAATTTCTATTCCAAAAGTTGTTTTTCTGGGTAATTTTAGGGCGTAGAATCGAAATTTTGACATATCAAAGCTTGTGGAAGCAAACGGACGAGGTTATACAAAGAGGAAAATCGACAATTTGTAATTTTCTGTAATTTGATCTAGCCGTTTTGTCTTTCAAATTGGTTCCACAAGCTCTGTTATGTCAAAATTTCGATTCTACGCCCTAAAATTACCTAGAAAAACAACATTTAGAATAGAAATTGGTTAATATTATTAGGTTGTTAAAAAAGAAATGCGCGTTTTCGTTAAAAGTTTATTTTATTATAAAAACAACTCGACCGGCTGCGACTCGAAGAAGCTGGACACCCAAATTTGGACCTCGTCGCGGTTCTTGAACTTTTTCTCGGCCAAGGAGTGGTGCATTGATCGGAACAGATGGTAATCGGAAGGCTCCAAGTCTGTATGGCGCATGAGGCAGGACTTCCCAGCCCATTTCTTCAATTTTCTGCTGGGTGGAGCTTGTGGAAACAAACGGACGGAGTTATACAAAGAGAAAAATAGACAATTTTCTGTAATTTGATCTAGCCGTTTTGTCTTTCTGTCAAAGCCGTCAAATTGGTTCCACACACTCTGTTACGTCAAAATTTGAATTCGACACCCTCAAATTACCTAGAAAAACAACATTTGGAATAGAAATTGGTTAATATTAGCTTTTTAGAGCTTTTTTAAAACGCGAAAAAAGGTGCGCTAATGGGCTAAGTGCGGAAAAAAATGTGCGCAAATGTCCGGGTGCAGAAAAAAAAGTCCGCATTTGTCCCACTCCTCATACTTGCGATCTTTTACCGAGAAAATCCTGGGTTGGCGCTTTAAAGCGTGGTAAAACTACCGTACCCTCCCAAATTGCGCAAAATTTCATTTTTTTCATTCTTGTTCATTTCATTTTATTCTTTTTGGGTTTTTTTTCAACTTTTCAACGTTTTTTCAACTAAAAACTCACAAAAACAAAGCTTCGGTCATAGAAAATGATAAAAACCAATTAACTTAACATTAGTTGGCATCAAGTTCGTGGAGCAGATCGTCGGGAAGCAAGTGGGTCTAAAAAAAACTCTACAAACAAAGCTTCCGCCAGAGAAAATGCTGTTAAAAACGTAACTTAGCTTTATCCTCTTTGTTTCCTGCAAAAACAAACGCACCCACATCAGAAAAATGCAAAAAGAATAAAATGAGGGGGTGTAACAAGTGCGACCTTTTTTTGCGCACCTGGACGTTTACGCACCTTTTTTTTCGCTGGAAAAGGCCTTAGGAAAGGCCGTAGAGCTTCAAAAATGTTTCGGATAAGGGAATCGTATGCGTAGATTCCGAATTTCGACAAATCAGACCTCGCTGACACGTCCAAATTGGGCTAAAAGGCAAAAACTATGCAGCTTAACGCTTTTCCGCAGTTTTTGCTTTTTAACCCAATTTGGACGTGTCAGCGAGGTCTGATTTGTCGAAATTCGGAATCTACGCATACGATTCCCTTATGAGAAACATTTTTGAAGCTCTATGACCTTTCCTAAGGCCTTTTCCAGTGAAACAAGGTGCGCAAAAAAAGGCGCATTTGTCCCACCCCTTAAAATGAAATGAACAAGAATGAGAAAATGGAATTTTATGCAAATTAGGAGGGGTACGGTAGTTTTTCCACGCTTTAAAGCGCCAATCCAGGATTTTTTCGGTAAAAGGTCGCAAGTATTGTGCATAACTAGGCATAGTAAAGCATAAAAAAATGCTTTTGAATGTATGTCGGCTCTGGATCGTAAAGTTCAATTTAGCCTGATTCCTTTTTGTCACCAATTTTGCGGATGAAAATGTCTCATTGTTTGCCAAAATATATTGTTGCTTCGTTTTTCGTCTTGTGTATTCACGAATCGATCATCCATGCTTTTCAGAATAAACAAAAGCTCATAAGGATCCGTGGTGGGACATGTTTCAAGGGTTCTAAATTGGTCTTTTGAGGGAAGGGTACTGTTAATAGGGTACTGTTCGGTTATACCTCCCCGCCACTCCAAGCTTTTAAAAAAACGGTACGATGCGTTTAGCACCGCCCATGCATCAATGCGTTTACTCTAGCCTGATGTCAATTCGGCAGAGGTTTTTGACGTTAAACCTCTGCGTTAAACGTTAAACCTCTGCCCAAATGACATCAACAGTCTGGGTGAATTTAGCTTAACCTGATATCACTTGGGCAGAGGTCAGAAATCTGCAAATCATCGATCCGGGTGATAAATTCCAAAAACTTGTCAACGAGCGTCTTGGTACTCCGATTAGCCACTTCAGCAAAAGGAAACATTTGTTTGGGTGGGGTGGGTATAACCGAAAAGTACCGAAAATAGTACAGATTTTAAAGTATTCAATGCATTGTGATTCCTTTTTGGTACTCGAGTTTTGAGGAATGAAAATCGAAAACACTTACAGACATAGATGCACAAATCCGGAAACGAATCGATCAAGAGGTTCGCGAACGATTGTCACTTTTCGAAAAGTCGAATATGGCTTCAACTCTGAGATCTCGTGTCCAGAATCGCATTTACTGTAATTACCGTGAAAAACTCTAATAAGAAACTCATGGCCTTCTATTTTTCAACCCTCCAAAATCCTGCAGCCGGAAAAAGTATTAGATTGGCAACTTGACTTTCAAGTTGCCAAAAAGTTGCCAAAAATCTTGACACTCCGAAGCTCCAGAAGCTCCAATTCCCTAAGGCCCGGGAAAATGGGATGCGGGAGAAGGATGTGGCCAACCTCTTCAATTGCTCGATATGGACAGTGCACATCGGCGCGAAATAAGGCAAAAAATGCGTTTTCTATCGGATTTTTCTGGGAGTACCTTTTTTAGATGCGGAAAATTGTGCTGATTCCGAATCTGAAGGAATTTTTCAAATCCCGTTGACAGAAATTTTTTAAAATTTAGGTTTAGCGGTTTTTTGGTCATTTTGTATGGGTGGTACCCTGCAGTTTGAGGCTCGTAACTCGATAACGAGGGTCTAGAACCAAAAACGAAGGGATAACTTTAATTCTAGAGACTCTTACGAACATTTTGATGCAAAAATCATCAAATTTGCTCAACTCTACAAAAAGTTATAAGGGGAAACCGTGGCCGAGTGGTCTAAGGTGCGCGACGTGAACCCCGCGCCAAAGTATGGGGTTGTTGGTTCGACTCTCCCGCGCAGTTGAGCTATTATTTTGCATATTCCTTAATTGTTTTGAGTGAATACGATACATAGCTACATTGTTCTTTTGAACAAAACAATTGTGCAATAGAGAATTTTTTAGATTTTCTCATTTCTTTTTTAAAAAATGTTATAACTTTTTGTAGAGTTGAGCAAATTTGATGATTTTTCCATCAAAATGTTCGTAAGAGTCTCGAGAATAAAACTTATCCCTTCGTTTTTGGTTCTAGACCCTCGTTGTCGAGTTACGAGCCTCAAACTGCAGGGTACCACAAAATTTCCCAGACAAAATGATCAAAAAACCGCTAAAACTAAATTTCTGTCAGAGGGATTTGAAAAATTCCTTCAGATTCGGAATCAGCACAATTTTCCGCATCTAAAAAAGGTACTCCGAGAAAAATCCGATAGAAAACGCATTTTCGCGCCGATGTGGGTACCGTATTGGAACCGTATTAGATCAAAATAGGAACCGTATTGGAACTGTATTGGAACCGTATTAGACCGTATTCATTGCGCTTTTTTAGAAATAACTATTGCACCAATTAATTAATTGCACCAATCCACAGTTTTGACCAATAAAAAAGACGCATTTATTCTCTAAAATAGCCTTTTGACAGATTCAAGAAAAGCTTCGATTGTAGATTAATTTTGTAGGTTTCTAGGGGGCAAGAAGTTGAGGAGCCAAAAATGCTGAGTAAAGGGTTTTGAGCACTTTCTTCCACATAAACCTATTTTGATGTTAATAGAAAAAAATAGAGCATAACAAGTTAGATAAATAGCCAAATTTTCAGCTAGATATAACCAATCGCTTTTGTTATAGTTCAATTTGAAGAATTTACAGAAAAACTTGAATTTCTACTCAAATTCGTTTCAAAAGTTTCCCAAATTTGCATAAGCATGGCTTAAATTAGATAATATATATAGCTTTTATTTCGAGAAGTCGAATTCAATTGTCGTCTTAAATATGTTTAATGGAAAATGCGAAGAAGTGTACCAACTTTTAAAGTTGCCAATCTAATACTTTACTGGGATTGTTCCAACCGGTCTTAGGCAGCTCAAGTCGAATTCAATTGGCGCCGATTCAATTTCAATTCAATTCAAAATTCAATTGCGCCGAATTGCCGAATTGCCATTTACCAGGGCCTTCGCTTTGTGCGAGTCTGGTATCAAAATGTAGCCCTTCAATCGGACTACACGATGATATAAAAAACTTTTGAAAAAACTGTTGTTTAGTAAAAGGAAAATGGCCGCAAAGTGAGAGCACCAACACTACACACCCATACAAAAGACGTCGTCGTACGTCGGTACGTCGTTGTTAGTATTGCGATGTACAATCGATGCTCTAACTTTGCGGCCATTTTTCTTTTACTAAACAACAGTTTTTTTCAAAAGTTTTTATACCATCGTGTAGTCCGATTGAAGGGCTACATTTTGATACCAGACTCACGCAAAGCGAAAGCCCTGGTGAATGGCAATTTCATTCGGCGCAATCTTCATGGTCCCAAGTTTTTACGGTATTATGTAAACTTTAGAAATTCTTGCCTGCTACGCTTGTTAACAAAACACCCAATAACCCCGTCACTGGAATTTCCTGGAACGCATTCCTGGAGCTAATCTGCTACATAATTCATTTATCCAACAAACCGATGATTATAGTCCTCGTTTGCATAAAGACTCATATTCCAATTATAGCTCTCGGGATGCTCCAAGAAACACGTTAAACCGATTAACTTCGTTGACATCACTTTTTCAATCGGACACATGAGAATCTCGCGTTTTTTCGAGATCTGCAATTGGGATGGTCAGCTTATTAATCAACTCATTTTAATTTCGAATTTAATAACTTACTCGAACTGCTGGAGAAAACTTCTGCAAGGGAGCCAAAATCGGGCACTTTTCATCGACGCACCTTCTTTTCAGAGCCAACAACATGCTTTCCAAATTCGAATGCTTTAGCATCGAGGCTCTTAGAAAAGCCATTTGTTTAGGATTCAGTTTATATTGGCTTTCCAGGTAGTTCTAGATTACTTGCAATTTAGATTGTTTAAAACCTAAGTCTGACCATTGTTGCTTCCTCCGGAGTATATGACCAAAAAACTTTCCGGAATAACAAATAGCAGATAATGAAGAAAAACAGTAGCCATTCATAGGAAAATCGATTTCGGCGAGACCTTCGAAACATTTCATTGAGAGCTTTGCTGTATATTCGGACTAATGGCATGAATTTGCTCAGCCTGCTCGAATTTTTTCCTTTGCTTTCACAAAAAGCTAGACGTAGAGTCCGAGGCAAAAATACGGCTTTGTCTATAGGACTCCCATATATTGAACTAGAACCTTAACAAACTCCAATGCTAGTTGTGTGCGCTGGTTTTACCGAGCTTTTTTATTAATACATTTTGTAACAGAACATTTATTGCTGAGAATAAAACAGATTCAAACTATAAAACAAAAATATATGTATAAATCTAACTGGTAGTAGATGCGGCATTTGAAGTCCCGTTGTCTTCTAAGTTAATAAATTGAAAGAGTTGGTCCAAATGATCCTCGTCCTACAATCTACGTTATAAGAGACATTAAAAAATAAAGTTACCAATCCAACCAATACATTCATCGAAAGAAAAGTTGAGCGCAGAAGTGTACGACGGTTCTCGTTGTAACTAAATATCAAAAGGAATTAAAATTAGAATCGACTTGCTTACCATAATGCTGCAAGCAAAGCCAAAAAGTGATCATGCTTTTGTCGCATCCTCTCAGCTTCTTTCGTCGCTTTATCCTTAAATCACTGATGATGGGAATGGCTGAAATGTTTACCAATAGACCTTTCTGCTGATCGCCCAACAAAACGAAATCCTGTTTCTCCTTGTTGAGACGTGCGATTGTCTAAAACACATAAAATTAGCAACTTTTAAGCTTTCAAACTTTCTCCGTTGATTCGAAGTACTCGTTGTATAAAATCAGCTGTTCCTTGTCCTTCTGCGTTTCAGCTTTCAAAGTCTCAAATTGAATCTTCAGCTCCAGGTGCTCCTAAAATAAATAGACAATTAACGACTAAAACAAAAGGAACCTTTCGAGACTGAGCCAGCTCGTCGTCCTTTGCAAGCAGATTGGCCTTCACGACTTGATTCTCCTTTGACAGAGTTTGTAACTCTTTCTTCTAAACAAGCAATATTATCTTTCAAATTTAAAGTATACTACCAGCTCATCAACACACCCCGTTGGAGTGGGAGCCGAATGGGATGTCTAAACAGAAAGATAATTACCTAAACATCAAAATACAACAAATTACCGCAATGCTAGTGTTTGCTGGACCTTGTTTGAGTTGTCTATGAGCCTCAGGATTGCCGCGGTGCTGCACTCGAAGATGTTGAAGCATCCGGTTCAAAATATCCGGTGGAGTTGGCTAAAAATGCGACATTATGAGACCTCTACATCAAAACTACCGTGCTTGAGTGAGCTGGCTGCGTCGATGCGTTCATTCTCTAAAAGTAAGTAATACATAGGTGCCAGGGGAATCAGGCGGCGGGGGTAAGCACTTTGGACTTCACCCCCTTGAAGTCCAAACTGCCCCCTCCCCCCTTGACTCTCTTCCTACTAATTCATAAAGTGACTTAAAACGTTTTGACAAAAAAAAGATAGTTTATCAAATAGCAAATAGCTTTATTTGCAATGGTTGGCAACAGGCATGTTAGCAGAAAATTTAATCTTCGGATTTTCAAAGCAAAACCCAACGAATGGGGCAGCTACGCACGGATAGGGCGGAAAAAATTGCGAAAAACGTAGCTGCCCCACTTCTTGCGTTTTGCCTGAAAATTAAAAGATATTCAATTTTCCGCCTGCAAGCCCGGTTAGCGAGAAGGAATGAAAATCAAAATGAAAATAGGAATATTCAAGCTAGGGACTGAATATTTTGACGGAATTATTTTTGCTATATAACAATTTGAAGAGAAAAATTTTTTATTTCATAGGGGGGTGGGGCAAAGGCGACCTTTTTTCTGCTGGAAAAGGCCTTAGGAAAGGTCGTAAAGCTTCAAAAATGTTTTCATAGAAGGGAATCGTATGCGTAGATTCCGAATTTCGACAAATCAGACCTCGCTGACACGTCAAATTTGGGCTAAAAGGCAAAAACTACGCAACTTAACGCTTTTCCGCAGTTTTTGCCTTTTAGCCCAAAGTTGACGTGTCAGCGAGGTCTGATTTGTCGAAATTCGGAATCTACGCATACGATTCCCTTATAAGAAACATTTTTGAAGCTCTAAGGTAGACTTGTGTTTCGGTTGAACCGGAAACGTTCTTTTTCGGTTCGGTTTCGGTTTCGGTTTCGGTTAACCGAACCGAACCGAAAAAAAATATTTTTCGGTTGAACCGAAACCGAACCGAACCGAAAAAATCATCTTTTCGGTTGAACCGAACCGAACCGAACCGAAAAACTAATCTTTTCGGTTGAACCGAAACCGAACCGAACCGAAATTCGATAACGTGCGATAAAGTGAACCAATGCAAAACGCAATAAATTTATGCGAATTACGCCAAACTCTGTTTTTTTTTTATTTTTGCATGAATATTCAGTTGGTTAGGAAACTTGACAGTAAATAGATAAAAAGCATTTTGCAACAAAGTTCGTTTTATATTTCCTCGATTTTTTTTTTGCAATTGCGCAATTGTTTTTCAAAAAAAAACATTCTTCACTTTTTCTGTCTTTACTTGCACCATTTTGTTTGTTTGCTTTCATTTGTTTTGCCATAGGTATAAACTGTTCAAACTTATACTGCTGGACAATGAAATATCATATTTGAAAAAAGATCGTCACTTTCGCGCTTCTGTAACTCCTTTGTCTTTACCGTATTTCTAAATATTAATATATGCCACTGTGTAGCCCATGAAAAGAGCTTTCAGAAAATGTATAACACTAATAGTTTAAACTCAAAGACAAGGGAGATACAGACGCGCGAAAGTGACGATCTTTTTTCAAATATGATATTTCAAATTACAATCGCTAAAAATTTGAGTCAACCGAAACCGAACCGAACCGACAAACTCAGTTTTCGGTTGAACCGAAACTGAACCGAACCGAAAAACTCATCTTTTCGGTTCAACCGAACCGAACCGAGCCGAAAGACTCATCTTTTCGGTTCAACCGAACCGAACCGAACCGAAGATTTCGGTTGACTTCGGTTGAACCGAAACCGAAACTGAACCGAAAAGAGCCAACCGAAACACAAGTCTACTCTAAGGCCTTTTCCAGCAAAAAAAAAAGGTGCGCAAATGTCCAGGTGCGCAAAAAAAGGTCGCATTTGTCCCACCCCCATTTCATAGTTTGTGCCTGGTGTGTCAGCTTTCAGAACCTTTCGAAATGCTTAAAACAATTTTAAATTTTGTTGTTAGCTAGTCATATTTCTTACGAGTTCCGGCTATACAGACAATAAGTGGAACTTTGTAAAATGCTAGTTCGTGTGCGCTGGGTCACCAAAATTTCAACTTTCCGTTAACTCGTGTTGTTGTTTTAAAAAATCATCTTTTTGTTTAGGTAGCTCAACCGAAGAAAGCGATTGTTCAATGATGCATCCACTTCTGCTAAAACTCTTCCCCGAGCGTTGCGCCGAACACCGAAATCAGGTTTTTAAAACTTTCGTCTTTTGTACTTGGTTTGTTTTAGCAAGGAATGACCGGTGATGGACCGATGCACGCCTCGGATCGTTTGCAACACGCAATGATGGGTGAACTTTCGTATTTTCCCAATCAACTTCCACCACCGCCTCAGCCTTATGTCAACATGCACCACGATCGTCAAGTCATGCATCATCGAACCTTTGGAAAGAAATCGGTACGTTAGTTTGGTGGTATTTAATAGCTTTTTTCATTTTTAGGGACAAGGTGATCGTGGCTTTTACGAAGACCCTAGAAAAATTTATCGAAATCACGGGGATGTTTTCTTCCAACCATTCGGCTATCAACAACAAAATCAGCCGCCATATGTGCCACCTCCTGCAAACATGAAGAGAAGCAAACAAATCCTCAAGGAAGTTGCCGACATTGCCATCCCAAGTTCACATAAAGAGGAAAAACATTCAAAGGTTAGTTATTTTCTTTTTTGCTTTCCTTCAAACATGCGTCACCTGTTCTACCCTTTGACCGGGGTCAAGATGGATAGCTAGTAAGCATTTGATGACTCATCCACGATGTGGTTTACTAAATTCTTTCCAAGACCGGGATTCAATGTTCAAGAAGTCCTATTAATTTTATTTCAAGAAGTGAAATGTCGGATAAGCGGACAGATAGATGAAATATGGCGACAAATTGCTTTTCTTGTTTCAAGCGTGTCCTTACACTATTTCACGGCGTGATAAATGAACCCGTTTCAAATGTTTTGGACTAGTGCATAAAGACTGAATGAAATAGGAAAGGACATTGAATTTAAGGTTTATGTGTACAAGAATGGTATTAAATATGGTGAATGTAAAAACAAAGAGTTAAAGTTGACTTTAATCTTAGTGCTTAAATGACCATTTTTTTTAGGTTTTGGCTGAAGCTACGATCGATGGTGGAGCCAAAGTGATCTCATATGTTGATGTTGAGGGAACAAGACGCGTTCGCATTGAATATGATCGCAAAAGCATGCTTGAGTAGGCAAAATTTCTGTTTAAACTTAACATTAACTAGTGAGTATTGATCTTTTCAAGAAACTTGCTTTAGAGCTTCTCAATCACCCTTTGCTCGGATTGCACCATCCTGTATGCGTAATGTTGTAATGAAAATGCCGGAAATTGTGCCAAAGTTGGTCACATTTGTTTGTACAATTTTTATATTTTTTCTAGATTTCCACGCGCTTTTAACGCCAAGGAGTACGAAAAAAACCGTCACCATTGATTTTCGCACCTGAATTCCTTTGTGTATTTTGGTATTATATTCACTTTAGTTATTTGTTTGTCAAGTATGTTTTGTGTTTAATGTTCAGTGTTCTATTGACTTGTAGAGTCTTATCAACTGTGCCATATTTAATACAATTAATTTTGTGAAAGAACAAGAAACGAATGTCAAACCATGTGTGTGACAAGGTTAACGCGGTCAGTTTAAACAATTTTTCAGTTTGTTTGGGGTTGTCTGTCGAGTTTTAGAGTCAAGTGGCTGCGCATCTGTCTTTAGGCTTTCGCTCCTTTAGGGACACCTGTTTCGGTTCGTGCCTTCCGGCGGGGTGGGCCTCTCTTTTCACCCCCAACCACTGTTACCGCTTTACCCTCGCAATCGGTGTCCTCCTTCCATTTTATTGTGCCCGCCTCGATTCCCCCGTGTCGGTTGTTTGAAAGGGAGATTTCGTCAACACACTCAGTGTTGTGTGTCAAAATGTCCAGCGAACAATTGAGTTTCAACAGCATTTTTCTGTTCTTTGCCTCGTTGCTGACATTTTGTATTCTTTTCACAAATTCCGCTGCTCAGTCGTTGTCACAATGTGCCCGGATACACGCTTGTGGGGCTACGTTGACGAGTTTTCCACAGCTAGTACCACCAACTGAGGGATCAGGTGGGAACAATGACAGTGATAAAGCTGGACTTACTGTAGTTAGGCTGCGTTTCTTTTGTTCTAAAGTGTTTTTTAAAAGGCTACCGTACCCGGAATTTGAGCTGCCTCTTGGTAGCTTTCGCTGGTTCGATGGCAAGCTTGACTTTGATATTTCACAAAAAGACGGAATTACGGTAGCAGCTTTTCCGAAGCGTGCATTTTAGAAAATGCTCTAGGCGAGAGGAACAAATCGCCTCTCCTAAGTTAGTGCAAAATCGAAATCCATTGATTTTAAATGCTTTTATTGTAGTCCGAAATCACTTTAGATTTTGCACCACCCTTACCAAGAATTAAAAATCGTATTCAGGTTGGGGTTCGGGTGAATCGCCTCCTTTGTACGATGAACTCCTTTCACCATTGACTCATTTCGATTACGGTGCCGATTCGGAGACGAAAGTCGGTTCTGAAAAGACAATTCAACTAATATACAGCTATAAAAATTTGTTTTATCGAGGATTTATTTGTAGGAGTTCGAATTGTGTTCGTGTGCGAACAATGAGACTTGTGATTTCGCGGACGAGTCGAAAAAGCTGAGATTCGATTCGATGTTGACGGTTGGTTGGGTTTTTGGCGATAAGCTATTCAGGATTCAGTCGAGCTGCCTTTGGATAATCTAAATAAAAGGATTGAGTCATTTGAGCATTAAGCCAGAATATCGACTGCTCCACTCAACTAAAAGCTACCGTACTCCGGCTGAGTTTTTGGGCAAAAAGTTACCGTACTCAGGCTCGACGATCAAGGCTCAATTGCAAATGCTCAATTATTGATTCCTGGATATCCAAAAGTTCTAAGCACTCGGTAAACAAAAAACAAGAGTCAAAAACAAATCGTAAACTCAGTTTCTGGGGCTAAATTCTCTGCAAATGAAAATCGATCGTTTAGTTGCACTTTTGTGAGGAGCCAACGAAACAGATTCCCAACGAATGCAAGGGAAGACGGGGAATCGTTCGTGTTATTGGTGAGTTGCGGGAAAAAAGAAAACAAATCCAAATAGAGAAAGGTTTTTGATGTAAATCCTAGATCGATATGTCAATTTCCTTTATTGGGGATCGTTGTTTATTTACCACCGAGTTCCGAAGTGCCACCTAGCCTATGTAGAAAAAGCAAAAGCCTATTTTGTAGCAAAAAGCAAAAGCAAGATTTTTCGCTGATTGCGAATGTCTAGATCGTTTTTGTGTAATCGGTTTGCTGAGGCAAAACCACCATGAGCCTTTGACACCATCATGAGCCTTGAAAAATCAACAAGAAAATTTTTCCAGACCCATGACCACTTTTTTTCTTCAACTAGAAACAAAAAGCCCTTTTTTGGCATCGTGTCTGCACAGCCCTGTGGTGTACTGGTTAGCGTCGCTGTTACCAAACGATCAAATCGTCGTTTTTCACGGTTTCGACTCCTTGCCAGAAAATTTGATTTTTTTTTGCATTTCGCTTTCATATTCGTCAAGGATTTTTCCGCCTACCAGATGTTGATGCGTTACCAATCAACCATTCGAGCGTCTGCGTGACCGAGGCCAGCGTTTGGCCGGTCCCATCGGCGGATCCTGAAATTTTTTTTTCAAAAGGATTTTTCCAGACTCAAACCGATGACCACTTTTTTTTCGGATACCCTTTAAGCTAGGTCTCACTTCGAATCTCGATAGTAAATAGACAACGATCCCTTTTTATCGAAAAAATTTCAGGATCCGCCCATGGGACCGGCCAAACGCTGGCCTCGGTCACGCAGACGCTCGTTTTTTGCTCTTGTCCGGTTGGCTTCAAAAAGGTGAGTTTGAAAGGAAAAAGAAAGTGTGAAAGCTCGCGTTTTCTTTCAAAATACTGTAATTTAGTTTTTAGTTTTGTTTTTTATTTATCAGCTTTTGTCTTATGCGAAGTTGGGTCTTGATTAGCTTGATTAGCTGATTAGCTGATTAGCTGATTAGCTCTTGATCAGCTTTTGATTTGATTAGCTTGATTTTGATTACTTTTTCGCTCTAGCACTCAACGTGTTTTCTTTTTCAAAACCACATACCGTATTTCTTCGAATAGAAGACCGGGCAAAGAGTATCATCGCGTACTCCTGCGTAGCAGCCCTTTTTAAAATTTCTTTTCTGCATAAAAGCTTTCAATCAAGTGCTATAGAGCTGGAAAATGGCTCAAAAATCTGTTATGTGGTATTTTTGAGTCATTTTCCAGCCTTGATTGAAAGCTTTTATGCAGAAAAGAAATTTTAAAAAGGGCTGCTACGCAGGAGTACGCGATGATACTCTTTACCCGGTCTTCTATTCGAAGAAATACGGTACTTGAGAGCTTATGCTTTGCTAGAGGAAGAGCAAGAGCAATCGTTGCAGTAAGCAAGCAAAACAAGAGCTATCGTTGAGCAAGCAAGGAAAACAAGAGCAAGAGCAATTGTTGAACAAGCAAGCAAGCAAGCAAAACAAGAGCAATCGTCGCAGTAAGCAACAGCAATCTCAGACAAAATCGAACTTTCCAGGTGTCAACGAACATGTGGGATCACCAAGAACTTTCGCTCAACTACAAATGTTTCTAAAATGTTTCTAAAGTGTTTTAAAATTTTCCCTAAAAAATGCTCAAAGCTATCGATCAAATCCCGGTTGATTAGGTCATTTTTATTCTTAAATTTTTCAAAACTTTTACTTTTATTCAAAAATTCGAAAGCAGTACAAGAAAGATTGTATCTCAAAAAGAAATAAAAGATTCGCATTTATGAATTTTAAGCCTTTTAAAGTCTTTTTTAAGCTTTTTTAAGTCTTTTTTAAGCCTTTTAAGTCTTTTTTAAGCCTCATAAAGTTACAGTCACTAGATTAATCGAAAAAGAAAAGTATTCAGCTTTTTGTTTGCTTCTGGAGTGACTGGGAATTTACAGTAGATCAGTACAGTAGATCAGTACTACTTTACAGTAGATCTTCGAGTTTTCCGGTGTGAACGTCAATAGGTATCCAACGGAAAAGTGCCAAATCTTACAAGGGAATTGCATCAACCTAAGATAAGCTTTTGGGTCAAAAAGATAAGCTTTTGGATCAAGAGACTCACACGATTCGATGCAGAATTTCACGCTTTCCGAATTTGCTTTCCATTTTTGCAAAATCTCTATCAAAAGTTCACAAATATTTCAAATTTCTAGCCAAAAAATGAAATTTTCCTGGTTGAAATGGGATTTCCTCATAAGACTTCCCTAATAAGGCTTCTTCAGTGCCAGCCAAACGTAAACTAGTAAAACTACGTAAACTAGTGGCTATCCACTCGCCATAATCGATAATTACTTGAAAGATCCGGCTAAATATGGAAAACGCAAGCGGAAAAACTATCAAAAGTGAAATTTATCGGGTTTATGCTATACGAAACTACAGTGCGTTTCACATCAATAAAAGCATCCCAAAAAATAGCTGAAATTCAGGGCTACTTTTTGATACCAAAGACGCATTTTTTGAATGCACGGGCACTTCAAAGAAAGAAAAATGAAACACTAAAAAACTTTTGCGACTACGCGACTGTACGAGGTGGATGGGGCACTATTACAGTATTTACGGTAGGTTCTTTGTCTTCTCTTTCTAATAAAAACAGAATTAGATCTCTAACTCTTACGCACCCTGAGTTATTGCAATTTTTTGGGATACCTTTATTGACGTGAAACGCACTGTAGTTTCGTTTAGAGGGCCTACCCACTGCGCTACCTTTAGAGGCCTACTGCGCCGCTCGTTTAGGCTTGTATTTTGGCTTGCGTACCTTTATTTGTTGCTTGGGTTCAATTCAATCTTTTCTTTCTCTTTTTTCCCTTCATTAACATGAAAATAAAGAAATTTCCCCAATAATCGGGTCTATCCCAAAACAGCGCCGCCAAAACAGCGCCACCAAAACAACGCCGCCAAAACAGCGCCACCAAAACAACGCCGCCAAAACAACGCCGACCAAAACAGCGCCGATCAAAACAGCTCCGCCAAAACAGCGCCAATGCAAAAACGCCCAAAACAGCGACGAGAAAAAAAAATATTTTTTAGATTTTTCCTTTTGCTTTTTCTTTGCTGTTTTTAACAGCTGCTAGTTAAAAAAAATGAGTGTAAAAGAAAAAAAACTTCGTTTTGCATCGACGCTGTTTTGGGCGCTTTTCATTGGCGCTGTTTTGGGTACGGCGCTATTTTGGCGGTGCTGTTTTGGGATAGACCCCAATAATCGCTGATTGATAAATCCCATATCTGAAAGTTTAAAAATAAAACAAATTTAAGTGTCAAAATGAAGACAAAAAAGAAAAGATGGAATTGAAGCTAAGCAAAAAAAAAAAAAATGAAGAAATCGTTTCTTATAGAAGCCCTCTACCCACTGCGCCGCTAGTCCACAATTTTTTGGCGACAAATTTTAAATGTTTGTAACTTTTGATAGAGGCTCCTTATCTCAACAAATTTGGTTCCATAAAACTTGAGGAATAGCTAAGCTGGAATGGGTTTTTTTTTCGAAAGCCACCTCTCCTTTTGTGCAGTCAATTTCCCAAAAAGTTATAAACAAACTTATTGGAGGTGGCTGGAATTTCGAAAAAGAACCTAAATTTGGTTCCTTATCTCTCTAAATTTGGTTCCTTATCTCTACAAATTTGGTTCCCTATCGCTACAAATTTGGCCCTATCTCTCTAAATTTGGTTCCCTATCCCCATTTGGCAAAAACGGAAAGCAGATTCGGAATGAGCGTGCAATTCTGCATTGAATGGTCTATGGCTCATTTCATTTGGTGTCATCGATCGGTGCTCAACGGAAAAATGGTCAATTCTTGGTCAATTCGAGTCGAATTTTTTTGTTTTTTTTGATTTGAATCGATCGAAAATGAAATCCTTCGTCAATAGAAAAGAAAACGAAATCCCTCGATATGAAAAGCAAAGAAAGATCGGAGTGAAGAATTCACGAAGAAATTCCATTTTTCCGTTGCACGCCTATTGACGTTCACACCGAAAACTCCCAAGTCGTCTTTACAGTATTTTTAAATGTTAAATATTGTGTTTTTCTTTTTGAAAATGTTTTTTTTGTTTTTTTTTGATAAATTTTTGTGAGAATCTTCTATATAAAGAGAAAGAAATTTGGAAGAGAAAAAAAATGCGAAAAATGGCGCAAAACCCGTTCGCTTCCAGTTTTCCCAACACAAAAAAACGACCTGCTTCACCAAAAGATTCACCAAAAGCGCTTCAATTGACTGAATATTTTCTTCTTTTCTTTAAATAAACATTTCTTTGAAAGAGATGCTCTTTGAAATCCTATTTCTTTATTTATTTGGATTAGCGATCACGAATCCGTTGCCAAATCCTGATTATGAGGGTTTCAACGGGATTTTCGACTCACCGGCTCAATTTTGCGATCAGACAATGAAAGAGGTGAGAGCTGAACACCAAAATGATACCCTGATACCCTATTTTCTAAAAAATATCGATTTTGGAAAAGCAAACCAAAAGCAAACGAAAGCTAGTAAGAAAACCAAGAATCTACACTAGATTAACCCAATTTTTTTTGCATCATTAACAAAGCCTTATCAAAAGATAAGGCTCAGTTAATGATTTAATGATTTAACGATTCTAAAACGTGCCCCAAACGGCCTAGATTCCTTGCGTAGCTGCCCTGAACGGTCAACAATCGCAGCTACGCAGAAACCAAGGACGTGTTTAAGAATTTCAAAAACATTGTATCGAGAGTGTACCAAAATTGAGTTGATCGAATGTAAACTAGCAGTTGTTTACGATACTTTTTTTTTAAAAATAAGTGCTTTAGAAGAAAAGGAAAGCGATTCAGTAGCTCTTTAGGGTTTAAACCTAAATTACAAAACCAATATTTTCCAAAAGGCTCACAATTAGATGTTCGGCGTCGATGTGGTCGAGAATCCCGGTTTCCCGGGTTTCATCCAACAAAATCGGTTGAAAGCGAAATTTTGCGAAGACGCCGAAGAGGCTGTACAGGTGGGGAAAGACTATCAAGATTGCGTTCAATCAATTTTCATATTGAGACAAAAATTGAAAATTGAAAAATCGAAATGCAGGGCTCGAACCCGCGACAGCTAGATCGAGAGCCTGGTGCTCTACCGACTGAGCTAATCGGACTGGTGGGAGACTGGTCAACAAATGGCCCCAAGTGCCTGAGAGTAGCAAAAAAAGCCGAATTTTCAACATTTTTCAATCATTTTTTTCTAAGTGCTGGTTAATGCTAGAAATCTTTGTTATATCTAAAAAAAATCACCCATTCTCTCTACTTTAATTTGATACCAAAGCGTGCAGAAACAAACGTACTAGTGTCGAGATCTGAGCGATTTTTGAGTGTAAACTTAGACTACGCGACGCTCCTATAGGGGGTTCTTCTATTTACGATAGATTATTTACGGTAGGGTTCACAAAGAATCACAAAAGATCTAAAAAGTGGATAAAAACTAGAGAAAAGAAGGGAAAGAAAACGGTCAAAAGAGAAAGAAAACCCGTTTTAGGAGACCTGTTTGCTAAAGTGTTTTCTACAAAATTGACAAATTCTTCAAAATTTAGTGCGCCGCCGGTACCTCCGAGCATTTCTCGTTGATTGGCGATGAATGTATCTCGCAATTTTACGAGGATTGGCGAAATATCACCCTGCAATTAACAAAGAAATTCGGAAAAAATGCTTGAATAAAATTTTAAAAAGAAAAACAAAAACAAAGTGGTCAAAGATCCTCTCGAAACGCAACGGGTTAAACTAACAGATAATCCCGTTGTTCCGGACCAACTGGCTCTCTTGCTAGGGTTTCCTATTTTTATAAACCCCATTGGGCGCCGTGCGCCAGAAAGGGTGCGTTTATCGGTGGTTGAGTCACAGCTCTTTCACCGCAAAACAAACAAAGGAGTGATAAGCTTTTCGTCGAGAAAAAAAGGGAAAGACAAAATTGTCGTTGCTGTTTCATAAAGTTCCATAAAGATACATGCATTTTTGTGTCATTGTGAGTAACAGGGTAAACTTAGCTTACTCGCTGGGTAGTTTACCCATCGATGGGTAAACTACCCAGCGAGTAAGTTGAAGAACCACTGGATTAGATGAGTTTGGGATGTCTTTAAGTTTGTTTCAGAGTCACTAATATGATCACATTGAAATTGGAAGAAAGAGCAAATATCACACTCGGAAGTAAAGCAAAAACGATAGTAAAGCTGATTGTAAATATAAAAAAGAACAAGAGTTATTCACAAAAGGAATCCATTTTTAAACAAGTTGACTTTGGTTGAGTTGATTCGTTCGTTCGTTTCGTTTACGTTATCACTTGATTTTATCCAATTTTCTTTCCTGATCCCAAATTTCACGAATCGGTTCCACTGCTGATCAAAGTTGGCGTTCTGAAAACAAACTATATGAAGGTAACTTAAATTAAAATAAGATTTTTGTAACAAAAAATTCACCCATCACTGTCCTCGTCCAGTGCAGGCGGTCGTTGAATGCCCGACCACTGGACAATAAAATTTGAAATCTAGATAACAAACTTAAAAAAAACACAGGGATCCAATACTCACCTCCATCATTGAGGCTCTTTTATCGATTCTTGTGAAGACGCTGTTGTCGAGAAAATCCTGAAGTTTCTTCCCGGCTCCTTTGGGCAATTGTGGTTTCACTCCGGTCATCAACTAAAGCATTAATGTCAAAGGTTTCACGGAAAAACTTCTTCTTACCAGCTCTCTGACTTGATCGTTCTTTTTTCCTTCATACGGCTGTCGACCCTCGGTGTAGATTTCGTAAACAATCAACCCAAACGACCAAACGTCCGTCTTCTGTGTATAACGAAACTCCTAAACGAGAGGTGATTTAGAACGGAAAATGAGCTGATAATTTCAATAACTAAAAATAACAAAATGTTGAATACCAGAATGCATTCGGGGGCCATCCATCGAAGTGGCAATCTCACAGCATTTTTTGCTTTCGGCAACTCATACTCACTGCCTCGAATCGACATCCCAAAGTCGCTGATTTTAACCTAAAACAAAAATAAGTTTGTCTTCAAAATAAAATGTTAACTGACTAAATTTCGAACGGAATCTACTAAACAATTGCGAGCAGCCAAGTCCCGATGAATGATTCCTTGCGAGTGGATGTACTCGATTCCAAACGCTATCTAAAGCAAATAACTTGTAAGATAGATATAGTCAAAAACCCACTCCAGATACGAAAGCGTGTCGTTGTCGTTTATTGATTTTTCCTCGATTGTTCGTCAAGTAGAGAAGCAAATCCAATCCAGGCACCAGCTCGAGAACAATGTAGATCGGTTGTCGAAGCACGGCCACTCCATAAAAACGAACCTAGAAAGAAAAGTGTACCATTATAGGTAGATCTTTCTATGGAAATATTGATAAGCTAGATCTGAAAACAAACTGACAACATTCAGATGATTCAATCCACGCATCAGTCGACATTCGGCCATGATCTCTTTCCGTTTCTTTTTCGAGGCGGCACAATCGTCTTTAGTCTAAAATAAAAATCATTATGTATGAATATAATGAACTACAAGAATTACACGTAAAGAAAGTATGCTTTATAGAAAAGTTTAGGTGTTACACAAAATGCTACCTGTTTCAAAGCGATGGACACCCATTTGGTTGAAGGACGACGAAGTGAGCCACGATAAACAACTCCGAATTGACCCTAAAGCATCTGATTTAGTTAACAATAAACTTAAAATATCGTACCTCTCCCAAAGTTTCTTGTGTCTTGAGATTTTCGTGTAATAGTTCCCATTCTTGTCTTGCGATCGGAAATTGTAGCTTGCATTTGTACTAAAAGAAATGATTAGCATAGGTTTTAAAATTCTCCTTACACTAAAACCGGCTCCGGGGATTTGCTCTTCCTTGCTCGAATGATAATCGATGAGTTCTTTCAATGAGGCGAAGTCGTGCTTCTCATTGATCGTGAAACTGCCTTTGTTCTCGACGACGGCAATGTGTCGAATCTAAATAAAGGCAATCAATGAAATCAATATAAATCTACCACGCTTTAAAAGTTTATAACACGGTTATCACAAATAAAAGTTGTTGTTATAGTAGTTGGCGGGGGTTGTTGTTATAGTAGTTGGCCAGTTGTAAACACTGGTTTTTCGAGCTTGCCACTAGTTTTAAAAGCTTTTTCAGGGGTAATTAATTGTACTCAATCCATTGTAAGCCTTTATTTATAGCCTTTTAACCATTCTGAACAACCTTTATGCCAATTTGAGCAACAATTCCGAGCCTTCAACAGTGGCTCTATTTCCACTGGGTTTAGAGGCGAATTAAAAAGGCTTAAAACCGCAGTAACTGTTTGAAATAGCTAGGAAACAGTCACTAAAGCTTAAACAAATACTAAATTAAGAATCTACGCCATTAAAAACCCTAGAAGCAAAAATTAGTGCGTTTTGGCTCAATAGGAATGTACACTGCCCCTTCTCCAACTACTATAGCACCTAAAAGTTATTAAAGCCTTAATCATCAAGAAAAAACTTACCGCCATTTCCGAAGTCGGACATTTACTCGCGGGTGCTGCCGCTCGCGCATCGTTGACCTGTTTCTCGGTGAGACGGTACGAGATGACAAAGCAAAGACGTGTTGTCCCATCTTGAACTACCTAAAAAATTACATGAACAATTATAGATTAATGAATAAAAATACTGATTTTGGCTAGTTAAATCACTTTAGCTTCTAGGTTTCGTAAAAATTTCAAAAAAATTACTTGTGAAACCCTGATTAGATAGCTGCCCTCCTTGTTGAGCACTGTGGTGGCATCTTCGCGAGGCAAGAAACCGTGAAAGGCCGGATGGGAGCTCAACCACGGGGGTATCTTCTTTTCGCTCATTTTTTGCTTCTGCCGCACTTGTTACCTAAAGCAAAAAGTCGAGATTTGATGGCATGTCTACTTTAAAAGTGTAAAGCATCCCGTTTTGGCAATAGGTTCATATTTTGACTCGTTTTTTTTATCAAATAGAGCATCTATAGGGTAAAAAATGTAAAAATTGGTTTGGTTAGCTCATTTTCATCAGCAGAAACAGGAAAACACGAAATTATGTGTTAAAATAGGGTACTTTAAAATTTAAATGTAGTAATTCGTTTAAAAATAAAGGTTAACACAATGTAAAATTTGAAAAACGATAAAAAAACCCATCACTTACCGGTTATTTAATCCAAAGCCAAGTGTTTGTGTTGTGAAAAAAAAAATTGCGAAATGAAGTTTGTGTGAATTCCTGTCAAATTTATTTTTTATGCAAATTTTCGTCATTACTTTATTTAGTACAAATTTTATTCACTGTACATGACTATTTGTGAGATCAAAAGCGGACCCAAAGTTAAAAGTTAATCGAAAGCTTTATTCTTTTTCGATTTGCCCGTGAAAAGATTTGCTTCGACCTTTCGCCGTTTTCGAGGGATCATTCGGAGTGCTTCGACTTTTCTGCAAAACTTTCATGATTTTCACTTTCATGCAAACTTTTTGCATTTACCTCGTAATCAATGTGTTGCTTGAAATACATGCAACTCCGGAGCAGTTCGTGAGATCGCTCAAAACATGGACCAGCTCGTTTCATATTCTCCACCGTACTGAAATCGTTTTCCTTTATTATGTGCTCTTTCAACTATTGTTGGACTCAAAAATTTAAATTCGACCGGGAAGGAAAAATTTGATAAAAGTGACCAAAAACTGTATTTCAGTCAAAGTTTGAAATCAACTGGGTCGGCTCAATGTTGTGCTTGAGCGAACTAGTAAAACAGATTTCTTTTTGTTAGATCTCTCTTCCAAAAACCCGATTTAACTCACGCAAGCGCGTTGTCGAGATCGAATTGAACTCCGGAAAGCACTTGAGACACCTCTTGCAAGGCGATCTTCCGTTGCACAACCGTGGACAGAGTTCGACCAACGTGTTCTTGCAACCTGAAATGGTTTAGGCCACTCTTGAAACTTTTCTGTATTCAAATGTATCTTACGGTAGAAGTGCGTTGTTAGCAAGTGGCTTTTAGTGATTTAAACTATCGCAATTTGTTTGCAAACCTGTACAGCGCGAGGCTTGGATCGTGGTCGAGAATCCGGACACTATCCGTCACACGTTCGGCCACTAAATTTAAAGATACAAGCAAATTTTCTCATCACTTACAAAGTCTGCACCGTGACTCGAGCTCTTTCGAACGTTGCATAGCTAAACAAGAGTTTTCACCATAAAAATTTTGAAAGTTCACCAAGAATTGTCAAATGTCTCTCTTCATCTAAAGCCAATTGGGTGGAAATGTTTGGAACTTTATTCGCTTCAAAAATGAACAACAAAGAAGAAATTACAATACAAGAACAGAAGAGAACCATAAAATAAAAGGAAAAATTTGGGATACCCGTCTTTAAGTTGAGAAATTAAAAAGAAAACAAAATACAAAAAAAGTGCTAAATATACTATAAAACAATCCTAAACTAGTAACAGAGAACCAAAATTAATTTTATCCACTAGCAGCTCGTTTCTTTCCCTCAACAGGCTTAATCTGATCGTTGTCTTCGGCTCGTTTCTCCCATGTCAAACGATTCTCGAAGAATGAAAGCTTTTCCCTTCGTTTATCCAAATTCTGTAGCTCGGCGTTGATTTGTTCAAGTTTCACCTAAATGTAGAAACTTGAGTAAAAATCCTAATCGATAAATACCTTTAAAAGAGCACGCTCAGCTTGTGCATCAACAAGTTGCTTCCGTCGAAGACCCCAGTCACCGAACTCTTTAGTTTGTTTCGTCGCCAGTAGTTTTTCCTCTTCAACTTGGCTCTTTTTCAAGACCTAATAAACTGGATAAATAAAAAATCAAATAAAAATTACTTCAAGTATCACATCCGATAGTTTCGTTGCGCCTTCAGTTGCCGCATTTGTTTTGAGAGCCTCCTAAAAAGTATTTAATATGACAAAACATTTCGGTTGTTTACCAAAAGATTCTGTTGTTGGGTAGTTGGCTGTGCACCTTCTCCAGCTGCTGTTATCTAAAGTTATATAAGAAAAAAGGTTTTAAATAAAACGGTACCTGTGCTTCAATGAAGGAAACAATTTGAGCGTTAACTGCAGGCAAATTCTTGTCCGAGAGCAGACTGATTGCTTTAGTGTAGCTAAAAGGGTCAATTAAAGCTCACTTAATTTCATATTACAGCTGAACAAGTAGTAACACCACAGCTTTGAAAATTGATTACTTACTCATTCATGAAGCAGGCTCCTAGTAACATGACCGATCGCCGTGTCGATTCATCCAATAGTTTGCTTTCCCTGCCAATCCAAAGAAGAGTTTTTCCGGCAAGCTGTGAAGCATCGTTTATATCAAAATGCCCATCGTGTGTTTCATTCTTCAGCCAAGGGAATTTCAAAGTTTTCTAAGAAAATTTGTAAAATTACGCTGAGCTTAAAAATATTACCACATCTTCCTCATTTATTTCTTCTTCGGCATCTGGAAATGATGGCAATGGCATAATTCTTTCTTCTGCATTTAGTTCACACCACCTTAAAAGAATAGTTTTAGCTTAAACGATTTTTCTAACCTGGCTGTAGAATAAATGCAAAGTAGATTCAATAACTGATTATCGGTCATTTCTTGCAGCATAATCCACGCCGAAAGACGTGCAGCCACTAAAAAATAAATTTACTATGAATTGAATCAAAGTGTACCTGGTATATTGCTGGCTTTCAGAAAATGATCAATCGCTAAACAAGCTGCATGTTCGTTCAGGAAAATCCCATAGTTAATCTAAATATACGGGTACAATAAAAAAAATTTGCCATTTTTACCGGATCATCCGCGAGAGCAAGCAAACGATCAGGTTCATGCTTCAACAATAATCGCATTATTGCATACTCAGTTGATGATAAGAAATCGGCGGCTGATGGGCTGTGTCGAAGTTTGTAGACCAAATCAAGGATATCGTTCACCTAAAAATGATAGAAATTTAGGTTATTTAGAAATGAAACTGAAATCGTAACGAAAAATTACTTGATCTTTATGTTCAGCTACACAAGCAGCTGCATCAACATCGACAGCACTAAAATTAAATTGAGAAAGTTTAGGTTTCAAAAAAATACCTCCCAACTCCGCCACCAATAAACTTTTTCTGCACAGAAGCAATCCACTCGTAATCGCCACCCAATCCAAGGCTAAAACAATTGTCTAACAATTAGAAATTGTTTAAAACTACTTGTTGAGGTCTTGATGCCTTTCAGCCCAAGCCTCGTTCAATGAAAATGACGATGACAGGAGAGTTCGCCTAAATAAATATGTATTTACTTTGAAAAAGTATTTTTTCACCTGAACAATCCTTGTATCGGTCTGGCCAACAATCTTGCTTTCACTATCATCTGTAACTTTTTTATTATAATAAGTTTTTTTTAAAATCAAGTGGAAACCTCCAAATTTTACTCAAATTCTCAAATTATTAAATTTCAATATTCTTTGCTTCAAACAGCTGAACTAAAACACATCTTACAATAAAAATTTATTGCTACCCGGCAAAATGATAAAGATCAAGGTGTAAAAATAAACAGCGATAAAATCAAAATCACAACATGAAAAAATATAAGAATGTACGAAAAATTAAATTTTCGATCAAATTATTAAATTACAAACTCCTCTTAAATTATCAAATTTCCGTCGAGGACCGCTTGTGCTAATGGACCGGCCACCAAATGAGTTGTTTGCAATCGTTTCAATCCGTCGGTACACTTCTTGTATTGAAATCTAAAAATGGATTCATTTACGGTAAAAGAAATTCCTAAAAGATTAGTCAAATAACAATAATTTTTAACGAAGCATCCAAACGTCTTGCTTACTGCGGTAGCGTTTAAATATTTAAAGTAAAAGATACCCACTTTGAGAATCCACTAGGCAGCGGATGATCGTGCTTCGTTTTGAGATGCTTCGTAAGAGTTGTACCCGTTGTATAGAGTTGATTGCATAAATGGCAAGCGTATTCATCCTTTGAAGAATCCTAAATATAAAAGTGAAATTAAGAATCTTTACTAAAATGAACCAAAATTATAATCGGTGGCCATTGTTTACCAAATGAACAAACCTTTTCATGCTCCTTTTTATGGTTAGCAAGCTGTTTTTTCCATCGAAACATTTTATCGCATTGATCGCACTTTAAAGTTGGTTCTCTAGAAAAGTTCTAACAGGTAAATTGTTATATTTGAAAAATTACTGATGAGTCGCCATGTGTTGAGCCAAAATGTTACTGGTCGCCAAAAATTTCCCACATTCACCACATTGATGCGCATCAGTTTTGGGTACATGTTTTCGTTGAATGTGTCTAAAAAAATCAACACTATTTATCGTGATCCATGCCGATGACTTTGCAAGCGTTCAATTGAAATAAAAAACTCACTTCAATAAATCGTGATTGCTCTTGAAAACCACTTTGCAATGTGGACATTGGCATGTGGCTCGATGGTTTTGACAATGTTTGCGCAAAAGACGTGTATCCGCAAATTTCTTCCGGCAAAAGCTGCAAACCTAAATAAGAAATATAACTTGTAAAAAAAACTCCTTCCAAACAAAATAATTTACCAGGTCTCCTTCAACTTTCCGGAAAAGATGGTCAAAGAGTTTTGTGGTTGCCGTAAAAAATTGCCCACAAAAAGGGCAAGCCACAATCTTTTCACCCGAATGATGTCGGAGGTGATCTCTAAAGAAAGAAATACAGGGTGTCAAAAAAAAAATCAACTTTGGGTCAAATTTTAAAATATTTCCGGTGGCTCAAGGTAGTAGGTATGGTGCGAAAATGATTTTTTGGGGTCGGGAAATTTTGATGTTTTTTCATAATTTTTACCATATGGGTCACCACCATGAGACTTTTTGCTATAAAATTCACTTTTTACTGGTGTCGTGGTGCATAATAAACACTATTAGGATAACTACAAATTTTAACCATACACTTTATTGATCAGCGTTTTCTTGCAAAAACCGGACACTTCTTTAAAAAAAAAGGCGAGTTGAAAATCTCTTCTATATGACAGATATCATATAGTGTAGATGCAGTGTTTGGCAAAAATCTCAGTTTATATATTAAATCTAATACGACACCACGATGCCAGTACAAAGTTTTAATTTTATGGCAAAAGTTTCATGGTGGTGGCCCATATGGTAATAGTGACCATGGCAGCTCAGAAATTTCTTGCAGAGGGTCATAATATGGTACAAATTATGAAGAAACATCAAAATTTCCGACCCCAAAACATCATTTTCGCACCATAACTACTACCATGAGCCACCGGAAATATTTTTAAAATTTGACCCAAAGTGGATTTTTTTGGGACACTCTGTATATTTGAAAAAGCTTTTAAATACCTTAAAATATGTCTCCGAGAACAAGAAAAAGCGCAGTCGAGCCATTTACACGTGAAAACTTTTTCTCCATCCTAATTTAAAATTAATTGTAGCTTTTAGATTCGTAAATAAACCTCTAGTGAAAAATCCTCGTCTTTCACATGTCGATTAACGTGTTTTACAAATTCGGAGATATCACGAAACTCGAACTAAAAAGTTAACAATGACCGCAAGTTGGATTTAAAAATTAAAAGAAAAAATCTCAAACCTACAGGACACTGATTGAATTCACACTTTATTGGCTCTCCTCCATAGAAAAGGGAAAAACGACGTGGAAAATTACAACTAAAATTCAGCCTGTATATTTGAACAATACTTTTTGCGGCAAAAACTCAAAAAAACAAAATTACCTCTCGTAATTGGAAAAGTCCGGGTTTTCCAAGATCTTTTTCAAGCCATTTTTCACCATATATGCCTAGATTTGTAAATTGAAATGTTACAAATTAATAATATATACCTGATACACATGCAAAGCTACATGTGAGCGAAAATCCTCCGTATTCGAAAATCCCATCTGGCAAGTGTCGACCCCGCAAAATAGATGTGCTGCTAAATCAAGTTAACGTTTAAACGCTTGGCACAAAATTAAATTGGCAAATTTTCTTAAACTCACATGATTGATGTTGTAAAGTGCTCTCGATATGTGCGCTGATGTGGTTTTCGAAGTGTTTCATTGAATCCTCAGCTCTCGATGTCCAAGTGCACGAATGCCATAAACATGAAAACTAAAAGAATGTTGTACTTTAAAAAATGAAACGATTTACCCAGACAGCCAGATCATCGTTGCAAAAAACCCACGATGGCGGACTTGAAGTAGACGAAGGTGGATTTTTTGAATCTAACAACACTTTATAAACGTTTTGAGGTATTTAATTAAACTAAACGATTAACTCATACACGATAAAAAAACAGTTCTTTAAAAAAAAAAACTACAACTATACCTTCATCGATCAAAAAGATTTCACTCGTAGATTGTTGAGGCTCTTTCGTATCTAAAAATATTAATTCCATGGATTTTAATCAAAATGAAAAAGTTGTAAAAAGAAAAGTGTTACCTTCATCGATCAAAAACATTCCACTTGATGAAGGTTGAACAAAATTCGTCTCTCCGCCGGTCGATTGAAGTAACGAGTCAAACATCAAGACATCTGAAAAAGTTAGAAAAATATAAAATTCTAGAGAAAATCCAAAGATTTTAGAAAGAAATGAAATTAAAGAACACATAAAGCACATAAAGTTCTAGTCACATAAAGCTTAAAGATTTTTACTCGAGCCTACGAAAGTGTCCGAATGGGTTTAACGGATTTTGGCGGTAAATTGAAAAATTTCTCCTCACTTTTCCTAAATCTTTCTATGTAGTAGGAGATGAGGTTTAGATTCTAAACTAGCTTTTAGATTCTAATTGTAGGCAAGGGTTTAGGTTTAGGCAAGAGTTTGTTAGCGGGGTAGGCAAATTTTTGGTTTATACCACATTAAACTAAAGCTATCAAATTGACGAATTGAATAGCTTATTTTGTATTATGAAACAGGGTACTTTAAATCTTTTACAGGTTGAAACAAGGATTGACCTTGTTTTGATGCGCAAACATTTTCCAACCCAACTTTCTTTCTTTTTCTCTTTCATATCAAGAACTTTTTTAGAGCCGATTCAACCAAGGACCGAATGAAAAAGAAAAATAAACGAGGTAAGAATTTTGACATTTAATTGCAGTTTTCTAAAATCCTTCAATATTCTCGAATTTAGATCTAATCAAGAATTTGGAACGCGCAAATGCCGGCTGTGATGTTTCCAAGCAAATCGACGCTTCATACGAGTTAGCCGAAGCATATCGAAAAGACGATGATCTGGTGAACGCGATTCAATCATTTGAGAACACTTTTCATCTAGGTTTGTATTACATTTGAAACGTTTGAACATTTTGAACAAAATTTAGCCTGGTTTAATTTAACAAGTTGTAATTGGTTCACGAACCCCTTTAAAGAAGGCCGAAGCTGGTTGAATTGGGCTATAGCCTGTGCCCAGTCAGGTCTCTGGGTGTGCAGAGCCATAGCCTAGGTAAATAGCAGTGCATTAAAGTGGGAGAAACAAGGACTGAAAAAATGATGTTTATATAGCAAAAATAACGATTTGCTTCCCCGCCCCCCTCGATACTAAACACGAACCGATTTCACTAATTTGGGCAAGATCTTTATACTCTTCTCTTTAGCCAAGCAAAATCGAGACAAACAACATTGGTCCCTGAGTGCTCGAGCTTTGGCTGAAATTTACGCAAATAGAAGTAAGTCCATTTTTGTTTACAATGCAGTTTTGAATTTTTAGACGATCTTCCTCAAGCCAGCCACTATGCAGAGGTTTACAGAAGCGTAGCCGCCGAATTCCGGTGGGCGTCCGAAATTCAGCTGTCGTATCACGTCACTGCATATGTTAGTGCCCAGATTTTGCTTTTATATTTTTGTTTATTTAGGTCCATCAAGTTGTCTGGTCTTTGAGCGGAATCAAAAGTTTATTGGAGAAGGTTTTTGGTGTCTTGACTATTTTATGCATATGCTTTTAGAGCTACGAATGGGCACAGAAAAGTTATAAATATCTTCTCGAGAACGGGAAAATAATTGATGGAAATAAGGAAGGTAAGTTTTATTGCGAGTCAGCCGGGTATTTTACATAAAATGATATTCTTTAGATGTACTTCGAGCTGGTCCAACTATTGTTCGTTTGTCAACAGTCTCTTTGTTGTTAGCTCAAATTCTTTCAAAACTTGGAAAACAACAAAGTGCGGTTCAATACGCCGAAAAGGCGTTGAAAGCTGCAAAGTTAGTTTTTTTTAAACTTTATCATTGATATAATTTAGGAAGTCGGGCGATTCTAATGTGATCATTTCTACTTTTCAAGCTTATTACGACGATTATGCGACGGCCAATAAAGTGATTAAACTTTGAACTTTTAAAGTAATATTTACTTTAGCTAGAAATCGCGAAAGATATGATGAATGAGGCGAACAAACTAAAAACAAAGAAGGAAAAGTGTATTGCATCGCTTTATTTATTAAAGGTTGGAATCCCAAACTATTCTGACTTTTTATCTTTAGGCCTACCTATATCATTGTCAAGAGCTGCCTAAAGCCCGAGAAGAATGCTATGGGATTGTTGCCCATCATTGGCAAGAACTTGACGAAGATGAAAGAAAAACCGTGAGGCAAACCGCTGTGACACGTAATTGCATTTACTTACTAAAATATACACTAGTTCTTTAGTCTGGCGACTTGTAAAAGCCGAAAAGGAGATTTCGAATTGGGAAATCTTGTCAAGATCGAGTGGAAACAAATCCATTTTAAAAACTCGTTACGAGAAGGTTTGGCTGAATAATTTGGACATCTGAATAAGATCTGGGTACTTATGGGTTATATCCTCCGCGGTGAATAAATATGGCTTTTTGCATAAGCAAAAATTTACATTTAAAAGTTTACCTTGCATCATGTTTGGTTTACCCCCTCCCCCAAAAATGAAATTTAAGAACCAAGCTCTGTTTTCAGCTTGGCGACTTTGCGACCGAATCTCGACTTTATTCTTTAGCTCTGCGCTATTACCGCAAATTTGAAGCGTAAGTGGAAAAAAAAATATAATTTTTCAAGAATTTTTAGTTATGCGGAGATTTCTCAAGATAAAGCCACTGCTCTCGAAGCTGTTGTCACAACTTTTTTGGTGCCTCTTTACAAAAGTCCCTAAATACTATATTTTTTCAGGATTGCTTGAAAAAGTGCAAGCATTTACCGCAGAATCCCAGCGAGGGGCTTGCTTTCGTCGAGAAATTGATTTCTTTGCAAGAACGATGTGGAAAAGATGTCTACTTTGTTTGAAGTACTTTTGTGATTTTAATTTTTAGACGGATGCGTCAAGAGAGTTGCGCTTTGAGTTATTACTATTTACTGGAATACAAATTGAGAAAGCACGAGACGAGCTGAAAAAATTATCAGGAATCTGCGAGAAAGAATTAGTGAGGTTGTTAATTCATATTCAAACTTTTTGTCTTTTAGGAAAGCGCGCAAGCGGCATTTTCTTGTTTTGCGAATGGTATAGACGATGAAGAGGCTGACGATGAAGAATTGGAGATCGATCGTTGTGATTGTAAGCGATGCCCTCTCGATTTTCCGAATGACCAGAAAGTGTTCGCATTATTTCAAGGTAAATTTTTGACTTTTCTGCCACTGAAGTAATTGTTTCATTTACTCTAATAACCCTAGTCCTTTAGAAGAAGCCAAGTTGTTCTTCAAAAGAAACCACAAAGATAAGGAGGGTGAAACCGAATTGCACAAGGCAGCCCGAGATGGAGACGTGGACAAAGTGCGGTTAATGGTCACTGAATTGGTAAGCTATAGTCTTTATTCTTTCAAATCATCCTATTTTAGGGTTTCAACGTTAACGAGACAGATAATGGCTTTTGGACGCCTTTGCATGAAGCGACAAATGTGCCCATAGCCGAGTGAGTTTTACAGAAATTACCCGCTTATCAAATCCATTTTAGAATTCTGTTAGATAACGGAGCGAAAGTTGACCCAAAGTCTAAAGTTTCACTTATTTGCGATGGAGAGGTGACATTTGTGATATTTATCTGGAAATCTAGTGTCTTTTAGAATGATTCTGGTGGTGGATGCACTCCGTTGATGAGCGCTTGCTATTATGCCAATTTAGATCTGGCCGAGTTGCTTTTAAGGTGAGGTAGTGCCTAAAAAAATTTAGAAGACGAGGCAGTATTCTAAACCATATAACAAAAATTATTGGCTAACATTTTTTAGTCGTGGCGCCTCGGTAACAGCAAAAAACGACCGTGGATATACGGCGGTCGATTTTCTCAAGCTTGCAATTACAAATGGATCTGTCTCAGATGAATGCATCGAGCCTGCTCGGATTTTCGCCGAAAAGATGGAAAATCAACAATTGAAGGGTTAGCTTTTGGTTTACGTTTGAGATTATCTTTATTTTAGCTGGAATGGAGCCACGAAAAGAAGAATTAATACGTCTAGGAAAAGGGGTGCCAAGAAGAAAGCCACTTCAAAACTCGACCTTATTCCAAACACAATCCACTTTGGTATGAAATTAATATGAACTTTCAAGTTAAAAGTTGTTAGGGGCCTTCGCAAAGTCAGTGTTTTGAAGAGGAAATACCGATTCGGGCTACTAAACGATCATCAGGAGGAAATATTGTAAAACCATTTTCTTTTTTGTTTGTTATCTGTGTTTTAGTTTGTGATACCGGATGTTATATGCGATGATAACGAAGAACAAGAAAATCGGTATAGTAAACGGCCTTCAACGAGCAGTAGAATGAATGATCTCTTGTATAATGATGAAGAAAATAGCAATGATGAATTTAACATTAATACGAGGTTTGTATTAACGATCGTATAAATGATGAACTGAATTGATGTGACTGAATTTCAGGAAACGCCCAAAACGATCGAAAACATTTGAAAAAGACGACGATCTGCCTTTCATAGACGACAGTTTTCCCACCGACTCTCGGCTATATGGTTTATTCAAGTCACCATTTTTAATAAGATCTCGTTTAGAACCTCCTTCACAAGATCCGTCGCAAGTTTTTGGCACACAATTTGATGCACCTTCAACGTAAGACAATTTTGAGCTCGGCGAATGATTTTGGCTGTTTAGTTCTCATCCCAACTTTGGATTCAATGCAAGTGCTGATGTACCAATGGCTCGTACTAAAGATTTGCCTCCACCAACACCGCCCGCAAATTCGTCGCCCAATTATGCGTCGCAAACTGTGCCGGGACCATCCAGGACGAGACAAATTCGAATAAAGGTCGTTTATATAAGTAAACTATGTTTTACTGTTTGTCGGCACTTAATAAATGTGTAAAACTCTTATTTAGATCACCTATCAAAATGCCGATGGTTCGCCGTTTCTAAACAATGACGGTCAACCGCAATCTAGTCATTTAATCATGGTTAACAGGTAGGTGTTTTTTGTACTTTAATTTTCTTTGCTTTTAGAGCTGATCGATTTGCGACCTTATCTTCACATTCAAAATGTCTTGAAGTTTTATCGGGAAGGCCTCATTTGTGGTTTTTTGACGGTTGTGATGTCGACAAAGAAATAACGATTGGCGACGTAAGGTTTTCGTTTTTTCCGGGATCCAAGTTATTTTAGTTGGCTCCAGAGGACGGTCTCTTTTCGATTGTCTGTCAAATTAGCCAAATTTCCGTTGATGGAGAATATCGGAGGATAGCTGGTGCTATTCAAATTGAATTCGATAAAACTCAAAGTTTCAGAAATTTCGCTTATCGATGTTGCGCAGGCTCTCTCAACGCTTACAATCACTTCCGAATTGGATGCTTCAGAAATAATATTGAGGAAGAACGTATGCCTAATTTTAATTTCAAAAGTAGTAAAACTGAATTTAGACTTTGACGGAAATGAATGCAGCGCTGGGAACGATTCGAGGCTCAACCCCAAAACTCATTAAAATGCGTTTCGCAGGTAGTTTTTTGCATATGCAAGAATAAAAATTATATCGGACCCCCTGATGGTATTATATCCTTTTTCAGAACTTGGAAAGTTGTCACCAACATCTTCATGTTTTTCTTCATGGGCCAATCGTTTTACCAACACAACAGTTCTCTCCATGACCGCTTGTGGATTGACCAACGAACACGTGAATGCGCTTACAAAAGTATCAAGATTTTCCTAAAGCTTTATTTTTTGCTTTAGACGGATGGCACTTTTTCAATTCAAGATCTTGACATTTCTTACAATATATTCTCTGATGGACAGGTTAAACAAAAATTTCTAATGCAACAATCTTTTTTTAGATTTTGTCTTCATTTCTGTCTCGTCTCGGCCAATTAAAGGAATTGGACTTGAGAGGCACTAATATTACTCGCTTTCTAGAGACACTTTCAAACACGTTATCTAGTAAGTTTTCTTCGAAACAACACTGAATTTATCTATTTAGATATTCACACACTCGAATGTCTGGAACTCTCGCATAACGACTGGATAACAACGGAAATCTTTCAGCAAATTTTTGAGGGTTGTTCATCATTGACTTCACTGCGCTGTGAAAATGTTCCGATCGATGTGGTTTCACTAGATGTTAGTTATCTTCAAGCTGAAGATTTTATTGAACTCCTAGGTTGCTTCCGGAACAAATATGCGAAGGTTATCGCTTTCCTTTTGCCCGATCACCAGCTCTGGTATTAATCAGCTGATAGAATGGATCCAATTCTCACAGGCCTGCATGTCTCTACAAAACTTTATATCCGTGTTTTAGGTAGAAGAAGTCGACTTGTCTGGTGTGACGTTAACTTTGGAGAATTTCGCCGAACTCCTTCAATCTCGACGTGGAAAAGCATTTCCGCTCCGAGTGATGTGTGAAATCGACAACGCGTTGCCAGAAGCAGAGCAAGTGAGTGAGATTTTGTAATTAAATTTATCGTTTCTTGAAGATCTACGATCTGTTCTATATGAAATATCGAGAAAACGATGACGTGCGCTTTCGATTTAGTGAGAGCATAAATCGAAAAATGCAGGATTACGGGTAATTTTACATAACAAAACGTTGTCTTTATTGGGTTTTTTAGAAGCTGCGCAGAAAGATTTTTCTTCTAATATTGATTGTGTTTAAATTTCTTATTTTTTCGTTATGATCTCTATTTTGTTTTGTCATTTTTTGATATACGGGTTTTGCTTGTAAATGTTTAAACTTTTTTAAATTCAACAAAGTCACAAAACTTAACAGTAACAAATAACAACAAGAAAAATCGAGAATCGAAAAATTTAAGTGAGGAAACTTTCATTGCGGAGATATTCGCCAAGATCGGCTTGATGGAGCAAAACAATTGCCGTCGGATCCGCCCTTTTACAGTCTGCCGTTCCCTTTGCTGTGACACCGAAACTAAAAAGTGGAAGGATAATGATAGCTTGCTCGAATCACTATCTTACCCAAGAGGAGTATCGTTCATGCTGAAAACGATAACACCTTGATGAGATGGAGTTCCTTCGGTCATTCGTGCAACACCCGACTTCAAGATATTGTTCCCATAAAGAAATTGTTGTTCCGCATTTGGTTTTAACCAGATCCTCGACTTAAAGAATAGCTTTAACTTCATAACGTTGCTGAAATAAGAATACCTTCGAGTAGGGAGCAAGATAATCTAATGCGGTGATATGTAGGTGAAACTTTCTCGATTTCGTGAATTTCCCTAAGCAAGTGCCAAAAGAAAGCAGCGGTTCACGAGCAATACAAGCCGCCTGAAATGGAAAAGATTCTTGTTAGGAAATTTGGAGAACGAAAAAACCTTTTTAAGTAAAAATTCACTGCAATAGTAGACTCGCTCTTTGTGCAACCGGAAGCAGTATTCACCATCACTTCTAAAGAATCAGATTGTTAGATTTTGCGTATCTTTTAGCCCATGCAAAGCTTTTTTATGTGACGACAAACAAGTAAACATACCTATCTACCAAGCGCTGGACATTGTCGCCGATGTAGTTGGCGAGTTTCGTGAAAACAGCCTCGGTTTCTTGATCGGTCAACGGCCGCATGTCTTACAGCTAAAAAGGCTTACAAAGTCATAAAAACAAAAAATTATTTTATTTCAATAGTAAAAGGCAAAGTAGTAATATCAAAGGCTTTGAAACCATCAAAACACTCCACAATCTTCAATTAAATTTATTAGCAAAGAATAAATCGAGATTTTTGGTATTTACCGGTATTTTTGTCTTTGAGATTACCAGGGTATGGCAAATTGGGCAAAATAGGAATGCAACCGAGAATATCTACACCGTAAACTTTAGAAGAAATTAAATAAATTGAAAATAAAGCAAACGATATAATAAGCTAACATTGTGAAAATTGTATAAATGCAGCTACAAGTTGAGATCATCAATTTGTGAAATCATGTGACTATTGGCGATGACTGAGCGAGCAGTGGAAGCGTCGATCTGAAAAAGGAGTTAGCAAAACTATAAAATATTTTTTACGTAACAACTGAGCAAAAGATTAAACGACCAACCTGTAGTCGAATCCTTCCAGCTTTATCGACAGATGCAAGACTTTGTGATTCAATGTTTCCCCACGCCGTCTCGAGATCATCACCCTTTACGGCGGGAATGTTAAGCTCTGTACAGGCTTTTGAATAAGCGTTGTAGAGGGCGAATCTTGTGAGAGCCGTCTAGAAACATCACAGAATAAGTTGCACTTATAAATGTGGACAAAAAAATAACGAATTGTCCCTGGTTTATGGAAGTTGCCTATATAAATTGACCTATATCATTGCATAAAATACAGAACCCCAAATTCAAAAAAGTAAACGTTTTACTACCTTCTTGTTGTTGCTTATGCGCAGACAAACGGCCAATAAGACTTGTGATTGAAGGGGAAGACGAGCACGTGAAAGTGGTGATGCATAGACCGAGTTCAGTACGCCCAATACCTCGCGCGTCGTAGGTGTCGCCGTAACACTTCTAAAAGATCAATTAGTACGACGAATTCATAAAAAAAATAATTTTACTTTGCTTGCTTGATCACACGCACAGCCGATCGGGCATCACCGCTAACAGCTGCAATTTTCCTTGCACACAATTCAAGAGAAGTCTTGTCCATTGAATTCTAAAATATCGTATGCCAAGTCCTTCTCATTAAAAGATTACCTCGTCTTGCAACTTTTCAGCAATGATATCTTTTAATTGATCCTTATTGTATGGTGCAAAGGGAAGAGTAATTGGTGGAATGGTGAGCTTAAGCTTGGGCAGCAATCTTTCAGTCAGATCAATCGAATTGGCAATACCTACAATTTTTTGTTATGAACATAGAAAAATGTTTTAGAACCCTCTTTTTCTACCTTTACTCAAATATTGTTTTTCATGAAGTAAAAAACCAACTAACCAATCACAATAAGCTTCCATGATACTTCTTGTGGCCACCGAAACACGGAATATAGTAAAGTTGAAGAGCTGAGATGATCAATCTAAAGTTGAACTTATAAAAATACAGTTTTCAGCCAAACCTCATCCAAAATCACGAGCATTGGTTTTGAAAGAGCCTCGGCAATTTTAGCCAAGCTGGGTGGACGGCCCCTAAAACATTTTCGATGTTACAAAATTTTTGTGAGAAAATAAAATTTACCTTGTCTTCTTTTTCGGCGACTCGGCGGGGGAGATGAGTGCAGTAGTGAGATCTTTCAAAGTATTCACCGACGCACAATTGATAAAAACCGAGGTTGTGACATCGGAAAGCGCTTCAATCACTCGGTATACCGTCGCCGTTTTTCCTAAATAAAGACGTCGACTTTTCTTGTACTATAGAACGGACCATTTTATCTTTTTTTAAAATCAAAGTTTGGACATTTTAACAACAAATCCGCTACCAATTGTTAAGTACAATCAATGTACAATTCAAAACGAATTTACCTGTTCCCGGCAAACCGCTGAGGTAGAAAGTAATGGGCTGACTGGTGGCAATCGCTTTGCGGACATTGTCACAAATCGTGTCGAATTCTTTTTCTCGGCCCTTCAACGCAGTGACCATATCTGAAAAAAAATCGATTTAAACAGCAAAAAATACAGGAAAAAAATAGCGTAAAAAATAGAAACAAGAAAAAAAGATGGGAGATTCAGGCCTAGACTGGGGAAATTACGCGGATAAATGTTTTTCAAAGCGTTTCCCGAACGAAATGCAACGCTAAAACGGCCGATTCGTGAAATGTCTTGTCAAAGAATTTGAGCTTTTTTAAGAAAAAAAATTCAATTTGCGAAAAATTAGATGAGCAAAGACTTTGGGGTAGGCTAATTTCCGCCATTTGATTTGCGCAACAGGATCATTTGCACAACAGAATCATTTGCGCAACAGGATCATTTGCGCAACGGGGTCTTTTGCACAACTGGCCATAACTTTCTTCTAAGTGGGCCAATCCAATGATTTTGGTGTCATTTTGTAGATCACAATAAGTGCAACAAAATCACACCAAAATCATAAAGGTTGACCCACTTAGAAGAAAGTTATGACAAGTTGCGCAATAAAATGGCGGCAACTAGCCTACCTCAAAACCTTCGAATAAATAAAAATTTTGATCTAAAAAAGAATAAATCACTTGAAAAGTATTCAATTAATTGGCTAAACAACTTTAACTGAGGCTAATTTCCTATATAAAACCGTTGTTTTGCTTTCAACCGTTGAAATTTTAATTTTTCAAAGTTTGCTTTGGCTTTTACTTATTTTCTTTCATGTCCAATTCCTTTAACTTTTGTTTAATTCTCTAAATTTAGGCAGAATGGGCAGTGGATCAATGCCGCAAACGATCGAGCAACTCTTGGCCGCGTATCCCGTCTTTAAGCCACAGGCACAGAAATTGCACTGCGAGTTGACTGGACACGATTTGCCGAATCGAGCGCCCGACCTTGGGCAATACGTGCAGACGAAGAAGTTTCTGACCGCTTGGGAAATTCATCAACTTTTCGCCGAATACCCTGGGATCTTCGAGGATCTCGACGAGAAGCTCATCGGATGTAAGCTGACGAAAACAGTGATCGCTCGTGATCCAAAAGATATCAGGAAACATATTGGTGGGCAAAAGTTTAAACGAGCTATTTTGCGAGGAGACAAGATTGAGGATGACGAAGTGACTAATGATGAGGATTTGGCTGAAGTACAAGAAGACGACGAAATGGAAGGGATCGATGGCGAGCCAATAAAGAGATCGAACAAGCGAAAAGGAACAGCGAATCCTGTCGTCAAGAAGAAAAAAAGAAAGCAATAGTTGATCTGGCTTGATTTATTGTTTTGGAATTGTTATCCTCTATTTTTGTTATGTTGTTACATTTGATTGTGCATTTTGTTATAGTTTTCAAATTTTAAATAATACATTTTAGTTACTTTCTCAACATTTAACTTACGCAAACTTCGATTGATGGAACAAAAGAAGTGAGGGCTTTCAAAATTTAACAATTTTTATTTTTAGGGATATCACGATTTTGCCAGGAGATCCAGCTGCTCTCGTCGTAGAAACTTCCAATTTAAGCGGAAAAATCAAGGTTTTAAAATTTTAACGATTTTATTCAAGGGGTTTTGTTTCTAGTTCTCGAGTGGATGTATTGTTCATCCAACCGCATCGATCAAAGCCACGAATGGACCCATCGAATTTGGCGAGAGCAATTTGATTGAAGAACAAGTCGTAATCGAAAATTTGTAAGGGTTTTACATGATTTCCAAATCAAACTTTTTAAGATCTGAGGATCCGTTGATTATTGGGCCAAATAATCATTTCGAAATTGGCTGTGGTGGGTTATTGATTCGTTAAGGGAAGATTTGTTGTTTAGTGATTCATGCTAGCTCCGTTGGGAAAAACAATGTCTTTGGAGTACGCTCAATTGTGGAAACGGGCGCCAAAATCACTGATGGATGCTCGATCGGGCCGAAGTGTTTGGTAAATTTATCATTTTAACTTTTAACAATTGTGATTCTTTTAGGTTAAGCCGTTTGAGAAGTTAAGCCCAAGAACGGTGCTATGTGGAAATTTGAATTGCGAAAGAAGGTCCAATGATGATCCACCGGTAAGTTTATGCATTAGATTTTTTATACATGACTTTTTCCAGAGCATCGCTTCTCAAATGGATCACCTGCGACTTGTAATACCGAAATACAATAAAATAATTAAGTAATTTTGTGCATGAGTGCGTTTAAGAATACCAAATAAATGACTTATACATAACTGAACGCATAAATTACTTATTTGGTACTCTTATTTATTTGGTAAATCACCGCAAAAAGAATTCGAATGGAGTTAGACAATCAGTGACGTTATAGCCCCGCAAAACAGATAAATTAGCATATCCTTTTACCATAAATGCTTACCTAAGTCTGGTGACTGATTAAGTTATACGATCAAAAATTTACTTACGTTACGTTAATATACATTTTCGCATAAACAGACCTGTTCAACTTTTCATTTTTATTTGAGTGCGATATTATTCGCTATGTTCTCGGGCTGCTAGAAAAAGCGCCAAATTTGCGCTTTTCAAAACACTTTCCTCCCAAATCTGATTGAATATTTATTTTTTCAGTTTTGTTAACGCCGACGACGCTCGGTATTTTGCCGCCTTGCCTGCCTGCTGCCGGCTCTGAAAATTGCATAAGATCGATATAGAGAGTAAAAAGCCCAATTCGGGACGCAAAAATGACTGTTTTTGGGGTCTGTATAGGTATTTAAACGTGTTTTCTAATTGAAAACAGCGAATGTGAAGTAGAAAACTGAAAAAAGTTGGTTAGAAGCGATTTGTTAGTGATTTTCAATAAGCGTAAATTCGGTGCAAATGATACTTGGCGCAAAAAACGTGGTGCTTTTGCTAGCACCATCTTCTCAGCGCATGAATCAGGGATGTGCATGAATGGGTGCACGAGGAAACCGCCAGAACTTATCCTTGTGATTTCGCCTTGTTTGTATCAAATTCAATTCTTTTTTAAATCAAATTTTTCGGGGGTAAAGAGTACCATTTATTTTAACACATAACAAATTGAAACAATAACAACAACAGGAGCAATAACAAAATCAATGGAATTCCTACAAGATTTTAAGAATCCTCGTCGACTTCTTCGGGCATTTCGGAATCCATACCTTCTGGCATTTTCTTCAAGGCTTTTACCTAAAAATCAAACTCATGTTAGGCACACAATATTCTCTCACTTTTCTCAATTGTATTTCGGCGACGTCTTGTTTTCCAATATGAACACGTGCCAGTTTGTTTCCGAAAACATCTTGCGATGTGTTCTTTCGAGGCTTTTGCTAAATACAAAAAAATGTAATTATAGAATCGGCGTAGTAAAAACCTGTAATTGTTTTGGTTGCTTGCAAGCTTGTTTAAACAGCTGATCCGATGCGAGTTTTGTCCGACGAACCTAAATTTAATTTACATGTCAATTCCGCTTTCCCATATTTACCGAACTAGTTTTACTACTACCATAAATACTGACTTGAAAATCGACACTGGGTCCCATCTCTACTAGTTCAACACGAGGTAAATTGCTTTCAGATTTCTTCAGTTGCGTTCTAAATTAAAATAAGAAATTCCGTCAATTGATGAAAGACTTACCGATAGACACGTAAAAGTATTTTTGATTCCACACAGGTCAGAGATATGACATGTTCCAAACCTTGCAAGCGAATCTAAAATAAAGCGCCTATTTCTTACGGATCTAATTGTGTTACTTTGCTCGGCGATACTCCACTCAACCAATCAACCATCAGATTTCCGACTCTCTTCATTGATGACTCTTCCCAATTGGTGCCTTCCAAGACAATACACGGTTTCGCTCCGACAGTAATCTTTTGAGCCTAAATGTTATTGATATTAATATTATACGGAAATATTCACATCAAAGTCTTTGGCTGGCGTGTAGCTCGTGACCTGTAGTTCTACCATATCAAGTAGTTGTCCATCATGAAGGCGTCCAAAAGTAAGACTAAAATCTTTACAATTTAGCCTCTCAAAGAAAAACTACCTATCCGGATGCTTTTTCGAGTGTGCTCCAAAAACGAAAAGTGACGCGTCGAGTTTCGTCGAGAATCTTTCAAATGGAGTTTCGTCTTCAAATGGGTGAAATGGATTCCTCCTAAACGCAACAGAAAATGAATGATCAAAAATCATTTTTACCTTTTCATGTTGCGAGCTAACGGCTTTTTCAAGGCATAAAGATCGTGCATCACATCAGTCACATTGTTGCAGGTTTTTCCGCCCCGGACGAAAAGTGTCACTTTGTCGTTCTCAAGAACCTTTGAGGCGCTAAAGCAGTTTCATAAAATTTGCCGAAGCTCAGGCCAACTTTGAAGCATTTTGATAGACTTAATTAATCAAAACAAAAATTTATCAATCAACGTGCTTTATGTTGCTGCCAGATAGGCAAGAAAAACTAACCGTTCATCGAGAGCTCTCTTCCCACGATGGGTCTTCAATTTTGCAATACGACCAACGCGTTTAACCATCTAAATTTATGCTTTGATTTTAATGAAGAATAAGGGCCAAAGGTCAAAGATTTAGTGGAAGAACCATAGCAGAGACTCACGGTGTCCAGGAAGGTAATAAGTAAATTTATTCGCTAAATGTTCAAAACTGAGATCAACAAACTATTTACAATGACACATTAAAAAACAATAAGACACGTTGAAAAATACAATAAGACACATTCAAAGATTTCCCCCTAAAAATTCTTGAGCGACGCGACTGAGTTTGGGAGGTGAAGGCAATGGACCCAAATTGCCTTTTTTCGAACGAGATATATCGGGGAGTTTGAAGTCATTTGGTTCGTTTGCAGTGGAAACTAAAAATTTAATTAATAATAACACTAAAGGTTTAGATTTACCTTTAGGCGCAACAGGCAGCGTATCATCTAATGAAAGCATGGGTATTTTCAACGAAACTTCTGAGTTAGCAGCTACAGCCCGCCGCAGAAAAAGCGTTCCATCGAGAGAGTCGCAAGCTAAATAACATTATTTAAGGTAAGATTCCTAAAAAACCAAACCCAGTGGTACATGATCGAAAGCAGTGCGTTTAAGGGCGGTTGTTTCTTCTTCTTCTTCAATAAACACGTTTTCTTTCTCATCTTCTTTCGTCATTAGTCCATTTTCTTCCTCATCCCCGCCTTCTTTAGCCATTAGTCCGTCTTTGCATTCTAAAGAATGATTTATATAATTAATGCTATATTCAAAAATACTGTTGTCGAGTATGTCAAATGTACGGAAAAGGCCCTCTCGCTCCATTGTCTTTTGTTTGAGTAGTGCATTTTCGGTTGTCAGTGTGCTGGCCTCATTCTCCATAATCGCGTGTAGCATTTCGATTCGCTTGCGAAGATTCTAAAAATTAAAAATAAAGATTATAAAAGAGAAAACTAACCACTAGATCCTTTTTAATGTTTAGGCGTTGCTGGGCGGCCAGAATATTCCCTGCGTCTGGTCTCGATGAAGAAAATGGGCCAACCTAAATTCAAAAATTACTGCTTTAAGGATCAAATACTGCTAACATTTTCTCTACATACCCATTTACTTACTTTTAAGGACTTATTGCACTTATTAAATACAAAAACAACGTACGTCTTGCAGCTCACTAAGTACTTTTGTCTTCAGCATATTGTCGAGAAGAGCTCGATCTTCCATTTTGCGGACGTGAACTAAATTCTGAATTTAGTGGAGAGTCAAAAAACTCAAGGCAAAGGGTATAAAGAGCAAGTATAAAGAGAAAGCGTCTAAACACTTCTTGATAAAAAGCTCCGAAATTGAGGTACTTTCCTAGTATCGGGGGGAGTGAGATCGACATTAAATCGGGGTGTCCTAGTTGCAAGTTATGCTAGCAAATTACAAACAGACGAAACTCATAGCGTTCTACATAAATTGACGAACAGGACGGAAAAAACAATTTGAAAATGAAAAGTACCACGCAAGCAAGCAAAAGACGATGACTCCCGATTTATCTGCGTTTAGTTGCACCGCGTTGTCGCATCAAAAGTACGGTATCAAGATCGGTATAAGAGCGGAGGGCTGCGTGTTGGTCAAAAAGGTTTCGTATTTAAAAATTTGATTTTAGCCGTTAGCTAGGTATCTTTTTAAGGCAGGATACCCATTTTGATTAGAAATTTGATTATTGATTAGAAAGTCAGTTACGATCGCGATATACAAGATGAATTTTTGCTGCGCTACCCTAAAAATATAACCAAGCTCATAATTTGCGAGTTCTTATAAGGGACGGTCCAAAAACCGCAAATTTTTTCCGCAAAGAGGCATTTCCGCAACTTTTGATATCTTGCCAACCCGTGGTTAGATTTCTGTTTTTGCTACCATTTTGTTGCTTTCGTCAAGTTCAACCAATTGGCGCCAAAAACATAAAACTCTGACCATGGGTTATCGAGTTATAGGAAGTTACAAAAATGCCCCTTTGCAGAAAAAAATTTGCGGTTTTTTGGCCCTCCCTCTGATAAGTTTTAGCCTTTTAGAGACACAAAAAAAATTATCTTTCTTTCACATTTTACCCAACTCTAAGCTAAACTTACAAAATTGAATCAGTCCCTGAAGTTTCACCTAAATTTATTCTGTAATCGAACCCTTGTGAACCTTGAGTTTTGCCCTGAATGCTATCTATTTTAGTTTTATGTTACCGATCTTTGTATTAGCCTTACATTATTACATTTTAGAAAGAATGGGCGATTATGGCTACGGGGGCGGCTATGGCGGAGGACCGGGACCGGTAAATTTTATTCATTTTTTACTGATCTTGTTTTTTTAGAAAGGACCACGTGGAGGTGGACGCGGTGGAGGCCGAGGCGGTTATGATGGAGGACCACCACCCGGCTACGGACAGCAGCAACAAGGAAACTATGGTATCGGCTATTTTGACAAATCATTCTTACATTGCTGTTTAGGACCACCCGGATATGGTGGACCACCTCAATACCCTGGATATGGCGATCCGTATGGTGGAATGGATACATCTGTGAGCCCTCTAGATGCAGAAATTCAGGTCTGAGCGATCAAGCGCTTAATCTGTCAAAGTATCAGCTCTTTCAGGTGGTCATCCGCGAAATTCACAACGAGCTTTCTGTTCTTGACCAATCGGGCGATTATGGCACACAATTTCGAAATGCTAGACGCTTGCTTACAACCGGTAATTTAATGTTATTTTTGCAGAAATGCTTTTTTTTCAGAGGCTGATCGACTGGAGAATTGCATCGACCCTGAGTGGCTTGAAGTCGACATTCCAAAGCCAATCCGAGTAACGAAAAAAGTTTTGATTCCGAATTTCCGTCATCCTCATGTGAGTAATTTTTAAAGGACTATTATCTTTTTTTTTCAGTTTAACTTCGTTGGGAAAGTGATCGGTCCAAAAGGAGTAACGCTGCAGCAATTAGCCAAAGATCATAAATGTCACATTTATGTGCTGGGTCGTGGTTCAACAAAGGATCGAGTGAAGGTACTTTGTATAAAAAAAAAATCAAACAATGCTTCTTTTAGGAGAAAGAACTTTTGGACTCGGGTGATCCTCAATACGCGCACTATGGAGGACCACTACATGTTAAGGTCTGGATTACCGAAAAACATTTACGACTATTCGTCTAGGTTGAAACGATTGCTCCGGCGAATGTAGCTTATTCTCGAGTGGCTGGTGTACTTGAACGTCTTCAAGAATTATTGCAACCGATTCGCGGCGAAGATTTTCCCGGTGGCGACGAAAAAGGTGAAAATGTTAAAAGTTGGAGGTTGTTAGCATTAGACGTTAAAGTTCTGATATTGTAATCGTGTTTTGTAAAAGCAATTACTTATAGATAATGATGATACCAAGCCGACTGCCAAACAAGAAGGTGGCCCACCACGTGGTGGATTTCGCGGTAGGGGAGGCCCAATGAGAGGTGGTCCACCGATGCGCGGCCGTGGACGTGGCGGACCGGGAGGCCCAGGAGGCCCAGGGTTTGTTTGTTTGCTTCTTTATCATTCTTTTTTTCTTTTTAGCTTCAGACCCTATTGAAGCCGCCAATTCTGTGTTTACGAAGGAGCATCGTGATTTTTTACATCTTCTGGGTAATTTTTATTCCATCTAAAATTCTATGTAAAATCAAATAAATCATTGAGACAAAAATTGTGAAATTTGGGGATGTTTATATTAGGGGATTGAGATTTTCCTTTGTCTTCTAATTGCTAAATCTTCAGGTTCAAATCGAAGTTAAATTTATAAAATTCCTGTCATTTGATGGTCAGGCTTGGCTCCTTCGCTTCGTAAATATACAACGTTCCATTGTTTTATTAGACTTCATCGAGTTTTAAGTTTCAAACAGAAAATTTTTGACGTCGATCTCTTAATCTGTTAAAATTTTGAACCCTTAAACGTATGTTTTATTTATTTTGAATTACAATAAATGTTGGGCAAAAATAGGTTGTGAACTCGAAAAAATCAATTCTTTGGGCAAACAAATAACAATCATTAGTTGAAGTGCGAAAAATTAATAAATGACCAAAATTCGAGTTCTTAATTACCAAGCACCAAAATTTTAAAATCAAAATATTCAGATCAACGAATTATTTTACCAAAAGCGCCAAATTTAATAAAGCCAATCTTTCTAAGTTAATCGCTTAGTTTCTGCCAATTGATCTACAAAGATATGTATACCAAAGACAAACAAGCAACAATTGCAATTTTCTTTTTCATTTTTAGACTAAATTTTACTAACTGGTGATGTATGTCTTTTTACAGGCAGACTTGTGAGACTTTCAAGCTGACTACATTTGTGTCAGTTCAGATCATTTTTAAAATTTTCTTGACGAAATCTTAAACAATGAGCTTGATTTTGGGCTAAAATCCATTCGAATTACAAGTTTGGACTTTTATCCAACAAAGGAAAGGACAAAAGATATATTTCTTATTTGCATGCGTCAGTCTGGAAGTCATGCTATATTCCATAAGAAGAAACCGAAGTCGAGCCACAAACAGACGATTATAAAAAATTAAATAAATCATTAAATATGCACGAGCCATCCCGGAACTTAAAAAAGGTGAGTCAATTTTCACAAGAATACTTTTGCGTAGTAAAATTTTACACTAAACTTTAAGATGGGGTAAAAGTAAAAAGCAAAAAAATAACTGCTAGGCTCAAGCTTTGCCGATTAGCTATTATCGTAAAAATTTAGGAATCAAGAAATCAGGGAAGCCTAAACGAGCGAAGGATGAAGTTTATCAATTAAAATACGTAAATATTTTGAATAAAGATTGTCTATTGATATTTGCTGCTTGTCTAAAAAATGTTTTTGCAATGAAATATACATATTATTCATTGATTGAGAAAGCCTAACGTCGACATTCGTTTTTTGTATGAATTTGTTGATTTTTAGAAGCTATGGCCACAATGATCGAAGAGAACAAGGAAAACGCGACTGATGCAAAAATCTCTGAGGTGCTCTTTTTCTCTCTTACTCAATTACAGTCAGGTACTTTACGGATAGAAAGGCATATCCGTAAAGCACTAATTGCAACTTTCTTATTTGTGATTTGATCGGCATCTCTACATATTTTACTATTTTAGTTGGAGCGTCTTTCCACCGAGAATCTGCGATTGAAAGAACAGCTTGCCCAGCTCAAACAAGCTACATGCGTGGAGACTGGAAACATTTATCATGTAAATTTTGAATGATTTTGTTAGGAAATTTCCCATTCAGGAATCGAATCCAGAAGAAAGTCAGTACCTCGACCAAATTCGAAAGATTCTCCAGAAGAACGCGGCGAGAACTGATAGAACCGGCACAGGCACAATCAGCATTTTTGGACTTCAGAGCCGATACTCGCTTCGTAATGGTAGGTTAAAGTGATGCACATTATCATCTAGTTTTACCTACTCTATTTTAGGATCGATTCCATTATTGACGACAAAGCGGGTCTTTTGGAGGGGAATCGTCGAAGAGCTTTTATGGTTTATCACTGGTTCTACGGACGCAAAACTTCTACAGGCCAAGTATAATAATTTTTCCAAGAAAATCGAGGCAATCGTTCATTTAGAAAAGTCAATTTTTGGGATGACAACGGCAGTCGTGCCTTCTTGGATAAATTGGGATTTGTGGATCGTGAAGAGGGTGACCTTGGACCAGTTTATGGATTTCAGGTTAACAATTATTTTTTCTCTTTCTAAACTCTCTGTTTTTAGTGGCGACATTTTGGGGCAAAATATGTCGATTGTCACGCCGACTATACAGGGCAGGGTGTTGATCAACTTTCTGAGGTTTTTGTACGATAAAATAATGCCAACTATGATAAGGTTTAGGTAATTCGCCAAATCAAGGAAACTCCGGATAGTCGACGAATCATTATGTGCGCCTGGAATCCAGCGGGTCAATTGTGTTTTTGTCATTTGTATATCGGCGAATTTAGATTTACATCTGATGGCTTTGCCACCATGTCATACTTTGTGCCAATTCTACGTGCAAAACGGGGAATTGAGTTGTCAACTGTATCAGCGCAGCGGTGATATGGTGAGCAGATTTGAGACGCTTGAGAATTGAGAATTTGAGAATTTGGTTTTCGGGCATAATATGGATTTGGGGTTTAGGGGCTCGGAGTGCCGTTCAACATTGCAAGTTATGGTCTTTTGACCCACATGATTGCTCACGTTTGCGGTTTAAAGGTCGGTTACCATTCTTTATTTATTTCCTGCTTTAACGGTACTTTTCAGCCTGGTGATTTTGTGCACACTCTTGGCGACGCTCATGTATACGCAAATCATGTGGATGCTCTTGAAGAACAGGTTTACATTTTCAAAAAATTAAAATTAATCTATTAATCAGCTAAAACGTGTCCCGTCCGCCTTTCCAACTGTCGAATTCGTCGATGGCATCAAAACAATTGAAGACTTTTCAATGGACAAGGTAAACATTGTATTGATTTGCATGGCATTGTTCTATTTAGATCGTCCTTCGTAACTACAATCCACAGGCAACGATCACCATGAAAATGGCAGTTTAAATACGGATGTGGTCTCGTCTTTCCACAGTCTGTTCCCTATTTTGTATATGTTTGCGATTTGAAGATTGATTTCATTCGGTGTATCCCTACGGTTTAACTTTCGATGCTCAACTTTTTATTTTGATCTCAATAAATTTTCTAATGACTTCGAAAGCGACAACTCGACGAAATAAAATGATCAAAACTAATATAAAAATTTCACAGATCCCGCGTTTTTGCCGTTGCTTGTATCTTGACATCTCATTTTATCAAAAAATTTTTATTCCCATGAACGAGTTAGCCCTATAAAAGGATTGAAATCGGCGAATATTTGAGTCGATTTAGAATGACGAGTAGAGATGAAGGCATTGTTTGGGCGGAACGAGAAGAACGATTCAGCAATCCCCGTCAAGTTCGCGCAAAGCTCTGTCGGCCACCATGATTCCGGTGTCGCACACGATGAACAGCAAGGTCCAGAGAGCTTTCTAAAAAGAAAATCATAATAACAATCCAATAGTCCCAAGGGACAAACCTTGTGTTCGAGGAATTGACGGGCCTGATCGACAGTTTGAGAGGTGGGTGCTTGAACGGCGTGAAGTTGATCGATAGCTTCAATGGCGGGAGTAGTGGCAGGAGCGACTGGCATTGAAATGGTTGAGGCGGTGCAGGTGCAGCCAAGTTTGATCTCCGAGCGGCCAGTTGTCTCACTGTCAGCCATATAGCCGCTGGTGGTCCACGAAGAGACTTGAGTAACGCAATCCTAAAAAAAATTAGAATCCTGTTTAGTTTTAAACAAAATCAGCTACCTGAATAGAATCAAGAATTGCGGCCTCATTGACCTTGATTCTCTTTGACAGATTTGGGACGATTTTGCACGAACAATCGGATGAACAGGGCTCGGCTGGACGCTTCCTTGACTCTATTTCTTCCTCCTTTGTCCCGACGTTAGATGGACTAAAAATGAACTTTAAATGCGTTAAAGACTTCTAAGAACTACACGTTAAAGAGTTCTAAGAACTACAAAATACCCACTAATCATAAACGTCGAAGCTGTCCTTGAAATCGGATTTGTCTGTTGTGTAGACGGAGGAAACAAGCGAAGCCAAACCAAAGCAAAAAAAGTTAACACTTCACACAATAGTTTGAAATCGTACCTTCCATTGGTCAAAAATTTGCACGAACAACCGGCGCTCAACTTTTCCATTCCTTTGTCAATCTCAATCGAGCTCATCGACCATCCACTAAATTTAAAAATAGAAATAATGGTGTAAATTTACAAGAGCCCATACTATTAACGAGAAACAACTAAATACTCACTTCAGATACGAGCAAAGGTGACAGTCACACGTGTATGAAACAGAGCTGGTGTTTGAGGTAAGCAATTGAGTAGTTGAAGGAATTGGCGTGTCCGGCCCTTGAACAATGGCAGATTCAGATCTAAATAAGAAAGAAATACATAAATAACAAGATAAGGCAAAATTTGCCAAAAGCTTTCCATCAAGATGATCAAACATTGGGCGAGGCAACCAAGAGATCCATGAGTCCGTGCTTGACATCACACTTTCCTTCGACACAGCTGGCGACATTTCTACAACAAAAACAGTAACGATGTAAAGAGTAACAACGTTCTCCCAAGCTCTCCTAAAATCAAACTGACCCTTGTCGAACTCCTCGAGAAACTCCAGAAGGCTTGTATTCGGCGCGACAGTCTCGATCTTCTCTTCTCCATCATTCTTGTTGTTGGCGACACACGTCTCAGAAAGGGGCAACACGCCCGAAAGCACCGACTCGAACGAACGGCACACGGCTTGTAATTTCTTCAAACTGACGACAAGTGAGGCGACTAAAAGGATCAACTTGAATCAAAAATTAAACAACGACAAAACTTACTCTTTTCCGGGTTCTTGACATCAATTGAAAGAGTCGATGGGGCGACACGAATACGAGATGGACCTAAAGTTATGAAAATTAATAACTAGCGCTGCAGCAAAAATAATTGCTGAATGCAAAGTGAAAATTATACCTCGAGAGAAAAGAGGCTCAACGGCGGTGAAGGAGCCATTCTCATCCTCTACTTTCTCGTTGTTGTCGATGATGTTCTCGTTCTTCTTCTCTTCAGCTCCAATCTTCTCTTCCTTTTTTTCTTCGCGTGGATGTAGCACGTGCAAGTATTTCCATCCATCGACGATCAACAAGCACTCGATGCTGTCCCTTTTCCCCAATTCGACGCATCTTTTCGATGAGATCACGGCGAATCTTGCGCATCGTATCACTTCGTTTCTTTGCCTAAAATATAAGGTTAAAAATCAAATAGCTAACTTCAACAAAATGTGCCCTCATTATGCCTTGAGTTGAGTAAAAGAAAGAAAGCTTCAAAGAAAGCGTGACAAGTGTCTAACTAATAAGCTAGTCCCGCCAACGAAAAAGCAACAGAGCCAAGATCTATGTTATCCAAACATGTTAAAAGATAATAACAACAACAAAAGATAACAAAAAAAAGAGAAAAACTCACCATGATTTGTGGCGTTGAGAGATGGGCGATGTAGGGAAAGAAATCAATTGTGAATGACATTTTCTTTCAGTTTCCCTCTCAATTTATTTGCTCTTTAAATGCAAATTTGGCTGTTTTCCGACAAAACGCAAATTCTTATCAAGTTTACTGCCAATTCTCCAAAATTAGCCTATATCCTTGAAATAAAAGAAATCAAGGGAGTGAGACAAATGCGACAGCCTCCCCGCATTTGTCCCACTCCCCAAATCAAAGAAAGCCTTTCTGGTGGCTCCACCTCCTGTGAGGGTTTTTGACTTTTGAACTAGGCTTTCTCGAGTTTACTGTGGTTCTTTTAAAATTATCTTTTTCTTTTAGCCACCACCATACTATGGATACCCGGATTCTGCACCAACCCCATCTCCATGGACCACTACTCGAATTTTGGCCTAGATGGAACCCAGGGATGGACCGAGACCTGTTTTTTTAGGCCAAGCCAAGCAAGCTTTTGGGTCCATCTCTGATGGAACCTCGTTTGTCTGCATTTCAGTTGATTGTCGAAATAAATTGTGATTTGTTATTTGAATGTGCTTTGATGTTTTGAAACGCGTAGAAACGGCTCTGGGTTATTAAAGGATCTGCTGATCCGTTATGAAGTAAAAGACGACAACTTGATCCCTTAGAGTCCTTCAATCCTCACGTTGCGAATCTCTTCTCTGAAAATAAGTTTTAATCTAATACTGTACTCGTTTGAAAACACCAATTCGCGCTGATTAAAGCTTCGCCGTTGGCGAGATTCACGTTCAAACTGAAACTTTGGCACACTGAGGACTTTTTTCTTTTTTTGTAACTTTTAGCTGCCATTAAATTAAGAATATTTATTTAAAAGCAACAGTAAACTGGCATTGCTTAAAAAGAATTGAATGAAATCACAAAAGTGAAGGAGCCAAAATGCACAAAAATCAGGTTTATAAGAGTGGCAGTGCGGACAAGACAAAGAAATTACAAAATTGATTGTTGAACCGATTCAGTATCCGGTGGAGGTCAAGTATTGTGCGAGCTTCTCAACGGCGCTTCGGACTTCAAGCGCTGCGACTGATTCTCCTTTGTAGACAGCGATGAGGACTGCTGAAAACAAAAAAAATATAGTGTTATTTATTAGGTAAGAAAGAACTTTACCCTCACTTAAGCTAAAGTCTACAAATACTACAAATCCAGATTGAAAATCCCATACCCGACTGTGTCTTTGCTGCAAAGAAACCGCATTTGTCTTTCTTGCCGAAGATCACACTATCATCGGCCTGGGGCACAATGTAATGGACATTCTAAAGCAAAAGGTCGTCTGTTTCTTGTATTTAGATCACATTAAAAATCTCACTTCCAAATCGGCTCCATGGGCAGGCACATCATTTGGATTGTTGAAACCGGCGACCAACTTCTTCAACTCTCCTTCCGTAGCCTAAACAAAAATAGTTAAACCAGTAAGAAACATTTAGAACCCTTTTATTAAAATCACAAATTCAAGCTCCAAAAAGTTTGACCAAATACCGTAAACATTCTAATAGAAGAGCAGGCTCTTCTATTTTTCAATATCCCTTTAAAATCCTTTTTCGTGCAGTATACCCAAATTTTCAAAAATGGGTGTTTTTGTTGGATTTTCATCCGGTTTTCGACGTTATTAAGCTTTTTTTGTCTATAACTATTATTTGCAGCCTATGGAAGCCTTTAATAAGTTGAGCTCAATAGTTATAGACTCTTGCTATCCGAGAGTTGGCAAATTTGAAAAAAAGAAAAATTTCGTCTAAAGGGAGCTCTTCTAATTGGAATTGGAAGAAATATGACACCATTTAATTTTCCGAGATTTAAAAACTTTAAAGATCAAAAATATACCTCAAACTTGTGTTCTCCTTCGGTGCGCGCCCACACGGCTCCATCTGGAAATCCGACAATCGCTGCACGTTGAATGTGTGGTGAAGAGGCGGTTAAGTTGGAGATGTACGCGTCCCAGCCAGTCATCTTTTATTTCTCTAAACAAAACAGTTGAAAGACGATTTGAAGGAAAACAAGAAGACATTACAAAACAAGCAATGGATGAAGTAAAACGTGCATAGGCAGCTGCAACTGAACTTGGCAGTAATTCCGTTGACTCATTGAATCGGCGAGTTAAAACGATGTAATTGCGCAATTTAATGCTTTAGTTATCGTTTGACGACGACAAATACAAGAACACACGCGCGGCTGAAAAAGATTGGGAGGTGGCTACTTTGCTCCAAATTTTTTACGCAACTTGCCATAACTTTCTTCTAAGTCGGTCAATCTTTATGATTTTAATTATATTTTGTTGCACTTGTTGAGATCTATAAAATGACATCAAAATCATTGGATCACTTAGAAGAAAGTTATGGCAATTTGGGCAAAAAGTTTGGCGCAAAGTAGCCACCCCCAAAAAGCTTTGAAGAAAGGATAAGAATTAATGGATAATCAATGAATTTGTTCTTTTCCGCGACTACAGTAGTCTCCGATAAACGTAAAGATATTCAGCTGTTTGCTGTTTCTATTCGAGTACATAAAGGTTAGTGGGTTCTTGTCGGGTTTCCGGGTATTTTGAATAAGTCGTCACGCTTTGAAGGCCTATAACTTTATCCAGAAATAATATTATTGCTAGCTTTTTATATCATTGTATAGAGGAGATTTTAGGCTTTCGAATGATACCAAATACAGTTTGATTGGATCTTTCATTCTAATGCAAACCAGGCGACACTGCACCCGAGTTGGATCGATCTCGTTTGCTCAGAGTTGGCTTTGTTTTATCCCGGACTGGATTAACCCAATCAAACTGTATTTGGTGTGATTCTAAAGCCTGAAATGTCCTCTATACAATGTTACAAAAAGTTAGGGTACTTTGGTGGTCGTGAGGGGTCACTTTTGGCTTGTTTTGTCGAATCTAGTGTTTTGAGAGGTTCTTTGATACTTTTCTTCAATTCAGAAGAAAGAGATATATGTTGAAGCTATTGGTGCTAATTTAAGCACGTTTTTGATAATCTTATTCGATGCCATGTGTCCTAGGCTGCTGTACTTTAACCACCAAACGTTATCTCAAAGCTGATTACACTTGAAAAGCTGTAATACTAACTTAAAATATATTGGAAATACTCGAAAACTAGCACCAATCGCTTCAGTATATATAATTACCCCGGAGTAGATGAAAAAGTACTTACATGGATCGCTCAAAACACTAGTTTCGACGAAGCCAAACCAAAAGTAGCCCCAAAGCATCAAAGTTAACAATAAAATTATTTCTGGATAAAGTTATAGGCCTTCAAGGCGTGACGACTCATTCAAAATACCTGGCTTTGAATTTCCAAAGTAAAATTAAGGTGCTTTTACTGCAAAAACGCTCTCTGCAAAAGAATAGGACTGCTATTTTAATAGAATGCAAGGGGGTGGGACAAACGCGCCTTTTTTGGGCACCTGGACATTTGCGCACCTTTTTTGCTGGAAAGGCCTTAGGAAGGTCGTAGAGCCAAAATGTTTTATAAAAGGGAACGTATACGAGATTCAGAATTTGATAAATCAGACCTCGCTGACGCGTCAAATTTGGGCAAGGCAAAACTGCGGAAAAGCGTTGTTGCGTAGTTTTTGCCTTTTAGCCCAAATTTGACGTGTCAGCGAGGTCTGATTTGTCGAAATTCGGAATCTACGCATACGATTCCCTTCTATGAAAACATTTTTGAAGCTCTACGACCTTTCCTAAGGCCTTTTCCAGCAAAAAAAAGGTGGCTGTCCGGTGCGCAAAAGGCGCGTTTGTCCCACCCTCAATAGAATGCAAACCTACTCCATTATAGAATAAATACCATCAATGGCGATTCGACTTTGGAACTTCGAATCGAATCAAATCGAATCGATTCGAGTTTTTGAAATTTTCGAATCGAATTAATTCGATACTTAAAGTCGATTCGAGGCTCATTTCTAACTTCAACGTTTCTCTTGAGTGCTTTGAAACAAGAGGCAGGGCTACGCTGGCTTTCGAAATTTAAACGCTTTAGAAAATACCATAGTCGAGAAGAACACACTCTACTTATGACTTTTACCATGTTTTGCCTATAGAGGGACAAAAATAAAAGAAAGGCAGAAAAGATGCGTAAATTTTTAAAAATCGATTCAGTCAAGCGATTCAAATGAAAGTTGTTTTCTAGTAAATTTAGCCATTTTCCGACAAAAGGCAAATTTTCGCCTGTAGATTTGAAATCCAGTTTCTGATGTCTTTGCTTTGCGTTCTAACCTTTCGTACTAAAGTATAAAAAGCCCTCCTTCTGGCGCATTTGATTCTTCATTTTTACTCGCATTGACACAAAAGGACGGGTATAGAGTGTGCTCCTTGTTGACAGACAATTTGTCAGACAAATTTTCATTGACAACTTTTTTGTCAGACAATTGATCCGACAAACTTCCGACAACGCGTTTTCTAAAAGGTGCGCTTTTTAAGCAAAGCTATAAAGGTCGCGCGAAAAAAATTTGCAAACTTTTCTTAAAATAAGAATGGAAGTTTATTTAAGGATTTATGTTTTTAGGGCGGGAATTTTTTTGGAATGGTTCTAGTGCAAATGTAGACAATAGGCCTGGTAAATTCGAAATAATATAATTTTTAATAGTGTTCTTAACTTTTCCCGTTTTAAATGTTTTCTTTAATTTTAAATAGCATTTTAAAATTTTTCAAGTTTTAGCGAAAGAGTAATAGAGCTAAAGGGGGGGCACATCCGCGCGAAATCGTGTTCTCTATCCGTTTTCCATGTTTGAATAGCCATTCAACGCAGAAAAATGTGCTGATTTCAATGGTGAAAAATTATCAAAATCCGTCTGATACATTTTTAAAAATCGCGTTTTGTCGAAAAAACGCACTTTACAAGCAACTCGCTCGCAGCGACCAACTTCGGCGGCCCGTTTCAGCGGGTCGAAAGATTGCGCCCTCAAAACCGATAACTTTGTGTGGACATTATAAAGATCATTTGAACCAAACAAATAAAAATTGACAACTCTGCGAAGACTTGATGCCTTTAAGTTGAAAATGACGTTTTGCGACTTTCTGCCCGCTAAAACGTGGGCAATCTGCCGTAACCCAACGTGTCAAAATACTAATGTTAAGCTCAAGAAATGATAAACTTTCTGAAATAAGAAACGAATCAGACAAAAAGCAAAAAATGACTGCTGGTAGTTGTTGGTTAACCGCTCTTCGGAACAAGAAATATACTGAACCATTAAAAAGCTTACTAAGAGTTGTTTATCAACAATAAAAATAGAGATAAGAAATATAAGTTAAAAGCCCTGGGAAAAGGGCAAATTCAAATAGAGTAATATAAATGTCTGGCGCTTTAAATAGGTTGTTTGGCGATGTTTTAGCGGGGGTATAACGCGGCCGGGGACGATAAAAATTTTTAGGCAACCACCTGTTTTTTATTTTAATATCGCTGATTTTATTATAAAAGAATAAAAACACCCGGCTAGAGTGATTTGATGGGTTTACAAATTTTTGGAGACACTGCAAGGCTTGGAGAAAAGCAAGACGTCACCAAACACCCAGCACAGTCTAGATCGATTGAGTTTAATTGCAGATAAATTTAAAAACAAAAAAAAGCACAAAAAACAATAAAAATAGATTTGGTAATCTATAATTCTTCCTCTTGCTCACTTTCTTCTTCGCTCAAGTACAGCCGTTCCTCAAATCGGCTCCTATCTTATCAATTTCCACGCACTTCACCAGAAGTGACTGGATCTCCCCACCGTAGGACGTCTTCAGCGCTTTGATTGACACAATTAGATCTTTTTCCATTTGGGTCGCTTGTGGTTTAGTTTTCTCAAATAGGTGCCTTTAGCTGAGGTGTCGATGAGTGACGATCTGTTTTTCTCCAAGCCTTGCAATGTCTCCAAAAATTTGTAAACCCATCAAATCACTCTAGCCGGGTGATTTTTATTCTTTTTATAATAAAATCAGCGATATTAAAATAAAAAAACAGGTGGTTGCCGTAAAAAATTTTTATCCGATTAATACCCCCCCCCCCCTTTAAGGAAAGAGTAATAGAAAAAAAGAGCGCAAGATTTTAATGTACATTTGCATTTGAAAAATTTGCGAGCAAAGCATAGGGTACGGTAGCTATCCTTGGCGCCTTTTAGAAAACACGTTGTCTGCAAGGAACACACTCTAGACGGGTACCTACATGAAACTTTACAGCAACAATTCTTTTGCCTTTCCCCTTTTTCACTTATCACACTTATGCTCTGAGGATTTTATTGATATTAGAAAGTGGGGGAAGGCTTTCTTTTTTCCTTCCAAATCGCCTCACATTTTAGATATTTCAACAACGGGCCAGGAATTTCTTTCTCTTCTTCGAATTTCCTTATCTCAGATGCCTTTTCTCCCTGTGAAAAATACAATCCTCCTTTCTTTTTTTCTTTAGTCTTTTCTTTTCATATTACTACTTGTAAAGTGGGTTCCTCTTATTTTCACTGATCACTTGCTAAGAGTGTAGTGTTGGTGGCTATGGTAGTTGGGGGAAGCAAGTTTTTTCGTCAAATGAGCTGATTTTTTGTACCTAAGGGTTTTTGACTGTGCTGAATTGATTGATGGCTTTACACATTTCCCAACTTTTAATAAACAATACAATACTGAAAATCTAATGTACTAATTCTGGGATGAAGTGAGTGAAAAGTAGCCGTTGTCTTGATGTCCTCGCTTGTAACTTGTTGAGATTTTATTGTTATTTGTTATAAACGTTGTTAAAAGTTGTGAAATGTTGTGTTAAACAATAAGCAATCGATTCAGCATAGTTGAAAACCCCTGGGTGCAAAAAATCAGCTCATTTGGTGAAAAAAAATTATTGTTTTCCCTATTATTATCATTGCCTGCCTATTAGGCTTAACTTTTGAAATGCTAAAAGAAAATTTTGGGTTGAGCCGAATTCCAATACGACAGTTCCAATACGGTTCCCTTTTTGATCTAATACGGTTCCAATACGGTTTCCATTTTTGATCTAATACGGTTCCAATACGGTTCCATTTTTGATCTAATACGGTTCCAATACGGTTCCAATACAGTTTCCTTTTTGATCTAATACGGTTCCAATACGGTTCCTCTCCAGTGCCAGACGACGAAAATTTACGTTTTCAAAGTCTAATCCACTTGGTTCCTTTTCTCTACAGATTTGTTTCCTTTTCTCTACAGATCTCTACAGACAAATCTCAGCTATTCAAATAGCTCAAAAACACCAAATTTTCAGAATCAGCAAAAAGTCAGACAAAAATTCACAGTTGATTCACAAAAAATGCTGACTTTCAAGATTCATTTTTCAAAAAGCCGTTTCTTCGAAAAATAAAGACGATTCTAACAGCTTAGTCTCAAAAGAAAATTCCCAGAAAAGGTTTTCAATTGTGATAAAATTTGAAGGGGCAAATAATGCTCTTCTTTTCCCCTTTTTTATACTTCTTGGTGCCAGTCTTTGTGTCAAACATTCCCAATTCTTTTCCACACACTTTTTCTCAAATGATTCATCCGAATCTGATTAGTAGTCAAATTTCCGATCTTTTTTTGGAGAAAGAGAAGCTTTGCCCGTTTCCCGAACACAATTTTTGCTGTTTTTTTTAAAAAGGTTGCTTGAAGTGATTTTTGAAAGGAAAGGACAAGTGTCTCGTCAAATTTCATCAAAATTTCGTTTTCTTTTTATCAAATCGTACCAGGCGAATTGGGAAATTTCGGATCGGATCTGGGATAGGATTGTTACAAAAGCTTTCAAAAGGCCAAGCAATGCAAGATCAGGGTCACGTCTCTTGAGCCAGATTATCACAAGCCTGGACCTGCCTTGAAATTAGACCTAATCTGGTCTGTTTTACAGATGCTAGGGTTTGTTTTAAAGGCCGACCCTGTTTATGATTTGTAAAGAGTACATAGTTTGATTCAAAATTATCGGACTTAGACCTAAATCGGATTGAGATGGCAAAAGTTTCGGATTTGGATTCGATCCGGAAATAGTTCGGATTAGAGTGTGTTCCTTGTGAGTAAGTACCGTAAATACTGTAATAGCACCCCACCCCGATAATGACGGTGCGTAGTGTTGTGTAGTCTAGCTTTGAACGAGTTTTTCTCGACACTGGTTTATGCTACAATGTTCGTTTTGGTTTCAAAAAATAGCCCTGAATTTCAGCTATTTTTTGATACCAAAGACGCATTTTTTGAGAGTACGGGTGCTTTGAAAAACAATGAAATACTAAAAAACTTTTGTGACTACGCGACTGTACGAGGACGGTGGGGTACTATTACAGTATTTACGGTAATTACTCGAGTAAAACTTGCATGAGTAATTTTTACTCGAAGCTAATCGACGTTTTTGATCGAGTAACTACGAGTAATCCTCTTTACACGTCGAGTAAATTGAATATCTTTACATTTGACGGAAATTTGCCACCAAATCAATTAAACAGCTGAATATCTTTAAAAGAAGTCGTATATAAGACGGCGCTCGGGATTTTTTCGCGCCATTCTTTTGCAATAATTTTCGCTAAAAGTACGCTAATTTTTCCCAAGTGTGCGTTTTTAAAAACTCGCGAGAAACAAATATTACTGGCAACTTTAATTCGCCAGTTCGCAGTACGCTGGTTTGCAGTACGCTGGTTCGCAGTACGCTGGTTCGCAGTACGCTGGTTCGCAGTACGCACTCTGGTTCGCAGTACGCACTCTGGTTCGCAGTACGCACTCTGGTTCGCAGTACGCATTCTGGTTCGCAGTACGCACTCTGGTTCGAATATCCAGCTTTCCGGATCCGCGATCCTTTCTCTGCATAAGACCAACCCCTTTATTCACTCTCGTAACTTTTTATTCTTTTCTCTAAGCACAATTTACACTTGTAGTAGATTTTTCGAATTTTCCCCCAAAGCTCATCTTCCATTTTCAGGATTTTGATTCTTGATTCTTTTCCTTGTTTCTAGATTTCTAGAACTTATAATGTTCAACAATATTTCAGGGATGTCAACCCTCAAACTTGTCACCTTTGGGGCGTTACTCTTGCAGCTGACAGCGGCACATTGGGTGGGGTTTTGTTTGAAGGAAAGCTTATGAAAGAAATAGATAGATTAGATAGATAATTCTAGATAGATAATTAGATAGATAATTCTAAATCTTAAGCTACACATTGTTAGCTAAATCTGTCTATAATTAGACAAAATTCGACACCAACTGAAGCTGAACATGGAGCCAAAGAATGTTTCTGGGTCCTTTGATTTTGAATGAATCCAACGTTACTGTATGAAAGGTCCTAAACCTAAGCCTGAGCATGAGTCTGAGCCTAAGCCTGAGCATGAGTCTGAGCCTAAGCCTATGCAAAAGCCTAAAAAGCTCTAAGCTCTGATATTTTTCTTTATATTATCTAAATATTTATCTATCTATTCAGATTGGTGAGGAGTACTGGACGACAATCGATTTCCTCGGTGCCATCAAAGACGATCGATCACCGGCCGACTTTTTGGAGGTACCAAAAATAGACTGAACTAAATCAAATAGCATATCTACAGTAATCTACAGAGCATACAGTAAACTATGATCAATGTGACTCGCTTTTCAGCTAAATGGACCCAATGGAGCACGGACAAATGGCTGGGTGGCTTACTGGTACAAATTTGCGTCTGATTTTCTAGATATTTATATGAAGCTTAAAAATCGAATATAATTTCTAAATTTTGTCTAAACAATAGATTTTTAGGATAACTAGGTCCAAGTACCCGGGCGTGCACTATGAGGCTTTCGGACATGCGATTCGACGAGATGATGGACGGGTGAGTGGAATGGAAGAAATTCTTTTCTAACAGTGTCCGCTTTCTCTTTCTAATCCTGGGAGTCCCCCATTTCGTCTAAAAAACATTTCGCTTAACCATTTTTCCCCTTTTGCCTAAAACCCGTTTCGCCTAACCCATTTCGTCTAAATCCATTTCGCCTACAAGCCATTTCGCCTACAAGCCATTTCGCGTAAAACCCATTTCGCGTAAAACCCATTTCGCGTAAAACCCATTTCGCCTAAAACTTTAAATGCAAATGTAAATTAACTACTAGACATTGAATTTTTAAATAAATATTAAAGTAACTAGGTAAAGTTACAAAGATTCGGCAAAATGGGTTTTAGACGAAATCAGGAGAAATCCTATTTCTATTTTTATCTAATCAATCCACTTTTTCCATCTTTCGATATCCTTTATGAACCTTTATGAACCTCAGAAATAAAGTAGAATTAGAAAAAAATTAGATTACGATAGTCGAAAAAGTTGGCCGTTTTAGTACTAGTACTTGAGTACTTAGTACTCAAGATTTAGGCTCGAATACTGATTACGGGCAATTTGACCTCTTTAGTTAAGGGTAAGCTGTATTGTATCAAGTAGAAATGACCAATTCCGCCCCGAACCTAATTCCACCTTCATTTTCTCAACCGCTTTTTAACCGATTTTTCTGAAATTTTGTCTACAAGCTGGTAGTATCGATTTCTATTTGAAGACAAAATTTCAGAATGAAATCTGTTAAGAAACGGCCAAGGGGACGAAGGTGGCTCGGATTTGGATTTCCTCTAACTGAACTTTTTAGCAAATCCAGAAATGCCATCAACTTTATACTATAAATTGGTTAAGTTGATAATTTCAGCTTTCAGAAAGCTTTCAGATTTGCGGTTATTTCGTTGGTGATGAGGACGAGGTGGCTGAGGTGTGCGGCGGTTTTCGAGTGTTGTCTCGGAATCGAAACAATCGAGCCGAACGAGCGCCGTTTGTTTCATTTTCAAAGATTTATTATCATTGCGGGAAGTATTTCGCCAAAAGCTCGTAAAATTCTCATTTTTTTTCGTGGGTTTACTGATAACCAGTGTAAAGAGAAAAGTGTTTTTTAAGAATGAAAAAAATGAGACGAAAGTTTAGACTCAAATCATGCTAAATTTGTAAACATATTAGGTTCCTTCTCTGGTAGAGATAAGGAACCAAATTTAGAGAGATAAGGAACCAAGTGGATTAGACTTTGAAAACGTAAATTTTCGCCGTCTGGCACTGGAGAGGAACCGTATTGGAACCGTATTAGATCAAAAAGGAAACCGTATTGGAACCGTCTTAGATCAAAAAGGAAACCGTATTGGAACCGTCGTATTGGAATTCGGCTCAACCCAAAATTTCCTTTTTAGCATTTCAAAAGTTAAACCTAATAGGCAGGCTTTAAATGATAATAATAGGGAGGACAATCATTTTTTTCGCCAAATGAGCTGATTTTTTGCTTTACGAATGAGCTGAATGAGCTGATTTACGTTCAGTTTTTGCAAACTTCTTTTGAATAAATTAGCTCCCAAACGCCAAGTTCAACCCTATGTGCCAAGTTTTAGATAAAATATTAAAGCCCTTAATCTTGGCTACATTTATGTCTTAAAAGTTTCCCGATTGAAGAAGATCTACAAATCATTTTACAAGCTTTTGAATGAGTACTAAATTGAAATAATTTTTGAATTGAATTGAATGAGTACTAAATTAATTTTTGCGCGACGTCGCATTCCAATTGACGTCGCCGCCATTTGGAGGCAGTCGATGGGAGCGCCGCGTCGTCGTTTCTTTTTCATTTTCAAATCATTTTTTTTGTCAGATTAGTTGAAAGTATTATTTTACGCGATAAATGAACGTTACAAAACTAAACTTTTTACATTTTTACAAGCTATTGAATGAGTACTATTGGGTTGTCCAGTTATGAATGCGCGTTTTTACTATTTTGTAAATTTCTCAAGATATCGAACAGATGTAGATGAGTGTTATATATCATTCGAAAGCTGAAGATCTCCTCTACATTTTGGAATAAACAAGTTTTTGAATTCATTCAACTTTTTGGAAAATTGACTGCACAAAAGGAGAGGTGGCTTTCGAAAAAAAAAACCCATTCCAGCTTAGCTATCCTCAAGTTTTATGGAACCAAATTTGTAGAGAAAAGGAACCAAATTTAGAGAGATAAGGAACCAATTTTTTCGAGAAGAAGGAACCAAATTTGTACCAAATATATGTCGTGGCCGATTATGAATGAAATTTTTTGGCAAATCTTTCTAGTAGAGCAACCCTTTAATGTATGAGGACAATATTATATCATCTTGTAGCGAATTAAATTCTGCGTCGATTGGTACCAAATTTGTGAGTTTAGGTTAAAAATTGCCGGCGCTACAACGTTTCATTCAAAATCGGCGGGACCCCCGTAGCCGATTATGAATTTCAGCCGATCATGAATGAGTGGGTCTAGGAGCGTCCAACCATCAAGTATTTAGTATCATTCAACGCAGAATCATTAATAATTATGTTAAATTTTTTAAATTAGAAAGATTAAATAAAAAGAAAAAAAAAATAGAGCAAAAAAACTGTTTGTTCAAGAGAAAACTTTGAAGCCCCATAATTTTTTTTCTTTTTATCCAATGTTTCTAATTTAAAAAATTTAACATAATTATTAATGATTCTGCGTTGAATGATACTAAATACTTGATGGTTGGACGCTCCTAGACCCACTCATTCATGATCGGCTGAAATTCATAATCGGCTACGACATATAGACTTGAATGCAAATGCATTGAATGCTTTTTTCTCATGAAACCAAACCGTTTCTATAAGAAAAATGAAGAATCAGTGAACTAGAGAGGATTTGTTTCCACTTTTTGAGCGCAAAGTACACTGGGAGGGGAAACCTTTGGAGCGGAAGCTAATCAATTTCTCTATTACTTTAAGAAATCAAAAAATCTTTATTTGTACAGTAGATTTAAGTGCTTAGACAGTAAAAATAATTAAATTTTACTAGAGAACTGTTTCAAATTACGACCATTTTTCAAAACTGGACCTAGCCAGCCCAAATCACATCCATTTGCACGAAACTTTGCACGTGTTTTTCTTAAAAACTAGCCTCCTCCTAAAAAAAAAGGTGTTTCTTAGAATTCGACGTGGGCTTTTTGTAGCTAAGTCAGCGCTAAGTCCAGTTTTGAAAATCGGTGGTAAATTGAAACAGTTCCCTAGTTAGATTAAAGTACAGAATAGTACAAAGTACAGAGTAGTATAAAGTACAGAGTAGTATAAAGTACAGAATAGTATAAAGTACAGAATAGCCTAAAGTAAAGTATTTGTAAAGTTTTCAGTTTCGAATGGGTGTTAGCGCGAGAAGTGCGCGATCAAAATGATGCTGTCGGTTTCACGGTGCATCGAGTGGCGAGCACACAAAATGGACAACAGGTTTATTTTTAGAATGGATTCAGTGCACTAGGAGGGGTGCTTTTACATGATTTACAAAGTATACAATGAAGATTTTTAGATAATTTACGGTGACGCTGTTTTGACGCAAAGACATTACAAAGGAGTCGAGCCGGGTCGCTTCGAGGAACCGATTAGCAAGGTTCATCTTAAACTATAAAAGAAAAAATAGGAATAAGTCTTTGAAATCTTTACAATATTTACGATAGTTTACGAATACGCTACGATACGTTACGATACTTTACGAGTGTGCCACGATACTTTACGATACTTTACGATACTTTACGAGTACGTTACGATACTTTACGAATACTTTACGATACTTTACGAGTACGCTACGATACTTTACGATACTTTACGAGTACGTTACGATACTTTACGAGTACGTTACGATACTTTACGAGTACGTTACGATACTTTACGAGTACGTTACGATACTTTACAATACTTTACGATACTTTACGAGTACGCTACGATACTTTACGATACTTTACGAGTACGTTACGATAATTTACGAATACGCTACGATACGCTATGATACGCTACGATACGTTACGATACGCTACGATACTTTACGATTATTCCTAGATTGGCAGCGATGAGTTCTCAACGAGAGTCTACTTGTTGAGGAAAACGACACCGGAAAGTGGACCTGATCGAACAGGATTTTATCAGGTGAGCACTCTTATTCCGTTTCCTAAAAAGCATCTATTTAAAAAGACCACCGTAATCAGACTATCAGCTTCCATCAGCCAAATTTTTTATTTCATTAACTGAGCCTGATTCTTCATCGAATGAGCTGATTGAGCGAATGAGCTGAAAAGCTGATTGAAGTAGACTCGCGTTTTGATTACGATAGTTGTCTAGTGTCTTTTAGAAACGGATAAGATCAGAAGCCCTTTCCAGAATGGTCCCTATCATGATCCACACACAAAACACGCGCATGGATGGGCTGGACATCCAGCGGCAAGAGATCAACACCGAGAGCAACCACAACGCGATCAGCCGAGACCTGAGGAGCAGCACAGGCCAAGACTTGGTTTAAATTGAATACTATATGACACACAAATGAATAGTAATCATATTCGCGCTGTAGACAGGGTGTTCAATATTTGTGGAGACCAGATTACTAGGTTTACTAGGTTTAGAGCTCATTTTGCACAAGTTTAAGGCTAAAAAGGAAACAAGACTTATTCCTAAAAAGGAAACAAGACACTTATCAAGACGCCGTTAAACGTTAGACGTTAGATCTTGACGTTAGACGTTAGATCTTGACGCTAGACGTTAGATCTTGACGCTAGACGTTAGATCTTGACGCTAGACGTTAGATCTTGACGTTAGACGTTAGATCTTGACGCTAGACGTTAGATCTTGACGCTAGACGTTAGATCTTGACGCTAGACGTTAGATCTTGACGCTAGACGTTAGATCTTGACGCTAGACGTTAGATCTTGACGCTAGACGTTAGATCTTGACGTTAGACGTTAGATCTTGACGTTAGACGTTAGATCTTGACGCTAGACGTTAGATCTTGACGCTAGACGTTAGATCTTGACGTTAGACGTTAGATCTTGACACAAAGGCCAGAGAAATCGTCACAAACTCTCGTTAAGCTTTACTTAGAAGAATCAAAACGAAAATTTGATTCTAACATCTTTAATGTCCCGTCAAAAACTGTTAAATGTCAAATTTCTCATTGTTAAACAAGAAAAACTAGAATTTGACTTCTTTTGATGAAATTTGGTAATCGACTTTCGATAGATCAATTTGTAAAATCAAATTTATTAAACTCTGTAAATAATCTAGAGTTCCTTCCAACTTCCAAGCAGTGCTTTCTTGTCGAGTTTTTTTTTCATAAACCAATTTTGAGAGTGTTAAACGAATTGTGAGCTTCCCATAAATGTTGAAGACTCTGTATTCCTTTTTCAGTGAACCGTCATCCACCCGCAGCCCGGGGTTCTCCACAAGATCTCATCTGTCACCGAGTTGTCACAGCTGATGGACGAGAGTTTAAGGTTTGTTGAAGGAAATAGGGATCTAGCCTTAGCTAGATAAATAGGTGCAAATAGCTACATATAGCAAATAGCTAGTTGCTGCAAAATAGCACATTTAGAGACTACTGAAGTAAGGAAAAATGATGAGAGAGCTCCTATAAAACTACAGTATCTTTAACTACTGAAACTACAGTATCTTTAACTACTAAAACTACAGTATCTAACTACTCTACAATAATTTACAGTACTATAGATAGCTTACTACAGTTTTTGAAGCTACAATGGAGTTTAAACTTTCAGCAAAAAGGACTTCTTTAAGTGTCTTTGAAACTACAGGACTCTAAAGTGGGTTTGAATCTACAGTAAGCCTACAAGCCTACGTTTACAAACCTACAATAAACCTACAAGCCTACGTTTAAATACTTGACCAACAGTAACTTTTGAATCTACAGTTAAAAGGAGTTACAGTATCTTTAACACATTGGCGACCGGGGATCAATAAAACAATAATAAAGCTGCCATTTCTGGAAACTACCATTTAAGACCAATAAAGCTAAACTTTGTTCTCGAGGGTTTTCTGAGGTTGCGAATCCAAATCAGTTGTTAGTTTTGAAGTCTGAAGCCACCGCCAAACAATTCAATGATTCATAGAAAAAAGATGAACAGTTTAAAGATCCCGAATTGGTTCAAATTGGCCCAAAAATGTTTCAAGTCTTTGAAAAAGCTTAAATTCATCAATATCGTCTTTTTGGTAACACTTTTAGATATTTTAGACTTTGTTGTCGGCAGATTTGAAACATTTTGAGAACACTGATGCTGTTTAATTGACTATTTTAACGATCATTTGATGCAGAATGAAATTACGCATCGAATGACACCAAAAACAACTTAAAATATAATATTCATGCAAAATGAAATATTGGTCAAAATGCGGCTGAAAAAAATGCCCGTACAGTAAGGCAGACAGAAAGACAGACAGAAAGACAGACAGAAAGACAGACCGACAGAAAGACAGACAGAAAGACAGACAGACAGACAGACAGACAGAAAGACAGACAGAAAGACAGACAGAAAGACAGACAGAAAGACAGACAGAAAGACAGACAGAAAGACAGACAGACAGAAAGACAGACAGAAAGACAGACAGAAAGACAGACAGACAGAAAGACAGACAGAAAGACAGACAGAAAGACAGACAGACAGAAAGACAGACAGAAAGACAGACAGAAAGACAGACAGAAAGACAGACAGAAAGACGAAAGACAGACAGAAAGACAGACAGAAAGACAGACAGAAAGACAGACAGAAAGACAGACAGAAAGACAGACAGATACCGTAACCCCCCCTTGAAACAAAAGACTTGAAACATTTTTGGGCCAATTTGGACCAATTTGGACCAATTCGGGGTCTTTAAACTCTTCATCTTTTTTCTGAGATCCCCTGAATCATTTAATTGTTTGGTGGTGGCTTTAGACTTCAAAACTAACAACTGTTTTGGATTCTCAACAACAGAAAACCCTCGAGAACAAAGTTTTATGGAAATTTTGAGTACTTGAGGTCACTGTAGCCAAAAAATAGTGCCGAATTCGAATTCTCCACGCCCGAAAACCCTCAATACAAATTTTCAGCTTAATCTGTTCATAAATTATGTGAATTTCAAGTGGAGTCCCATTGTCGAGAGTTTTGATGCACCATTGAGCCTACAAAAATCTAAAATTGCTTTAAACCTACAGTAATCTATAGTACCGTTGATTTACGATAACCTACTAGTACCTTTAGTCGTCAGAAAAAAGGAAATACGTATCGCTAAGTGAACCTGAAACCTTCACACTCGCATTTCAGAGTTGCCACCGCCCACAAGCCCCATCAAACACCCAAGTCGATCCACACGATAAACGTCTACAAGATCCACGCTCAAATCCTTCATATTCTTATTATGATCCAATGTGAGCGATAAAAAGATCTACTATATATAAAAGAGCAGTATCTGTTAGTCCGTTCGTTCGTCTGTTCGTTCGTCCGTCCGTCTGTCCGTCTGTCCGTCCGTCCGTCCATTCGTCCGTCCGTTTGTCCGTCCGTTCGTCCGTTCGTTCGTCCGTTCGTTCGTCCGTTCGTCCGTTCGTTCGTCCGTTCGTCCGTTCGTTCGTCCGTTCGTTCGTCCGTTCGTTCGTCCGTTGGTTCATCCGTCCATCTGTACCGACTCTTTCTCAGTCATCTTTGAGCCAAAGAAACTGAAATTCTTTAAAAAGTCAGTGAGCGGCACTACGGGGGGTCGAACCCGGATCGTGTGTGCTGTAGACAAGCGCGCTCTCGACTGCGCCACGTCGACAAAAACCGCGCTCTAAAACTAATCCGTTCATTAGGCGGGTTTTTTGCAAATCTCGTGAATTTTGACGTGTGATTTCGACTCAAAAATATCATTCGACTCAAAAAAATGCGCTGATCAAGAATTTGAAATCTTTCTTGACAAATTGATTGACAGACAAATCCCATTGACAGATTTTAACACTGACACTTTTACATTTCGTGTTCACAAAACGCCCTATTTTGCGTGAATCTTTGTGTGTGCTTATAAAGAAGACAAAACTTCAGCTTCGATCCCCGATCTCCGTTGTACGATCCTCAATACAACCCATATGATCCACAGTACAATCCCGAAAAGGACCGAGAGTGAGCTTTTTTTTTTTTACAGATTTCAAATTTCAACTCAAAAACAATAAATTTCTTTAGATGGCGTCAAGCGCAAGGTTTTGGAGAAGACGGATCGGTGAGTGGAAGCATTGGACTCATGTACATGTACAGTATGATTTGTCCACTGATTAGGTCACTGACTAGGTCACTGATTAGAGATAAAACTCATTGTCAGCACAAAACAAAAGCCAAAGCAAACACTCAGATTCCCATCCACTCCATTCATCCATTGTCTGCACTCACTCACACTAGAAATCGGAAAATTCCAACCCACACCTAATTCCAACATCATTTTCTCAGCCGTCTCTTCGCCGATTGCTCTGAAATTTTGTTTACAAATAGAAATCGATATTACCAGCCTGCAGAAAAAATTTCAGAACAATCGGCCAAGAGACGGTCGAGAAAATGAAGGTGGAATTAGGATCGGCTTGGAATTTTCCCATTTCTCACTCACACCCCTCCCCATCCCCATTTTCAGCGCCGCACTCCAGCACCACGACGAAGCGATGAGCCACGGCCGGAACCAAGAAGAGTTTGTTTTGTGATTCATAGAATTTTTCCTGTTAACAACGGATTGCGGGCTATCACAAACAATAACAGTACGGAACTAGGCAGCTGATCTTAGCATGGCTGAACTCTAGCATGGCTGAACTTCAAGGGAATCTTCTCAGCTCAAGGTTCGCAATCGACTGGAGACAGAGTGCACAACATAGAATCGGCAATGGCGAACAAAATGCCATAAAAATTAGCCGCTAATATCCACGGGAACGTGAGGAATCTGACATGCAAAGTCGGGATTCAAAACTGATTACTTTATAACGCTTCTTTCGCTGCCGGTCACAGATGAGCCCATGGCCTAGTGGATAAAGGTCTACTCCGTGAATCGTCCGGCCTCTTTTTGCTCTCGAGTTCAATTCCGCCCACATCCAAAATTTTTTCTTTTTTGTTTGTTTGTTTTTTGCCGGGGTGTGCATCGACGTAACCACTGAAGTGCCAAGAAAACTGAAGAAATTTCTGTAATTGATCTCCTCCAAATTATTTATGGGTGATTGAAAGGAACTTTAACATATTTCCTCGTTTTCCCGATTGAAAACTTGTATCGCAGAGTTTCGCATAGGCAAAAATGTTAAATTTATTTAATTTTATTCATTTAGTTTGCTTTAAAAACGAAATAGTTTGAAGAATCGCAAAAAACAAAAAATTTTGGATGTGGGCGGAATTGAACTCGAGAGCAAAAAGAGGGCGACCGATTCACGGAGTAGACCTTTATCCACTAGGCCATGGGCTCATCTGTGACCGGCAGCGAAAGAAGCGTTATAAAGTAATCAGTTTTGAATCCCGACTTTGCATGTCAGATTCCTCACGTTCCCGTGGATATTAGCGGCTAATTTTTATGGCATTTTGTTCGCCATTGCCGATTCTATGTTGTGCACTCTGTCTCCGAAGATTGAGCTGAGAAGATTCCCTTGAAAGCTAGAGTTCAGCCATGCTAAGATCAGCTGCCTAGTTCCGTACTGTTATTGTTTGTGATAGCCCGCAATCCGTTGTTAACAGGAAAAATTCCAGTCGATTCCGAACTTTGAGCTGAGAAGATTCCCTTGTTAGGTCTGTTCATTTGTAAACAACGTAAAAACAAGCTTTGGTCTCTTCAAATTTTCTCGGATTTCATTCCAGAGATAGAATTTTTCAAGCTCAATCTTTTAGTCTGAAAAAAAACCTGTTGTAGCTGCTGTAGCTGTTGAAAAAGTAGCTGTTGAAATGGAGAAATCTCGTTTTTCCGTTGTAGACCTATTGAAGATCAGAAAATGAACAGATTTACTCTAACTTAATACAGTTAACATTACGAAGCTGGTGGACATTAGCCAATATTGACAACACAGTTAATATTGATATTAATGTTTGCCTAATGTCAATATTAGCTGTGTTATCTAGACATCCGAAACCTTACTAGAGAAAGGCACGAACTCAACTGGTAAAGCGTAAAGCGTAAAGCGGTAAAGCACCCCTCCATGGAGTTCCACCCTTTTGACTTCAAATCTTCTATCCAAGTTTTACAAGCCTGGAAATTCATTTAGCAGATTTTGATTTCAGATTCCGATTCCCCATTCGGATTCCCGGATTCTATGATTTCAAGACAAAAGCTCACCTTGAGTTCGCGCTTTTTCCTAGTTTTTCCTACTCTCAGCAACAAGAAAGATCAAATCACTAGAGCTAAAAAGTGAATAGAGTACAGTACAGTTTAGGAGTACAGTTTAGGAGTACAGTTTGGAGTACAGTTTAGGAGTACAGTTTAGTACAATGGAGTACAGTTTAGGACAAATCTTAGAAAGCATATTATCTAGAGAGACAATTGTGTTGCCTTCTTTTAGCCGCTTCTCCAATCTTTTCCATTATCCTCAGTCAAATCCCCTCCACTTTCTCCCCTTCAATCACTTTCCCAAAAGCGATCACTTTCCCATTTCTGTCTTGTTATCAACCGTATTATCAATTGTAATCTTTCACAAAGATTACGATTGTTTCTGTTTTTTTGAAAGGCTTTATTTTAGTGAATAAGTTTTGCTTTTTGCTTTTTGCTTTTTGCTTTTTGCTTTTTGCTTTTAAAATCTATTTCAATTTCAGCCTCAAGAAGAATTGGATCGTCAACCGCCAGCAAGACCAAATGCGTTCGTTTTGTAGTTTGTTATCAATTACTTCAATTACTCAGCTGAATATCTTCTAGTTTCTTAGGGATTTTCAAAGAAAACGGGCAGCTACGAAGAGTCTAGAGAGAAGAGCAGAAGGGGAAAGGCTTCGTAGCTTTCGTTTCTTTGAATATTTTTCATATTCCATATATCTGTTGTGTTCGATTTAGATTTCCGTCCGATTTAGATTCAATCTAAATCTTATATAGATTGAACAATAATACGTCTTATATATGTCGTAGCCGCTTACAAAATTCAGCCGCTAACGAATGAGGGTATTTCCGGGCATCCAATCAAAAAGTGACCCACATAAAAAATGTTCATAATACATATATTTTATAATAAATTTTTGAAATTAGCTCATTTGGTTCAGTAGAAAATTTTTTTTTAGCCCCCAAAGTTTAGGTTCAAAAATGCCCTAAAATGGCTATAAAAAATTTTCTACTCAGCCAAAAAACTTGCCTAATAGCTCATTTTGTAGCCAATTTGATGTAGTTTCTTAAGGTAAAGTCATCTAAAATAATTTTTCGTTGAAAGTAGGAGAAAGAGGGCGAGGAACAAATTCAGGGCAATTCTCAAATGTGAAAACAGCGACCGAGTTCAACTGAAGTCGTTCCTCGCTCTCTTTCTCCTAGCTTTGAAAAACAAATGTTCAATGTAGCTTTACTTTAAGAAACTACATCAAATTGGCTACAAAATGAGCTATTAGGCAAGTTTTTTGGCTGAGTAGAAAATTTTTTATAGCCATTTTAGGGCATTTTTGAACCTAAACTTTGGGGGCTAAAAAAAAATTTTCTACTGAACCAAATGAGCTAATTTCAAAAATTTATTATAAAATATATGTATTATGAACATTTTTTATGTGGGTCACTTTTTGATTGGATGCCCGGAAATACCCTCATTCGTTAGCGGCTGAATTTCGTAAGCGGCTACGACATATAGATTGAACAATAATATAAACATGCTTAATATATGTTCTTAAGCGTTTTCTGTAGTTTTCTGCATTTTTCAAACGTCTGTTACTGTCTTTTTCTGAAAAGAAAACCCAACTATGAAACAATTTATTAGCTTTAACAGAATAGATGCGAAATTACAACATACAACAACAAAAAAACCAACAACAACAACGAACGAGTTAAAAATTTCTATTTATTTTTGCAGCTTAGGCTATTGTGACATCTTGAATTGCAGAGTGGGCCATCCTTTTCGGCCATCCTTTGAAAAATGCAGAAAACTACAGAAAACGCTTAAGAACATATACAGTAGCGGACATTGACTTACGATATTTTTTCTTCTTATCATAATTTTTTTTCTAAACACGTAAATGAGCTAAAAATCAAACTAATTGTGTAAAAACAAATGTATTTTGATATTCTGAGTTCAAAAACTTCATGGCATTAAAAAAAAAATTTTAGAACAAATTTATTAAAACTCGCGACGACATTAACTTACGATATTTTGAAAAAACGAGTTAATTTTTGTTATGTTGATTTGCTATACTTTATTTTTTGTTTGTTTATAATTTAATCTTTATTTATTTTCATTTTTAGAGATGGGAAGAAGAAAACAGATGTCAACGGAGAAACGGGAGGGTGTGCTGCGACTTCACCAGCAACAGATCAAACAAGAGGCGATCGCCCAACTTTTATCGATAACCCAGAGTACTGTCTCGTCTATTTTGGCTCTTTATCGACAAACTGGATCTACTGCTGCGAAGAAGAACAAAGAACAGCCTCGGAAGACCACTTCACGAGATGATAATCGAATTCTTGAGCTCTCCAAGATGAATCCAATTAAGACGGCAGTCGATATTCATGCAGAGCTGCCACAACGAGTGAAGGAAACAATCTCTCCTCGAACAGTACAGCGCCGACTGAACCAGGCAAAGATATTCGGACGACCCGGCTCACAAACCGTTCATTTCTCTCAAGAATCGCAAGCTTCGGGTGAAATTCGCTCAGGATCACGTTACCTGGACCCCACAACAATGGGCAAATGTACTTTTTACTGACGAAAGTAAGTTCAATTTGTTTGGATCTGATGGTGTGCACTTTGTACGACACCTCCAAATAAAAAATTTGGTCCCAAATATATTTTGCCGACTGTGAAACATGGAGGTGGAAGTGTAACTGTATGGGGAGGCTTCTCGTCGCACGGATTGGTGGCCTTGAAGCGCATAAACAGCATTATGGATCAAGATGTTTACTTAGACATCTTGCAAAATCATATGCTTCAAAGTGTGACTCGTTTTATGCCACCAAACTTCATCTATCAACAAGACAACGACCCAAAGCATACTGCACATCGAGTTTCCCACTGGTTCACGCAACAAGGAATTCAATTAATGAAGTGGCCAAGTCAAAGTCCGGACTTGAATCCGATTGAACATTTATGAGACGTACTCGAAAGAAGCTGCAAAGGGTTTAAAACGAAAAATTCAAAGGAAAAATTTGATCTTCTTGTCAAGAAATGGAGCGAGATCCCCCAAGTAACGATCGATAATCTCATCGCGTCAATGCAAGTATTAACGTTTTTACTCAATATTTATTGCTAATATGTTGTTAATTTTTTTTGCTTTATTTGTTGGAGCTTGTTTTTTCAAAATATCGTAAGTTAATGTCGTCGCGAGTTTTAATAAATTTGTTCTAAAATTTTTTTTTTAATGCCATTAAGTTTTTGAACTCAGAATATCAAAATACAATTGTTTTTACACAATTAGTCTGATTTTTAGCTCATTTGCGTGTTTAGAAAAAAAACTATGATAAGAAGAAAAAATATCGTAAGTCAATGTCCGCTACTGTATTAAGCATGTTTATATTATTGTTCAATCTATATAAGATTTAGATTGAATCTAAATCGGACGTCCGATATAGACTGTAATCTAAATCGAACCGCGATAAGTTCAATCTAAATCGGACGGAAATCTAAATCGGACACAACATATTCATATTAAAAGATATTCAACTTGGGATTAGGACTTTGAAAGTATAATTATTAATCTAATTATTAATAAAGTTATTAATATAATTATTAATCTAATTATTAATCCAATTATTAATATAATTATTAATGCAATTATTAATCCAATTTTTCAGAAACACAGTTCCAGTTCGAGTGTTCAGACCGGGTCCAGTGATTCCACCAAGAAATGAGTCAGTTATGAAAATAAAATAGAACAGTAGCCTTTGCTCTAAATATCTTACCGTAAATACTGTAATAGTACCCCACCTCCCTCGTACAGTCGCGTAGTCACAAAAGTTTTTTAGTATTTCATTTTTTGCAAAGCACCCGTACTCTCAAAAAATGTGTCTTTGGTATCAAAAAATAGCCCTGAATTTCAGCCATTTTTTGAAACCAAAACGAACATTGTAGCATAAACCAGTGTCGAGAAAAACTCGTTCAAAGCTAGACTACACAACACTCCGCACCGTCATTATGGGGGTGGGGTACTATTACAGTATTTACGGTATGTACCTTTTCCAACATTTGTACAGTAGTCTTACTTTAATACAAAATAGGAAAGTCTTGATTAGACCTACCGTAATCCAGCTTTACTCTCGAAAAGGCTGACAAGGCTGTCAAGGCTGTCAAGGCTGTCGATGGCTGAGAGTGGAGCGAGTCATAGCTGATCTGCGGCACAATAGAAACTACCGTAAATACTGTAATAGTACCCCACCTCCATAATGACGGTGCGGAGTGTTGTGTAGTCTAGCTTTGAACGAGTTTTTCTCGACACTGGTTTATGCTACAATGTTCGTTTTGGTTTCAAAAAATAGCCCTGAATTTCAGCTATTTTTTGATACCAAAGACGCATTTTTTGAGAGTACGGGTACTGAAATACTAAAAAACTTTTCCGACTACGCGACTGTACGAGGGCGGTGGGGTACTATTACAGTAGAACGAAGTACTTGGGTTAAGGTAAAATCATCAAATCAACGCTTTACGATAGCCGAGATATTCTTTAAAAGTTACAAAGATTCGAGTCGGTTAAACATAAAGAGAGAATGCTTATTTGTAAACTTTCAGCGCCACAAACGGCTCCCCTCCACAAATTCTGTCACCAGGTGAGAGTGGAGCGACGGTTGTCGACGACAAGGGACGACTCTATCGAAAGAAAATCAATTCAAATGGGTGAGTTCACACTTTTAACAGTGTTTAGAACTTTAAAAATCAAAAGAACAGAAAAGGTTCATATTTAAAAGCACTTATGCACTTCAAAAGCACATATAATCGTGCAAATCTAGAACCACAACACAGAGATCAAAGCTGATCTGAGCTAGAGAGGCTGATCTGAGCTAGAGAGGCTGATCTGAGCTAGAGAGGCTGATCTTCATATCTCACAAAAGACAGTCTCATCATCCATAAATGCCCCCTTGCATAATATCACCGTTTTTCCTCCTTTCAAGTGTGTCCGCTTTTACGAGAATGGCTAGTCTTGCAGCTATTGATCCCCTGCTGTCGATGAAGCCATCCCCTGCTGTCTCCTGTAAACCCCATCTCTAGCATCTCTAGTAAACAAAAATACGTATTTTAATAGAGAAATAGCTTTGGTTTTTGAAGAAAATCAAGCCAATTTAGCTTCAATAAAAGCGTTAACTTTACCGAATCTACAAGAATATTTTGCAAAAGAGTAAAACCATTAAAACAAGTACAAACAAGAAACCAGTAAAACAGTAAAACCCATCTAATTAAACAATAACAACTTAATAATTGGAAAACTTTAAAAGAAAAGCTTTTTTGTTTTAAAGTTTTAAAACAAAAAGTTTAAAGTTTTGATGTTTTTTTAAAAAGTTTCAAAATATTAGGTTGATGCATAAGTGTTTTTGTTCCTTTTCGTCTGCCGTTTCAAGCCAACAAATGCACCAATTAAACTACGGTTGATTTCATTAGAAAAACCAATTATTTTTCTGCAAAATAACATTAAAACGGGTTTAAAAATATTTAATGCCTGGATTTTCTTGAGAGTATGAAGTCGGGTAGTCAAAAAGGGCTAACTCGATGATGCGGTTTAGACACCTTAAAAAAAAATACCGACTGGGGCTACCAGTGGTGAATTTATCGCATACACGAAATATATCAATCACAATACAACGACACACACAATACTAGGCTATATCTTAACTTAACCCACGTCATGACAGACGGCTCCCTAACCCTAAGCTCAATGGGGAACTAAATAGCTTTTTTTGGTGGTGAAGGGAAGATGACGATGAAGGAGTGGCTTGTCACTTTAAAGAACTGGGGCCACAACCACCAGACTGCCCTCCAGAAAACCTCTCAACCCGAAGGGAAAGGAAATCCGAAGGGGGTGACCATGTCGCATGTGGGGTTCGAACCCTCGACCTTCCGATTAAGATAAAAGACACTTAACCAGTCAGCCACACGTGCTAAAGAAAACCTATCTTCGTGTCAATAGATAAAAGATAGAGAAAAAAAACGTTTGATATTTCGCCAAAATTTCAGAGAAATTCATTCGGCCAATTTTTCCGTAGAGTTTTTTATAGATTTTTACGAAAAAGGCGTTTTTCACTCTCGAATTTGCTTGAAAGTCAACCGAAATTCATTTAAAAAGATGCAAATTGAACAAAAAAACACTTTTTTTTATAGAGCAAACTATAGATTAATTGGTGAATTTGTTACTTTTTAACAGAAGTACGAAAAAAACGAAAAGACTTATGCATCAACCTATTAACTTCCTTCAAAGTGAAGACAACAGAAAATAAAGTAACAAGAAGAAAATTTGTCCGTAATGAGCGTTATGAAGTAACGAGGGTTATGACGTAATGAACGTTATGACGTAATGACGCAATGACGTAATGAGCGTTATGAGCTTAATGACGTAACAAGCGTAATGACGTAATGGGCATAATGACGTAATGAGCGTAGTGACGTAATGAGCGTAGTGACGTAATGAGCGTAATGACGTAATGAACGTAATGGGCGTAATGACGTAATGAGCATAATGACGTAATGAGCGTAGTGACGTAATGAGCGTAATGACGTACCGACGTAATGAGCTTTAAATGCAAATTTATTACCCATTCAATGTCACTGTGTTTTTTCAGTCGTGAAACGTACGTTTTGGATGATTCGGAGCGTTCTCTTCACCTTCCTGGAGCTCCACGACGTCCACAACCACCAGCGCCTGGGTAAATCAAGTAACTACCTATGCGCCAGTATTTATAGTAAGGTATAAGGTCCCCCCTGGCGGCAATGCGATACACAGTCGGTGTAGCTCATTGGTAGAGAGTTCTCATTGGTAGGGTAAGCGAGAGATCGAGGGCTCGAATCCCGGTGCCGATCATCTTTTGTATTCCCAGCCTCAACCCGTCAGCGTTTTCAACTTTATAATCAACTTATAACCCCCTCTAGAGTAAGGGCGACCAAGTGCGTTGTGGTCTAATGGTTAGCACGTTTGCCTGGTAAGCGAAAGGTCGGGGGTTCGAGTCCGGGTGGCGCGGTGCTTTTTGATCTGCTCTATTTTCAACAATCTAAATGGAAAGCTATCGCGGGTAGTTAGCTCGTTTTTGATTCAAAACGTGTACTTTGTACTTTGTGTACCTTCGGGTGTACTTTGTACTCTGAAACCTCCTTTCTAGTGCACTTAATTCCTCATTTTTTCTCGTGACATCAAGGCTGGAAGAAAAATCGAGAATTTGGTCCACAAGGAAGGGTGTGTTTAGATAGTGAGCACAAAGTACATTTCGTCGACATGCACAAAGTACATGTCGAGGTTGATGGTGGTTTTTCCAGAAACAATACAATGAATGAATATTTCCAGAAGCGATAATGAGATCCCAATTGGCCACGGCGCTTTACCAGCCGGACAAGAACCAGGTTGTTAAACATAAACTTTAAAAATCTTTTCAAAATTTCTTCTCAGTGAGTCAGAAGATCGGCGAAGGAGCAGTGCCGAAAATCCCGCCAAAACACGAGGAAATCTCGACAATCGGAGATGGAGCACAAGTTGAGAGAAATGGTTTGTGGAAAGGGCTCAATTCTGCAGAGTTTTAGCAGCACTGCAGCACTTTGTGGTTGTAGCAGTTAACTAAGCAGTTGCACGTAACTTCAAAACTGTCCCTTGCTGTAGTACGATTGTAACTCTTTAGCTTTAACTCTATAGCTGTTATAGCTTTAAAGCTTTAAATCCTTTAGTTTTAGCTGTGCTGTAGATCTATTCATTTTTTAGATAAGATTCAAGAATTTAGATGAAACGCCAAAGATCGGTCAAGGTGCTCAAGTAGATCAAAACGTAAATCAAAATCAAAATGATGAAAGTAACGGTAAGAAAATAAAAATTTTATATAAACTAGCAAAAAGTAAACATTTCTGATGTACAAGAAGAGCCAAAAATCGGTGGAGGAGTCGAGGTTGATGGTGGGAATGCGCAGATTGGTTTGTTTCATTTGATTGCTTTGATTGCTTTGAAAATAATCGTCATCCTACCGTAATGCATGGGCGTAGCAAGAATTTCACGCAAGTCAAACGTCTTGAGCTCCTCGACCTCCTCAAGGCTCCTCAAGGCTCCTCAAGCTCCTCAAGGCTCCTCGAGCTCTCCTCGAGCTCCTCGAGCTCCTCAAGCTCCTCAAGGCTCCTCAAGCTCCTCAAGGCTCCTCGAGCTCTCCTCGAGCTCCTCGAGCTCCTCAAGCTCCTCGAGCTCCTCGAGCTCCCTCGAGCTCCTCAAGCTCCTCAAGGCTCCTCGAGCTCTCCTCCAGCTCCTCCAGCTCCTCCAGCTCCTCAAGCTCCTCAAGCTCCTCAAGGCTCCTCGAGCTCCTCAAGGCTCCCTTCAATCAATTTCCAATCAAGAAATTATATTTTTTTAAATCGTGGGCTACAAAACTTCTTAAATATTTTTTAGTTAATGCAAAAAATTCGATTTGGATTTTTTAGGCAATAAATAATTTGATTTTACAAAAATTAAAGTTTTAATTTTCAGAAAATAGCACAAATTTGACTAGCGAAGAACAAAAAAAAACAATTTTCCATCTAGTTTTCGAAATTTCCCGAAATTCCCGTTTAAAGTTGACCATTTTCACTTTTATTGAGCTTTTTCAATTTTTGCTTGTGAAAATCTAGATGGACATCTAGAGGAACAAGCGTTTTTTCATTTTCGTCTTTCATATTTTTTTTGGGAAATTCTGGCCACGCCCATGCTGTAATCTGTGGAAAGCTTCTTGTTACAATAATCGATAAACCATTTCAGGTGAGGGTGCTCGGCCGAATGAAGAGGGAATTCAGCTGCCGACAGACCGGGATCCCGATCAAGATTATGTGGATAAAGTATGGGGACCTCGGTTTGTTTAGAGTTTGGTTGTAGGGTTACGGTACTGAGATTACTGTAGTCTGTAGAGGAAGGGATTACTGTAGTCTGTAGAGGGATGGGATTACTGTAGTCTGTAGGGGAAGGGATTACTGTAGTCTGTAGAGGAAGGGATTACTGTAGTCTGTAGAGGAAGGGATTACTGTAGTCTGTAGAGGGATGGGATTACTGTAGTCTAGTTTTTGAATTGGAATTGGAACCGTGCAGACATTAGTCTTGGCGTACTTTGTGCTCGTGCAAATATACCAGTAATAATCTGGTAGACGAAGATTCGAGTGCGCCAGAATGGGTGTGTTTCCACTGCAGCACAAAGTACCCAGATAGCCGACAATAATTGCTACGAATATACTTTGTGCTCAACTTTTTCTAAACGCACTTTTTCTGGCGCACTCATTTCCTCATAATCTGTGAGTAAAGTGAAGAATTTCATGCGTTCGAAGAAAAAAGATTCCTTTCGATTTACTAGTACGATCTAGTACGATCTAGTACGATCTAGTACAATCTAGTACAATCTAGTACAATTTAATACGATCTAGTACAATCTAGTACAATCTAGTACAATCTAGTACGGTCTAGTACGCACAAAGTACATGTGAAATTAATCGTTTCCAGTTCAAATCTTCCCACCCCCCCGAAATCATCGGAACTCAACGACAATGAATAATCTTTTTTTCAACTCTTTTTTTTTCCATTTTCTCAACTTTTACTGCCAATTTTTTTGATTTAAAAAGATAAACTTTATCAATATCAAAGCACCAATATAAAAAACTCAAAGAATTTGTGCATTTTCGAAAAACATTACCCGTTTTCTTAAGGGCCAAAGTGTCAAAAGAAATTCCTTAAAAAAAAATCCTTAAAAAAATCCTTTAAAAAAATCGAAACAAATTCCTGAAAAGAAGAGAATCCAAAGAGAGATTGGGGAAGGTGAGGAAAGTTTGCGAAAATAGGGGATGCATATGTACAGGACAGCTCAATATATGCAAAAAAAGCTTGGCTCTGGCTCGAACTCGAAATCTGATCACTCGATTGGCAGCGAAGCGCGTTGCCACTCGGCCATTCGCTTCCTGCGCATCGCTCGTCGCAAGTTGAACCTTCTGGCGACGGCCATGAAATCCTCGGCCACATTTAAGGCATTCACCACAACGTCATCTGAATGGGTACAGTAATCTGCAGGTTACTGTAGTCTGCAGGTTACTGTAGCCTGCAGTACTCTGCAGACTACAGTAATCTGCAGACTACAGTAATCTGCAGCCTACAGTAAGCTACAGGCTCCAGCAATCTGCAGACTACAGTAATCTGCAGACTACAGTAAGCTACAGGCTCCAGCAACCAGCAGACTACAGTAACCTGTAGCCATAAACAATTACTATAACCTAAAGAGCGCCTAGATTACTGTAGAATAGAGTACTTAGTTCACTGTAAAGTACCAAGCTTTCGGTGGCCTGTAGGTCCAAGATTACCGTAACTTAAGCGTTACGGAGATTACTGTAACCAGTTTGAATACCATAGTACAGTAATCCGTAAAACTCACCTGGCGGTAGTGCCGCTGGAGAGCCGGGCACCGTTGGGAAGCTCGTGATCTGTAGACCGGGTTGACGAGCTGGTGGAACGGGTTCTGGAAAGGCTCAATTTTGAGCAATTTTGTGAGAAATGATTCCCATTTTATCCCATTTTAATCAATTTTAGCATTTTTACAATTTCCATATCCTTACCGTCAATCGAATTAGCATTGAATCCATTTGTGGATGGCGGGGAAAGGAGGGGAGGACGGGGAGGAGGCGGTGGAGGAGATGGAGGAGATGGCATCGATGTGCCGAATGAGGGACGGCTGGTCAATGTTGTGCTTTGTGGGGCTGGGGGTGCGGGGCCTCGCTGGAATTTCACTTTACCTTCATTACTTTACCTTTTACCAGAAAGGCAAATGGTGTCGTGGTGGCCGAGTGGTAGTAGGCTTGAATTCGAAGCGGGAGGTCGAGGGTTCGAGTCCGGCACTTGCCTTCCATTTTGTTTCTTTTAGCTTTGAATGGTTTAAGTGTTTTGGCGATGTTGGATGGTCATCATTGGCTATATATCCAGAGCAACGGTGTGCCAGATGCTGTGCGCCCACATAGAGAACACTCAAAACATTTAAAGCTAAAAGAAGCAAAAACAAAAGTCAAGCGCCGGACTCGAACCCAAGGCCGCTCGCTTTGTATTCAAGCTCACTGCCACTCGGCCACTATGACATCTTTACCGCAGCATTGGTAAGTCAACTTCTAAACTCAGGTCCTATTTTCTGTAATTCCATCCAAAACTTTGAGCGCTTATAACTTTTGACAGAGTGATGCGTTTCAAAAATGGAAAGTAGATTCAGAATCAGCGCAAAATGCTACATCGGGTAGTATGTAGCGCATGGGAACACACACTGTTGACACTCCCTTTTTAGACTACGCGACACTCCTATAGGGGATCTACTTTCTATTAGAATATTCTAAGCCAAGAATTGGGTTAAACCAATTAGCTGGACCTATCATCGTTCAACTCTATCCTAGAAAAACAGAAAAATCTCTAAAGCCAGTCTTCTCTCTCACTACGATAACTGAATAGCTTTCATTTTTTCTCACAGTAAAGATATTCAGCCTGTCACTTGAATACTTGAATACTTTTTCTTTCAGTGACCGCGAGTTATTGCCACTTACTTCTGAGGGTCTAGCTCGGCAAGAACTTAATGAATCCGTGTGAAATCTTTAGAGGTGATTTTTAAGTATCTCTCCTGTAGACAAGCTGATTTTCTAACTGATCACTGCTTCTAGAATCTTTATATGACCATACAAAGTTGAGAGTCTGGCGAGAAAACTCAGAAGGTTTTTCAGAGTCGTTTTTGAAGTTATTTAATAAATATGTTCAGGTTTAAGACGAAAAAAGATTAAACAAAAGAGCAAACACGTCAAGGAATTCGATTTTCTGTTCTCGAATTTGATTAAACTGCGGCTTTCGAACAAAATGTGATTGGGGAGCTCATTTAAAAATTAGAGAGCTCACTCAAAAATTAGAGAAAAGGTTCTAGAAGCACCAATCAGTTAGAAAGTCAGCTTGGCTACAGGAGATATACTCAAAAATGATCTCTAAAGATTTCATATGGATTCATTAAGTTCTCGTTGAGCTAGACGCTCAGAAGTGAGTTGCTATAGCAGCTCACTTCTGAGCAGACTACAGTAATTCGCGGTTACCCTGTACTGTAAGACGATGAAATGAAAAATTCCCTCTTTCAAACAAACCGTTGTAAATAGAGCGGTAGACGGTGTGAGACTCGTTTGAGTTTGAGTTTGAGTTCTTGCTTGGAATTGTGTGGTTGTCGTCGATGGGAGTGAAGGATTTGTGAGTCTTGTTGTTATTGACGTTGGTGGACTTGAGAAAGTGCTATAAAAGTGTTTCAATAGGAATGAGCTTTGGCAGAGATTGGCAAATGACTACTTTGTCAAATAGATCAATTGACAAGTTGAGTTGATTCGATCAAAAAATTAGCCGTGGATTACGGTAGGATTGGGCTTTTTGTACTACTGTAGTAAATGCCTTTTACTCTAACCCAACCATACTCTAACCCAACCATACTCTAACCCTACCGTACTCAGACCCAACCATAATCTAACCCAACCATAATCTAACCCAACCATACTCTAACCCTCCCGTACTCTAACCCTCCCGTACTCTAACCCTCCCGTACTCTAACCCTCCCGTACTCTAACCCTCCCGTACTCTAACCCTACCTTGGCGCTCGATTGATTGTCGTAGTTGGATTTGTGAAATGTGTGGAAATCACAGATGAAGTTGACGGTTGTATGAACGTCTTTGTTGTTGTCTAAACAATTAGCTTTAGACTCGAAGCTTTGTCCGCTTGTTAGTTGTAAGTACTAGTCTCAAGGCTCAAACAAAGTTATTCCCAAATGAACTCAATAACCTCAAGGGGTGTTCTTTGTGCTTGCTCATGTAAACCCACCTTTTCTAGTGCATTGAATTTCTCATTTTCTTTGGAAAGTTGTCAAAATTTGAATTTCTTTCACTAGAAAGGATGGGTTTACACGAGAGAGCACAAAGTATACGTAGAAAAGTAAAGAGTACATGTAGAAAGTACATGTAGTACACGTAGAAAGTACGTGTAGTAAATGAATTGAAAATCTATTGAATTGAAAGTATCAATCGAAAATCAAAGTTCACTCAAAAAAAGCTAGAAATTGTTAAATCGTTAATCAGCTGTACTTTGTGCTTAAATCTATAAACACATCTTTTCTAGAGCACTCAATTCTTTAGGAAAAGAAGAGCTGTTCTGTTCTCAGCTGTGAACAGCTCTTTATAGTTCTGAAGAGCTGTGAAGAGCTGTTCTCTCAGCTGAGAAGAGCTGTTCTCTCAGCTGAGAAGAGCTGTTCTCTCAGCTGAGAAGAGCTGTTCTCTCAGCTGAGAAGAGCTGAAGAGCTGTTTAAGTGCATCAGAAAGAGTGTGTTTATCAGTGAGCACAAAGCACACGGCTAATACCTGACTGGTGGGGAATTGGGTTGATGGGATGATGGAGATTCGTGGTGGAGATGCCGGTGGGGGTCGAGTCAAACGATTCTAAAGAAACCACCATGTCCCAAACAAAAATAAGGAAACAAATTGAAGCAAACGAAACTCAGAACTGTAAAATCTGGATAATTTCGTAGTAGAGAATGGCCGCAAATTGTTGCCTAGCAGTTTTAAAGTTTCAAAAGAAATTCTGTATTGAAAATTCTCACAATATTCATATTAAAAGGAGCTAAACCGTTTTACAAACACGAAAACGTTTTGAAAACATTTCGCAAACATGCAAACACTTCGCAAACACTTCGCAAACATTTCGCAAACATTTCGCAAACGTTACAGCCAAGATAAAGCCAAAAAACTGCGAGTCGAACATTTGCGGCCACTCTATACTCAAGATTCATTTTATACCGGCACATTGAATCGTCGAGCTGCTTGTGGGCGTAAACGGGTGAATGTTCGTCGGCCATTCGCATCAAACGAATCATCTTGTGGCTTTTGCGGAAGAGCTGAAATCGAGATGCTAGATGAAATCGAGATCGGGAATGATTTCCTCAAATTTTGTTCTACAGTAACCCTGACATCCCAAATCACTACCGTATTCCAGCACAAATCTCTAGCACAAAAAGGTACCATCGATATTCTGCAAAAGGTACCATTGGAAAGTGAACTCAATAAAGTTCCAAATGAGTGTAATATAGGAGCGTGGCATAGTTTAAACTTCCTCTCAAACAAACGATCATATCTCGACACTAGTACGCTTGTTGCTGCGCGCTTTGGTATGAAAATAAAGTAGAGAACATGAGTGTTTTTTTGAGATATAGCACAAGTTTATAGCATTAACCAGGGCTTAGAACAAAATGAGTGAAAATTGAAATTGATGAAAAATAATGAAAAATCAACTTTTTGGCTACTCTCAAACAAACGCTCATATCTTGGCGTTTGGACATTTGTTTCTCTACGCTTAAGTATCAAGATAAAGTAGAGAAAATGGGTGTTTTTTTTGAGATATAGCACAATTCTATGGCATTAACCAGCGCTTAGAACAAAATGATTGAAAATTGATAAAAATTGATAAAAAAATTGGCCTTTTTTCCACTCACAGGCACTTGTGGCCATTTGTTGACCAGCTCGCTGCTAGCCCGGTTAGCTCAGTCGGTAGAGCACCAGACTCTTAATCTGGCTGTCGCGGGTTCGAGCCCCGCATCGGGCTTGAACTTTTTGCTTTTTCAATCAAGCAAGCAGCTTTTAGAAAACGGAGGCGAAAGGTGTGCACCTCAATGTTTTTTACCGTACTCTCGTATTACAGTTCTCAGTTTAGCTTAGCCATAGACCAGTGGATGTTACAGTAACCCTATCATAGCTGTAACTATTTGGATTACTGTAACGTCTGAGTTACGGTAGCTAGGGCACGGTATAACCCACTTTCCGGTAGCCTTCTTGCCGTTGTTGTTGGTGCAATTGTCGGTTGACTTGGCAAAGCAAAAGTCGGTGGTGCGGTGGGAATTGATGGGGATAAGCTTTGTCTCGAAGTGTTCATCGTTGCTGTCGTTGGTCGCATCGGTCGTCGATGCTAAATAGTCGATTCAATCTAGAAGCATTGATGTACTTTGAGCTCAAAATTGTGTAAACGCCTTTCTGGCACACCCAAAGCTTCAGTTTTCTTACGAAAAGGCTCAGAAATTCAGAAAAATGAAGAATTCAGCGCCCCAGAAAGCGTTTGACACTGACTGACACTGACTACTTCAGTACTTTCGCCACTGGCAAAGTACTGAAGGGTTTACTTTCTACATGTACATGTACTTTCTACATGTACATGTACTTTCTACATGAGTTTAATTTGTCTACAGATTATTTAAATAAACTTTTGTGGTTAGCGTTTTTGAACTAAAAAGCTTTTTTGATAAACATAAAACAATAGAGTTGAGTGGCTGGATTTTAGAGAAATCAAATTGGATCTAGACTAGATTAGGATTAGACCAAGATAATAGGCAATCTACATAGACAATAATAGGCAATTTACATAGATAATATGGTAAAATATCCTCAGGGTTGGCTCAAAGGCAACTTTAGCGGGCCAGAGTCTAATTCAAGTCTAATCCAGCTGTTAACTGTTAAATGTTAACTCCGCCCCTTTTTCAATCCGTTTGCTGTTGGCAATCTACGAATTTTGCTCGTATCTTAGCCGGGTTTATTTGAAAAAGCGTTGAATTTCCTTTTATTTGACTTGAAATCAAATTTTCTATCGAATGAGAGCAAATTCAACGTTTTACAAACAAAACCCTTTAAGGTATGAGCAAAATTCATAGATTGCCAACGGCAAACGGATTGAAAAAGAGGCCGAGTTAAGATTTAACAGTTAACAGCTTAACCGTTAACAGCTTAACAGCTTAACAGCTTAACAGTTAACAGCTTAACAGCTTAACAGCTGGATTAGACTTGGATTATCGGACATTTTTTTAAATCTTTCAAAGTAAATGATTAAGTATACCAGTATGGGAAAAGTTGATGTCATGAACATTTGTATGAAAGCCTTAAGTCTAGTCGAGATCTACTTTACTATCTAAGCTATTTTAGCTATCTTAGGCTTAGGCTTGGGTTTAGGGCTTAGGCTTAGGCTCAGGCTTTGTAGTATGAAAACCTTAAGTCTAGTCTAGATCTACTTTACTATCTAAGCTATCTAAGCTATTTTAACTATCTTAGCTCGCAAAAGGATGACCAGAAGTGAGGGATAAGTCCTTACATGAAAAAGATTATTCAAAAATATTGATTCCGTAAAGAGTTCCATGTCAAGGAGGGTCAAATAACATTATTTTTGCTCCTTGTCGACTCCCATTTCTTATTTACAGAGTTCCTTAACAGCTAATTGTTTGACTATCACTATTCGTCATGAGATCTATTGAATGAGGATCTATCGATAAGGATCTATCGATAAGGATCTATCGATCTATCCGAAATGACTCATCCCAAACGGTCACTCCCACTTCTGGCCATTCCCTTGTCAGTGGTTAGAGCAGAGAAAAGGAAAAAGGTCAAGTGAAGGTTCAACCTTCTCTTCTTTCCTTCTTTGGCAAGCTTTCTTTGCGATTCCTTTCTAAGATTCTAATTCAAATTCAAAGTTTTAAACTTCTGAATCCCTAGCTTTTCTTCAAAATCCAGCCACTAATTTTGTGAATAAATGAAAGAAAAACTTAGGAACCGATTCATCAGATCCATCATCATCCAAGGTTGGTTCGAGTTCTTGAAACGTATCAAAAGTGATTGTCGGTGGTTCGGTGATTGTGGTTGAAACAATTGGAATTGTTGAAATTGTTGAGATTGTTAAGATTGTTGTTGAGGTTGTTTGAGGGATTGGTTGGGTAGTGCTTGTTGCAGTTGTTGCAGTTGTAGTAGTTGCAGTTGTAGTAGTTGCAGTAGTTGCAGTAGTTGCAGTAGTTGCAGTAGTTGTTGCAGTTGTTGTTGTTGCAGTAGTTCTTGTTGCAGTAGTTGTTGTTGTTGCAGTTGTTGTTGTTGTTGTCGTAGTTGCAGTAGTCGTTGTTGTACTTGTTGTACTCGTTGTACTTGTTGTACTCATTGTACTTGTTGTACTTGTTGTACTCGTTGTACTCGTTGTACTTGGCTCAGTAACCACTTTATCTACAGTGTTTGCAATACTAGCTGTACTTGCCGCAGTAGTACTACTTGTCGTACTTATAATTGTACTTGGACTTGGTATAGTACTTGATAAAGTACTTGACAAAGTACTTGATAAAGCCAAAATCTGTTCCTCTTCCGCAAACTCATCAAACTGTTCTTCAATGGAGTTTTGATTTCGATTAAAAGGTACAGTAATCCCAAAGATTGGGGATAAAGTAGCGGGTTTAAAGAAAAATCCTCTCAAAAAGGTTTGGCGTTGAAAAGATTGAGTAGTAGGTTGAGTAGGAGGCTGAGTAGAAGGCTGAGTAGAAGGCTGAGTACTTGTTGTACTCGGTACAGTAGTTGTTGTCGTTGTTGTCGTTGTTGTACTTGTTTGACTTTCAAAAGGCATTGGGATTGTCACAGTTGGCTGATTGCTTTGGAAATTCGTTGGAAACGTTTGGAAATTCGTGTTTTGAAAGAAATTTTGAACAAAACGCGATCTCGTTGTTGGAATTGTGGTAGAGAAAAACTGAAATTTGAACGAAAAATATTTGAAGCCGTGCCCGAAGTTCGAAGAGATTTCACTAGGAATTTACAGCACTTATTGTACTTATTACTCATGTACAATGATCTAATAACTGTCTGTCATATCTTGGCTATCTATCAGTACTGTACGATGCGATACTTAGTACACAGCTAACACCGTATCCAAATTATAAGCGACACTTTATCTACAGTGTTTACAATGACCCAAGCGCCAAGGTTCAACCCTAATGTGCTAAGTTTTGGATAACATATTGAAGTCCTTAATCTTGGTTACATTTATGATCAGATCGAAATCTCTAGTACCATATCTAGCTACACTAAGCTAAGGCCTATTTCTTGCCCTCAAATCTCTTCAAACATCTTCTATCTAAAACATATCCGTGCTAAAATCATATATCAACTAAAAAAAGAATATTTTGGTTAATGAAAGTGATAGATTTTGTTGCAAGATCAGACCTGGAGCCTGGGGAATTGGGGTTGAGAGCGTGGAGGGATCAGTGGAGGGATCAGTGGGGGTTGAGGAGGCTGAGGAGGCTGGGTTTGAGATCCTCCCTGTGGAGCTTGAGGTATCCGAGCCTCGGGTCGGACTGTAAATTTAGTTGATTGTCATCTTCTTTCTGAATTCCTTCTAGTTAAGATCCTACCGATTTGTGGCGGTGTTTGGGGAGGCTGCGGTTGTCGGACTCTGAAAAATCATAACATTGTCGGATTTTATAAAAAATCATAACGTTTTAGGTTTTTGAATTCAAAAGTATTCTAAAAAGTTAATAAAGTTATAAATAAGTTAAAGTTAATAAAGTTATTGATAAGTTAAAGCTAGTAAAGTTAAGTTATTGATAAGTTGAAGCTAATAAAGTTATTGATAAGTTACTGGTAAGTTATTGATAAGTTGAAGTTAATAAAGTTAAGTTATTGATAAGTTGAAGTTAATAAAGTTAAGTTATTGATAAGTTAAGTTAATCAAAAGCCGATCTCTTACATTTCACTTCCCTCTCCATCTCCATCTCCATCTCCATCTCCATCTCCATCATTCTCAGCGTTTTCTCCGCTTCTCATTTCCCCACGTGTTAATATTGTTATAGGTAAATTGGTAATATTGACAATGATCGGTCGTCTGCTTGTCGGCATTCGTATCACCAATCTTCCACCATTATTCAAAGAGAAATTTGGATCATTCGGGAATAAACGAGCGCTGACACCGGGTAATCTTAGAAGATTAAGAAGTTTAGGATCGGTTACAAGATCTTCGGCTTGCAGTGAGATTTGTTGAAATTGTGAGGAGCTGAAAATCGATTAGAGAACAGATTAGTTTTGTTAAGTTAAGTTAAGTTAAGTTTTGTTAGGTATTAGGGTTTATTCAAGAGTTTCTATTATAATTCTATTAGGGTGGTGCAAAAGAAACTGTCGATGGGTATCAGCTCTCATTTATCAGAAACGAGCGATGCGAACGGTATGATTTTTTTTATCTTTTGTTCGCACACAGTACTGGACAATGAAATATCATATTTGAAAAACGATCGTCACTTTCGCGTCTTTTTAGATCCAATACGGTTCAAATACGGTTCCAATACGGTTCCAAACGGTTCCAATACGGTTCCATTTTAGTTCCAATACGGTTCCAATACGGTCCTTTTTAGATCCAATACGGTTCCAATACAATTCCAATATACGGTTCTTTTTAGATTCAATACGGTTGCAATACGGTTCCAATACGGTTCCAATACGATTCCAATACGGTTCTTTTTAGATCCAATACGGTTCCAACCGGTTCCAATACGGTCCAAGCCTGTAACTCCCTTCTCTTCAAGTTTAAACTATTAGTGTTATACATTTTCTGAAAGCTCTTTTCAAGGGCTACACAATGGTAATATTAATATTTAGAAATACGGTAAAGACAAGGGAGTTACAGACGCGAAAGTGACGATCTTTTTTCAAATATGATATTTCATTGTCCAGTAGTGTTTTTGTTTGCTATTTATTTCGACATTTGAATTTTTTGGTTGTTGTTTATTTTATTTAAAAATGCTTATTTTTTTATTGGCTTTTATTGGTTTTTATTGGATCATGGCTTATTTTTTTATTTAGATCAGCAAAAGTTTGTGCTAAGAGCAGCATTACTGTTTAACTTCAAAATTGGAAAGTCTGCTGCCGAATCGCATCGTTCTCTCTGTGCTGCTTTCGGAGATGGCAGTGCATCTCCGAAAGCAGATTACGTTTGTCTCTCAGGCAGTGTCAGACTTGGTTTCAAAGATTCCGAGAGGGGGACGAGGCTTTGGAAGATTACGAGCACGGTTCGAGGCCAGAAGGTTCGAGGCCAGAAGGTTCGAGGCCAGAAATCGAGGCCAGAAGTCAGGGCCAGACGTCGTGAACGAAGCCAAGCTGAGGGACGTTATTCGAGGCCAGAAGTCCAGGCCAACTGCTCGAGATCTTGCCAAAATGTTCCATGTGATCAGTCACCACGAAGCCACTTCACGCTATTGGAAAGAAAAGCGTGTGGAAGATGGGTCCCCATCAACTCAGTGATGCTAACTTCGCATCCCGCATTTCCATCGCTGGCATTCTCCTGAATCGTGCAAAGAATAGCGGATTTCTTGATTCTATCGTGACATCGGATGAGAAATGGACTGCATACGACAACTTTACGCGAGAACGACAGTGGCTGAGCGCCGGCGAACGGGCTGTTCCAGCCCCAAGGCCCGAAACCCACGGGAAGAAGATCTTATTGACTGTATTGTGGAACAGCAAGGGTTTGGTGTACTTCGAATTACTGGAACGCATCGTTCTCTCTGTGCTGCTTTGGGAGATGGCAGTTTGTCCCTCAGGCAGTGTCAGACTTGGTTTCAACGATTCTGAGAGGGAGACGAGACTTTGGAAGATGACGAGCACGGTTCGAGGCCAGAAATCGTGAACGAAGCCAAGCTGAGGGACGTTATTCAGGCCGATTCATGCCAATCTGCTCGAGATCTTGCGAAAATATTCCATTGTGATCATGTCACCATCGAACGCCATCTTTTTTTAATTTAAATTGGCTGTTTCTTTTGCACCACCCTAATATAATGATCTACAGCTTTTAAAGATTCTGAAAAGGAAAAGATCAATTTTGGTTAGTAGTATTTCTCTTTCAATCCGTTTTTTAGTTAGATAGACTAGTTAGATAGACTACAGTACTTCTACAATAAATATTCGTTGCTAAACCTTGGCGGAGAGATTGGTGAGATTTGCGGTGGTTGTGGTGGTCGAAGGAGTGGACGGGGAAAACGACGACGGAAGAACATTGGACGTTGAGGAAGAGGCGGAGGTCTGAAGTTGATGATACGGTAGAAAAGGCAAAGGATACTGTAGCCCAGTTTCTTCTCACTACAGTATGCCTTGGCTTTGTACTGTAGTTAGACAAGAGCTTGGGAAGCTACAGTACCCTTTGAGCAACAAGAAAATAAATCTCAAGCTTAGAATCGGGTGAATCTTTAGAATGTCTATTAGAGATCTATCTAAACTGAAGATCTATTAGAAGCTTGGATTCTAAGCACTTCATTCTAATCACTTGAGATCATTTTCCCGTTCTGTTCATGCATTGATCTATTTCTAAATCTATATCTAAATCTACATCTAAACATCTGCATCCAATCCCTTTTCTACAGTACTAACGTGAGTCGAGAGCCGACTTTAACAAGCCTGAAATGGGTACGAGAGCGGATGATGGGTTGAGGTCTAAATTTTGATTGTACAGGGCATTGTTTTCATCTACAAGAGTCCATAGAGCAGGTCGAGCCAAGCCAGGCAGGTCCAAAAGCCAGGACAAGGCCATAGTCAGGAATGTTTGATGATCTATAAGTGAGACCAGGCCAGAGCTCGTCCAGAAGCCAGATCCAGGTCCAGAGGCCAGAGCCAGGTCCAGAGGCCAGAGCCAGGTCCAGAGGCCAGAGCCAGGCTTGGCTATGGATCTAGAACCTTTACAGCCGGCCTGGTTTGCTGACTGGTGAACGACCAGACGCCAGGTACGGGACATGTTAAAGACCTAGTGACTTCTTGTGAGCTAGGTCCAGGCCTGATCTCGGTTCTGCCTGACCTGGAACAATGCAACGAAACGAGATATCTATTGCACTAACAGTCTAATGAAAGCAAGGCCTAGTCTAGTGAAGGAACAGAGCTACCCGCTAATAGACATGGGAAAATTCCAACCCACACCTAATTCCACCTTCGTTTTCTCAGCCGTCTCTTGGCCGATTGTTCTGAAATTTTGTTCACAAATAGAAATTGGCGTTCTCTGCTTGTAGAAAAAATTTCAAAGCAATCGGCCAAGAGATGGCTGAGAAAATGATGGTAGAATTAGGTTTCAGTGGGAATTTTTTCATTTCTACCAGCTACTGGGGGAAACTGACGCAAAGCGGGAGCGGATTTTAACAATGAGGGGATGAGGGTGGCGACGCTGAGGATGGAGTGGAGGTCTGAAAAAGAAGAGTGCAATCAAGAGTGCATCTATCTGTTGTAACTATTTGCGTTGTTCCAATAGGGTCAGAGCTTGTAGGCTGGCCAGGGAAAACCAGAAGGACAGAAGCTAGTCCCGGCTCTAGCTGGGCCAGGTAGCGGCCAGGTCAGGCCAGAGGCCAGTCAGCCTGGCCACCTGGGCCATGGGCTGGCTTCTGTCCTGGACTAGCCTACGATTTCAAGGACTCTATTAGAACACTGATCAAGAGCATAGCTTTTCTAACTAATGGCTAACGAACGGAGATTTTGGACGGGTTTTAACAGGTCGGGGTCTTTGAGGTCGATGATGGGGTTGACGTCTGAAATTGGGTCTTGATCTACTGTGGATAGATCAGAAAAGTCCAAATCAACAATAAAACAGGTAAATAGAGTAGAATTGAGTAAATCTTGTTCTTTATTTTGCACTTTTGTGCTGTAAACGCATCCTTACTGGTGCACTCTTTTTCTCTCATCAACAAGACGTTTCTCCGAGAGAAAAGGGTTAATTCAGTGCGTCAGAAAGGGTGTGTTTAGAGAATTGAGCCCTGAATCCTTTAAATGTTACCTTCTCATCCGAAATTGTCTCATCGGTCGATTGAGATTCTCGAATCGTCGATCAAATGTCGGATTTCTTGCGATCGGCGGAGAGGATGGATTCTCATGAGTAGCTCGCTGCAAAAGTTCATTAAAAAAACCGTTTACAAGCAGGAAAATTGAGTGTGAATGAAAAGGATACATCTAATGCGAAATAGCATTATAATATTATAATCTATACATATATTAGTATCGTTAAAACTCGAAAAGAATGGCCCCTAAAGTTTACTCTCAAAGAAACGCTTATATCTCGACACTAGTACGCTTGTTGCTGCGCGCTTTTATATCAAATTAAAGTAGAGAAAATAGGTGTTTTTTTGAGATATAGCACATAGTTTTAGCATTAACCAGCGCTTAGAACAAAATGATTGAAAATTAAAATTGATAAAAAATCGGCTTTTTGGCTACTCTCAAACAAACGTCCAAATCTTGGCGTCCGGACATTTGTTTCTCTACGCTTAGGTATCAAAATAAAGTAGAGAAAATGGGTGTTTTTTTGAGATATAACAAAGATTTCTAGAATCAACCAGCGCTTAGAAAAAGAAGATTGAAAATTGAAATTGATGAAAAATAACGAAAAATCGGCTTTTTGGCCACTCTCAAACAATCGCTCATATCTTGGCGTCCGAACATTGGTTTCTCTACCCTTAGGTATCAAAATAAAGTAGAGAAAATGGGTGTTTTTTTGAGATATAACAAAGATTTCTAGAATCAGCCAGCGCTTAGAACAAAATGATTGAAAATTGATAAAAATCGATAAAAAAAGTGGCCTTTTTGCCACTCTCAGGAACTTGATGCCATTTGTTGACCAGCTCGCTGCTAGCCCGGTTAGCTCAGTCGGTAGAGCACCAGACTCTTAATCTGGCTGTCGCGGGTTCGAGCCCCGCATCGGGCTTAAAGTTTTTGCTTTTTCAAACAAGCAAGCAGCTTTTTCAAGCAAGCGTAAACTTTCGCTGAAAATAGAAATCAGTGCGCTAGATCAAAAAGTTTGCAACTTTGTTGCAAACTTTGAAGTCTCAAGCCTTTTTTAAGAGCTAAGCAACAGAAATAGGCATTTTTCTTTCTTGGGAATTTCTCGAGAACGCCTAAAAGCTTTCTATCATAATCCAGTTGTTACAATGATCCAAGTTCTAATGTCAACAATGATCTAATCTCAATTCCTTCCAAGCTACCGTATTACTAAAGGTTAGGGTAGCTTGGGCATTGTTTAAAGCTCGAAAAAGCGTTCAGAAAAAAGTTCCCAAGTCTTTTCTTTCTTTTCTTCTATATCCTTTCTAAAACTAACCGCTCTTTGTCGTCGTCTAACAAACTTTAAATAAAAGAGATTCATTTTTGATGCAAAAATCGATCTTATTTGAAAGATCTAGGACGAAAACTGCGTTAAAAATACCGTGCGAGAGATCTGTCTTGCCGCTCGAATCTCCTCAGCTTCCGGATCGATCACTTCATCTTCTCCACCACTAAAAAGCAATTGTAGATAGCAATCGTTGTTTTCTATCTTTAATTTTCAATTCATTTATCTTTTTTCATTTGTTCATTTGTTCCAATTCTTGGTTTTGATGATATTTATCAAAAAAAAAAAACTCACTCAACGAATGACTCGAGATCCGCTTCTGTTTTAATCTAAAACTTTTTTTGTCTGTGATATTGCTTTGATTTAAAACTTTGATTTAAAGCTTTGATTTAGAGCTTTTAAAGAAATACCGTCTTTTCTCTAATAGTATTTTCCCTGAGCTCCTAAATTCCTCGAAATCTCGAGAACCGCTTATCAGAACCTATCGATGTGAGGTCGGAAAATGTAGCTGACGATGAGATCTTGTGGGGGAGTAGAGTGTGAAAACTTGGAAGCCGTAAAATAGTTATTAACTTGGCTCGGCGATGTGCATTACTATGAGGGAAAATACGGTATTCGTACCTGAATCAACAACATGGTGAAAGCCGTTCTTTGGGCCGAAAGAATCTTTTTTGATTGTTGCTTAGCGACAACTCGATTCAAGTATAATAGACCGTAAGACACCAACTCGGCTCTACTAGAGAAAAGCTCTACTATTAGAGGAACTATTAGAGAAACTATTAGAGAAACTATTAGAGAAACTATTAGAGAAAAAACCGTCATCTCAATACTTTCCCAAACGCAAACCTCAACAGCGAACGAAATGGCGACAAGGCCCAGAATGAGCCACGGAATGAGACCACGTCTCATACCAGATTGCTTGTGAAACTGGAAATTCTCTGATGAAAGTACAAAAGTTAAAAACAGAATGTAATGAAGCTTGAAGACAAGAGAAAAACAAGAACAAGAAAAACGAAGGAACAAGGAAAACGAAGAATTCAATGCGCTGGGAAAGCGAAGAATTAAGAATTAAGAAGGATTTCATTAGCTCAAAAAGTTTACAAATCTCAAAATTATCATTTCACTTTTTCAATTACATTTAAAGAGTTTTAAAAGGTCAAAAATTAAGGCCATTGATTTTTTGCTAAACATTATCGATTGCCTACAACAATTGTGAATTAGTTTTTTCAATTTAGCACTTAAAATTCTCAGGAAAACTCGTAAAATCATCGAATTTCCGAAGAAATCTCTCATTTTGTCCCGAATATCCCTCAAAAACCGCAAATGGATACGTAAAAAGAGAGGAGAACGTAAAAAAACAGACGAGATTTGATCGGGAAACAATGAGAAATAAAAAATGGGATAGAGAAATGGGGGAAATGCCGGAGAAATTGAGAGAAGCTGAAGCTTTGAGTTTGTTAAAAGCTTTGATTTTAAAGAAGAAAACGATCTAGACTAGAGGCTAAAAAGGGTAAAAAGGCTAAAATAGAGGCTAAAAAGGCTAAAGTATTCGTAAACGCATGTCATCTTGAGAACCAAATGATGCTCCAGAAGAGTGCGTTTACGTGTAAACACAAAGTACTCTGAACGCGTGTCATCTTGAGAACCAAATGATGCTCCAGAAGAGCTCTACAAATTTGGTTCCTTATCTCTCTAAATTTGGTTGCTTATCTCTACGTGTAAACACAAAGTACACAAAGTACAACTAACAGGAAAAGGAAAACGATGGAATCAGGAAAACGAAGGAACAAGAAAAACGAAGGATCCGGATGCTCGAGTAGCTGGTAAGTTGACGACTGAAAAAACCATAGGAACACTTTGCTTTAGGTCTTGCTCAATTGTGTGAATTCATCGAGGATTGTGAACATCCATCGTTGGCAACTCGTGTTCTTCATCTACTTGGACAGGAAGCACCGAAGACGCCAAATCCTCAATCTTACATCCGTTTTGTCTACAATCGAGTCATTCTAGAGTGCACACAGGTTTGTTGATGGTTTGTTGATGAAAAACGAAGCAACAAGAAAAACGAAGGAACAAGAAAAACGAAGGAACAAGGAAAACGAAGAATTCAATGCGCTGGGAAAGCGAAGAATCAAGAATTAAGAAGAATTAAGTGCGCTTGCGCTAGGAAGTGCGTGTACGCAAGTGCGTGTACGAAGTACGCAAGTGTGCGTTTACAAATCTAGCATTGTGTTCTTGCGCATCGTTTGATATATAATTTGTCTATGTTTACTTTGTTTTTTTACAAGAAAGAGTATTTAGAAAATGTCTGACCAAAAATTTCGCTTGCGGGCCTGCTTGTGGCATGAATTTAAGCAAGGCAAATCGGCTGCTGAAGCTCATCGCGAACTACCTGACGAAGAACTACTAGAAGACGAAGAACCACTAGAAGACGAAGAACTACTAGAAGAAAATAAGCACTTAGAAGAGTTTAATCGAATGAAATCCTCCAAGTTTTGGACAATTCTTGATCTACTATGGATTTTGTTGTCAAAAGAATCGTTATAATTCTTATTTTGTCCAACAACATCTTTATAATTATCATTTTATTATCATTTTCTTATAAAAAATCTATCTCTTAACTGTCAAACTATAGAAATTTAAGTTTAAAATATTATAATTAGAATAAAAATCGCTAGAATCAATAGAATCAATTTGTCAAACATAAAAAATATTCAGCTTATTGAATTCGTGCTATTTTGTTTATTTTAACAACAAGATTTTTGATTTTAATGATTTTGAATGATTTTGAATGATTTTGAATGATTTTGAATGATTTTGAAAGATTTTGAATGATTTTGAATGATTTTGAAAGATTTTGAATGATTTTGAATGATTTTGAATGATTTTGAATGATTTTGAAAGGTTTTTACCCTAAAGTCTCGAGTATAAGTTCTGCCTTAATTTACATTCGCTTTAATTGCTTTAATTGCTTTAATTGCCTTAATTCACATTCGCTTTAATTGCTTTGAATTTCTTTTTGTTGGGTTTTTATACATTTTTATTGTTATACAAACTTTTATTATTGTTCTTGGAGCGCGGGATACTACAGGGTGACAGCCTATCACCATTGCTATTTGTTATGTGCATGGATACATCCAAAGATATACATCCAAAGATAGTGTTGAAGAAGACGCTGGAAAGCATCTCTTTCCACCGTCGACGTGGACTTTGGCCGGATGAAGAGGCCAGGGAGGGATCCATAAGACTGAGCACCGGAGAGGAGCAGGGCGGACACGCCGAGCCACGCCCGGAGCAACAAATAACAGCATAAAATTGCTATAACCCTCAATAAATTTACTTCTATTATTGTTCTATTGTTCTATTGTTCTATTGTTCTATTCTATTGTTCTTAAAAAGCAAAAAAGTTATGCTGCAGCGGGGTTCGAACCCTCGACACACCGGACCGGAGACAGCCGTCAATTTGCATACGAAAACCAAACAGAACTTATACTCGCGACTTTAGGGTAATGATTTTGAATGATTTTGAATGATTTTGAATGATTTTGAATGATTTTGAATGATTTTAAAAGATTTTGAATGATTTTGAATGATTTTGAATGATTTTGAATGATTTTGAATGATTTTGAATGATTTTAAAAGATTTTGAATGATTTTTAATGATTTTGAATGATTTTAAAAGATTTTGAATGATTTTGAATGATTTTGAATGATTTTTAATGATTTTGAATGATTTTGAATGATTTTAAAAGATTTTGAATGATTTTGAATGATTTTGAATGATTTTTAATGATTTTAAAAGATTTTGAATGATTTTTAATGATTTTTAATGATTTTGAATGATTTTGAAAGATTTTGAATGATTTTGAATGATTTGAAAGATTTTTAAAAGCAGACACAAAAGAATAAACAATAGATTCCAAAAAAAAGGACTGGGATATGTGTAAAATGGGTTTCCCAGCTTTTCCCAGGTTTCCCGACTCAATTTCTCCCAAAAAAGTATCTCAAAAATTTCACTTTCAAAACTTTCTCAAACAATGTGTTTGTTTTTCTTTTCTCTCAATGAAAATTGATGAAAAGGGAAACCATTTTAACCGATTTGAATCAAGGACAACCACTTTTATTGCATGCTTTTTTTGAACAAATTGAATTGAAACTCAAAAAGAGCAAAGAATATGGGAATGAGGAAGTTTCGGAAAGAAAAAGTGACAAGATTCGAGTTTTTTTTTTGTCATAGAATTATTGCAGAAGATTTAATCAACCCTTACTCCAATGAAAGACAAATTATCGTTTACTCAGCTTTTAAAAAACCGACACAGCTTTTCTCCTCTCCCCTAAAACTTACCCCCCTTTCTTCCTAGTTTAACCTGTCTTTTAGCCAATAAATCTACTTTTATATCTCTCGAGATTCTTTGTGAATATCAATGGATATCCTTACAATATCAATGGATAGATTAGATAAAAAATAGAGACAGATTACGGTAGAAAGGGGAAAAGGGACACGTTTTAGAAATGGAGTATTCAAATTTTGTTGACGAATTCATGTTAAATCAAAAGAAATTACAAAACAAACAAACTATTGGGTTGGTGAATTGAAAATTGCCGGACTTTGAACTAAAATTAATTCAACATAAAACCATGAATTCATTCCAAATAATTTCCATTATTATTGACGACTTTTGCCCATTTTACAGCCAATTTGATTCCTCTTTCTTCGTAGGATTTTCGTTTTGAATCGAAAAACTTTCAAAGCCAATTTTTGACTGCTTCTCCCGAATCGAAATGTTCTCCCGCAAGCTCATTACTCATGATCCGGAATAAATAGTAATCAAGGGACGAGGACGAGGAAAGGGGCGAGGTCCGAACTGTATGGGGAAGGCGCCAAAAGTTCCCAAACAAGGCTATTTATTTTAGAGCTAGTCAGTTTTGCAACATGAGGCCGCGCGTTGTCGTGGATGAGAATTGTAGCGGTCATTTATCGCGTAAAACAATACTTTCAACTAATCTGACAAAAAAAATGATTTGAAAAGGAAAAAGAAGCGACGACGCGGCGCTCCCATCGACTACCTCTAAATGGCGGCGACGTCAATTGGAATGCGACGTCGCGCAAAAATTAACAGTTAACAATAAGATAAAATCAACATTTAGAATTTCCGAGAGAAATTGAAATTGAACTTTTTTTTTCTCTGAAGGTCATTCTCTACTCAAAGTTACCCCAAACTTTTGGGGATAATCTACGTCGAAATTTAAGAGTACTGTAGCTTTTCTCAACGGAAAGAGGAATGTAAAACAGAGCTGGATTAAGAATCTGATTGAAGTAAAGAAGAAAGTAAAGAGATTGATAGTATTAGGTTGACCGGAATGTCCGCTTTTTTGTCCGCTTGTCCGCTTTTTTAAAGATCACTTTTTGAAATAAATAATCAACCAATCGATTTATGGTTTCTTTTATCAAAAAGTCCTATTATTTATTTACAAATTGTTTTTTAAGAAATTCTGAAAAGCTAGCGTTAGTTTATTTTCTTAGATGTGTAAAGTCAAGCAGTCAAAAACAATGAAACAAAGCCAAAAGTTCCGATTTGAGCATTTTTTTATCACAGAAACCTATTTTTATGTCAAGAAACAATAGAGAATAAAAAATTAGGTAGATAGACAAATTTTCATCACATTTCACTAGTTTTTTTCAAGCTTTTTCAAGCCTTTCAAAGCTTTTTCATTCTATGTTCATTGTAAGGAGTTTAGCAAAAAAAAAAAAAACAAGAATTTCTGTCCGGATTTGCCTCAAAGTCGACTCAAATTTGCTCAGAAAGCAAAATGTAATAGTTAATCTTTTTTTATTTAATACAAAACACACGTTTATCGCTTAATTATCCATTTATAAATGAAAATTTCAAAAAGGCTGATAAAATGAT